CCCTCAGGCTTATCGAGGTAATGAGGGGCTGCTTACGCCCGCACCTCTCTAGTACTACCCAATATGTTAGACATGGCATCAGTGTCTCTCAGTTTACTGTACAATGTATTGATCGCAAGTAGGTATACAATTCCACTAATGAGCTCTACACGCTCGAAATGGTCTAAGATGACATGACATGGTCTTTCTTTCCTATCAGATATTTCATCACTCTTCATGTACACCCCGTCTAAAACTTGAAGACCTGCTCCTTAGAGTAGCCCAGCTCCTTCAGGATACCGGACAGCTCGCCCTGGTCGGTAGGGCTGTTCTTGGTGCCACTGATGGCCTTGTACATGCCGGGAGGTCCGCAGACGAAGATCTTGATGTTCTCCTCCTTGGGCTCGGGCAGGACGGTCTTCAGGAGCTCCTTGCTGATGTAGCCCTTGCCGCCGGTCCACTCCTTGGGAGGGTTGTCCAGGACGTAGAAGGCACGGAAGCGGCGGGGGTAGGTGTTCTCGAGCTCCTCGAATTCCTTCTTCAGGAGGATGTCCTCCTCCTTGACGTTACCGAACACCAGGGTGACCTTGGTCTGGTCCTCGGGGTTCTTGAAGATCTCACGCGCAAGCTGGTACATGGGGGTGATACCGGTACCACCAGCGATCAGGCAAATGTGGTTGTGCTTGTTGGTCTCCCAGGGGTACTTGACGATAGGACCCTTGAAGTCCAGGCGCTGGCCGACGTTCATGCTGTGCAGGTGCTCGGACATGGGTCCGTTGGGGTAGACCTTGACGACAAGGTCGATGTAACCGGGGGTTTCTGTGCCAAGTCAGCGAATGTCCAAAATGTGCTCGAGAGTGAGTTGCGAGGACATACCCTCATCGCTGGTAGGGGTGTAAGGGCGAATGACAGCCTTGGCGTCGGCGGGCTTGAACTTGGTCAAGAGGGCAGCTGCAGGTTCGTGAGTAAGAAATCCGGGTGGTTCTTTCAGAGCAAGGGCGACATACAGGCAACCTGGAGGCCGGAGAGAGCCTCCTTGTCCTCGAACTCGAAGCGCAGACGCTTGGTGTTGTGGTTCAGGACCTCAATCTCGGACAGCTTCAGGTCAAACCATCCTTGGTCACCACCCTTGAAGACCTTGGGGCGGTCAACAGCAGCGGGGGCCTCAGCGGTGGCCGAGTTGTAGCGGTAGAGACCGACACCGACACCGGTGATACCAACGGCGGCGTAGATGGGAGCCAGGGAAGACTTGCCCTTGGGCGCTTCCGTGGAGTACTTGCGGAAGCCCTGGGGTAAGCCGGCATTAGCACAAAATTCGGTCGTCGGTAGAGATCGGGAAGGGCGAAAAGTGTCGGAAAATAACAGCGCTCAGGTGGAAGAGGGATAGAGCATACCTGTTTGAGGGGCTGAGCGCAGCGGAAAGCTTGACGAGCGAACATTTTGAATGAATGACAGACACCAATGCGTGCTCAATGGGTGGTGAGACGGAGAGGAAAGGTCAAGGGAGCCAGAGCGGAGGGAAGAGGACCTTCGGCAAAGGTAATTAGTCTAAAGCTCCTCCTCCCTCTCGGACTCCGAGACGCCGTTTCCGCACATGACGCAATGGGGCCGCTCGCGTACCTGGCGGTTTACTAATTACCAATTAGTTAACATTTGTTGAACATCTCATCTTTTTATCGTGTATTGCAGATAAGTGGATGATAGGAAATGCTATATACTGGGGTTATACATTGAACATTATAAACCGCACACCCGCCATAACATTCTCCTGGGACAACCCCCGAGGCAGCCCGATATCCCGGTCTTATGGCGTCCCTTACAGAACGTATACTACCTGCAATATGGCCGAGCGCCAGCGGATAAATTCATACCTGGAATGAATCCAGTTTTTCTAAATACTTGACCGAATCCCTGCCTTGCTGGCATGAAGAGACGGTAGTTTGGAATGGAAATTAGTCGATTTCCTGCGTATATACTCCAAATGCCAAGCAGGATCTGTTGCCCACAAACCCGTCATGCTACAGGCTAAAGCCCAATAATTGCTTAAAAAGGCACCTGATCAAGTGGATAGACTAGGCACAGGTAGTGCCACCCCTATTCGGAGCAAGACGAAGTAACTGAGGCAAAAAGCCATGATGTCAGGCGTGTTATGTGTTTTCCCACTGCCATCCTCAACATCCGACGGATATACATGACTAAAGCCGAGCCAGCCAAATACGCCACTGCGACTAGGCTCTCTCGACGTCCCACAAATGGCCTATAATTTGGGAACAAGAAGTAACGTTCCGACATGCTAGGCTATTTGTAGGTATCAAGAAAATAATCTGGCAAATGATCTGGGGAAGCTGGAATAGGCGATAGAGCATACATAGATCGAAAAATCCTGATTTGGGTGTTTCGAATTTAGTCCAGCAGTATAGAATCAAATCCGTGTGGATCAGCAAGTCCCCATGCTACGCAAAGCGTTCTACGATCTCTACAGTACGCTATGCCCCATCCAAGAATAAACAGAAACAATACCCCGGTATTTTTTGATATAACTTGAAAGGGTCGCTGCAGAGGACTTAAAGAGACATAAAAACCATCCGTCCCATTACCTGGGTTGAGGAAACACGCCCTGTCCGCGTGCTCCGTGTCCTTCGTGCATGCTATGGCCATAACATAGTCATTCATCCACACACTCCGATCACCCAAACCCAAAACGTCACATTTACGCGAAAGTAGTGGGACGAGAGTAAGCGAACAGCTTCTTGCCGTGGGCAGCACGGTGGGGCAGGGGGAACTTGAGGTTCTTGGAGAGGAGCTGCTTGATGTAGGGGCGGCGGATGCTGTCGGCGTTCTCGATCTCAACAACCTTAAGGATCTGTAGGAACGTAGTTAGATCGCAATATTCCTCAGCAAAAGAGGATAGGAATCTCAACATACGTGGATGGAGCCGAAGCGGGCACGGTGGCGGGCAGCCATGTCCTGGTAGAGAGCCTCAACAGCCTCGGTGCGGCTCATCTCACGGAACTCCTTGTACATGTTGTGGGTGCCGGAGCGGGAGTCGTAGCGGAGCCAGATACCGAAGTTCTTGACCTTGGTAGGGCGCTTCTCGCTGATCTATTGGATGGGGAAAAAAGACAGGCGTCAGCCAACACTGCCGAGTTGTCGCTTGATAACGGCCACACATACCACATTGATGCTGACGATCTCACCGTTGGCCTTCTTGACCTTGCGGAGCTGGGTCAGGAAGTACCAGAACCGGGACTTAGCGACAACAGTGTTGGGCGCGAAGATGCGCATGCGGTACAGCTTGGGCGTGGGGTTAGCCTCGGTGGGCAGGTGACGCCCAATGACCTGGTACTCGGTGAGACGCCCTAAGGATCCCAGTCAGCCATGTTCTCCCATCCGATGAGAACTGCCTCGTGCAATGGCTTCAGTCGTTGCGTATATTCCGTGCGAAACGTTGTTGACTGTTGTGCAAGTCGTCGGTCCTTTGCGATGATTTCATTTCTGCGCCACGATATCTTCGAAAATTTCGTCCTCCCCCATTAGTCGTCCAGAGTTGAAAAATCCTTCCACCATTCTTGTTCCCAACCGATTCCAGTCCAATTTCAATCGAGTCTTATATTATCCGATGTCGCTGAGATAAAATGATGCCGTAAAAAGTCGTTCAACGATCGCAGGGGGAATATCGCAATAGCCGATCCACCATTGAGAGACAATAAAGGTATTTTGGAAAAATTCACTCACCCATCTGGTAAATTCAGTCAGTAACAATTTCAATATGTCGATGAGCAGATCAAAAGGGTAGGGCTTACTTTGATTGTTGACGCTGTAGTGGTTAGTCGACGAGAGGTGTGCCGGCTGCTGGACTCGTCGCGGAAAGGAGGATTTTTGGAACAGTTGATTGTGAGCTAGGTTTAGCCCTGCTTAGGGCTAAGCGACCGTGTGGCTTGGTTACCCACCTTTCCTATTTGGGAACACTAGCCACACTAATGGTGGCAGCAGTGATTAGATAAGACGGCTTCCCTGAGCGCCGCGGCGGCTTCCCCACCTTCCTCCGATCGCGTCCGCGGCTGGCTTCATGGACCTGGAACTCCTGTCAGTGACGCCGATTGTTGGTCTCTGTCGCTCGGACGTACGATCGCCGTGAATGCATGTCTGCTGCTAAACCCCTCCCCTTCTTCCCCGCCTCCTACTTCTACACGCTTTTAATCACCAGCCATGTCCAATATCTTTGATGATTTCAAGGAAGGCCAGAAGATCGGCTCTGGTGCCCGCCTGGCGGCATCTCTCTCCCCCGTCGCGACTGCGGAGTACCCCGACCGATTGAAGTCGTTCTATTACTTTTCTAACGCCGCACATGTCTCCGCCGACCTCCGATACTCGCTCTTCCAGGCGAATGGCTTGAGGCTTCCCAAGCAAGAGCAGAACTCCTGGGTCGATATCTTTACCGCTTATTGGAAAGCTGTGGGGGAGATTGTTCGATTTGACGACTCCCCAAGACATGCCAGTTGGGTGAAGGTGTTCGATGCTTGGAAGGATACGGCAAATCAATTAATCAGGGGATACTCGACAGGCAGTTTGCAAGCCTGGACAGTGCCATGCTTGTATTCTGTCGGGAGATATTTGCGGGCATTCGCGATGAAGGCAGATGCTGAGCTTTCTGCCCAAGACTCCGTCACTTTCGACGATCGCTTCCAAGATGATGCGACGGATGCCAAGAATCCAAAGTTGGAGGAAGCTACACGAGTGCTCAACAGAATGTTCACTTTGTGTCTAAGTGACCGGTAAGCTATGTCCGGAAGCGTCGTGGATATACCATGCTAATGTTGTCTAGGGCACCGATCGAGGAATCGCGGAAATGGGGCATTTACGACACTACGAACCTGTTGTTCAAGACATACTTTAAGCTTAACACCGTTGGCCTCTCCAAGAACTTGCTGCGGGCCCTCAATGCCTCGTCTGCCGACCTTCCTGGCTTGGACGCCTTCCCCAAGTCCCATATTGTCACCTTTGAGTACTATGTCGGTGTTATACACTTTCTGGATGAGAATTATGCCGAAGTATGTGCTTCAATCATCAATGTTAGTTGCCGGTGCTAATAGCTGGTTTCAATAGGCTGAAGAGCATTTGTCGTACGCATGGAGGATGTGCAACAAACATGCCACAAAGAATAGAGAGTCAGTACTCCACATGCCGCCCCATGCTACATTGCTGACTACTTCAAGATTGATTCTCACCTACCTCGTCCCCTGCCACCTCGTCACCACACATACCCTGCCCAGCAAAAAGCTGCTTGCACCGTTTCCTCGTCTCGAGAAGCTCTTCCGTCCTTTGTGCGACTGCATCAAAAGGGGAGACCTGGGCGGGTTCGATGCCGCAATGACAGCCGGGGAAGAGGAATTTGTTAAGAGACGCATATACTTGCCCCTGGAAAGGGGACGCGATATCGCTTTACGGAACCTCTTCCGCAAGGTCTTTATTGCCGGTGGATTTGACGAGCCCAAGGAAGGACAGCCTCCTATCCGCCGCACACGGGTTCCCGTTGCCGAGTTTGCAGCGGCATTAAGGATCGGTACTCATGCTGACGACCGGTCCCGCATAGACATTGATGAGGTTGAATGTCTGTTGTCGAACCTTATCTACAAGGTGCGTGTTGAGGTGCCCGAACTCTATCAAAGCATTTGACTGACCAAAATTGTAGGGGTTGATGAAAGGATACATTGCCCGTGAGCGCGGCATGGTCGTATTGAGCAAAGGTGGAACTGCATTCCCTGGAACGGGGGTTTAATCCTGCTATCATCTGTCATCGCATCTTTGATGACAGCCTCCGTTTTCTTTACACCTATCGAACAGTATCGGGCCACCAGTATGCCATGCACAAGGGCATAACCCAAGAGCCGTCAAGATCACGGCTATGGCAGGGAAATCTGCGTCGCTTGCCAGCCTGTATGATATGCGCTACCACAGGTCATTGAGCAGCTCCCATGCGGCATGTATATCCTAGATGGCGGTCTACAGGATCTATGCCTCCAACGGCGCTGGTACATTAACGGACGGTATACCCCGCAGTTATGCAAGTCGTCCAGTTAGGGCTGGTGACATGCCTCAAATGCCTGCTTCAAGCTGAAACAGCTGTAATTTATACCATGATAGACCAGTTTATAAATACCACATAAAATATGAATACCTCATGACTGATACAGTTTCGCATTCCTCTATTAGTCCCTATAATAGACACATTACTATACAACATCGCATCAAGCAATACATAGCATACAATAACCATCCATCTCAAACAATAAGACTATCCCAAATCCCTCCAACCCTCAAAACAAAACATAATAACAAGCCCAAACCAGCCGGGCTTCAGATATCACTAACACGCCCCTTCACCCCTCGCCGCCTCCTCAAGATCATCCTATAGTCAATCATCTGAATTAGCCACCCCGCACACATCCTCCACTTTGACAAAGGGGAAAGTTTTTAAAACTCACCATATGATTACACATCGCCACAAACAAATCAAAAAACAACTTCCCTCCACGTTCCATCTCCATCTGCATCGTCCCACTCCGCTTAAACGTCCCCCGACTCCGAATAATCAGCGCCAGATAATGCGCCCGCAGTTTACTCTCCGTATCGGGAGTGTGCATGTATGCGTACCGCGCACTGCTTAGGATAATGTGGCAGGGGATGTTGGAGTGGAGGCCTTGTTTCTTCAAGGCGAGGCGCTTGAGATGCTCGAGGGAGTATTTCTCGGCTGCGCAGCTATGTAGTACATTTATTGTGTCAGAATAGGATGGGATTTTGGATGATAATTTGGGGAAGAAAGGGTTGACATACTATACTGCTGTGTCGCGGAGGATCTCTGCTCCTACCGCTGGGTGGAAGATGATGGCGTTGGGGTCGGTGGTGTCTTTGTTATTAGTGGTCGTTCTGGTATTAGTAGACGATGAGGGGGTGGTTTCCAAGTCCCATGTGTTGGTGGTTTTGTCGTGGCGAAGACGGGGGTAGTAGTCGCCGCGGTAGAGGTATTCGAGGACGCAGGAGAAGATTTCGGGTTGTTCGTCGGGAAGGTCGATTTGTCTCATGGATTCGGTAGGGCTTGGTGAGGAGGAAGGGGAAGAAGAGGGGGAAGAGGAGGAGACATCATTGTTGGGAGGATTGCAGAGGGCTGCGAAGTAGGGTGAGACGCAGAGGATGTCTTTGTGTGCTGCGAAGAGGCGTTTGGTTGGGCCAATGGTGAGGGTTATTACGCCTTGCGAGAGGGAGGAATTGCTATTTTTTGTTGAATTGGGTCTTCTGGTTAGTGGGTGCCTTTCTTTTACTGAGGGTTTGATAGGGAAAGGATGTAGAACCTTCCATCTGGGGGTGTGTCAGGGGTGTGTCTGCTGCGATGGAGACGTCGTGATGCGACGACAGATTGTTCGCGAGACCGGGGTTTGGCTTTTCCGGCTCGGTATCTGGAGGAGATGCTGTCTGGGTGGTGGGAATGTAGGCGTTTTGTGGAGAGTACTCTGGGGCTAGGGCGATGGAGGCCCTGCTGTTGCTGTGGTTGTTGCTGTTGGGATAGCATTGTAAGGGAGGGAATTTCGAAGGAGATGGAGATGTAACTGGGGAGAAAGAATTTGACCCTGTAGATGGAAATCAGGGGTTCCTTGCGATTATAAAACTACTAGTACTGTAGGATACTCGGTGGTAGAAAGAGATGGTAAGAACTGGACAGATACATGTATGTTTGACCTCTCCTATTTGGAGTGCCTTCTTTGTCTCTGGAAAGGGGGTTGCTGAACCACAAGCACAGGCCATCCTTTCTCCTCGCAGAGGAAGGGGAACGAGGGAGGTTCCCCTGCCCTTTTATTTCCAGATCCTGGTCGATTTTGACGCATTATATATCAACTCGACCAGGATGCATGTTCATCTTTGTGCAGGAGGGGCCATGGAGAGGGGAAGAGCAGCGAACGCGTAACGGCAGGTACTGCTAGTAATGGACGCGTAAAGTGGTTTTTTGTGCATCGCCAAATCATCGCGCAGTCACGGGAGAGCCATTGGCCAATGATGGCTTCAAGGAGGGAAATTGGGAGGTGGAGACTTAAAGGCGCCAGAGCGAATCAGCCCGGCATGCTTCGTTCCGTCCACACCCGCGATCGGCGCAGAGACTCGATGCATCCAAGTGAGGGTAGCTATGGATTGTATGGCCAGGGGAAACAAGGTTCTTCCTGGTCATTACTCATGGACTAAACGCAGAATCCATGGCTCATCACGTCCAGTTGGTGTGGATGGGCGGATTTCACCATCCGTGACTCATGGGTCCGTCTCCGGGATCATTCTGTCTGTGTCATACCGCCGTGCCTGGTTCGGGTGTAGACAGGTTGCATCAACAGCCGCTGCTTTCTGGAATTACACAAAGACACCTTCAAGACACTTAGCTTCGCATGCAGTGATCCGATTGCATCTCCTGGAGACGGCCAGTCACTGTGAGATGATTAGTCTGGTCCTTTCTACGCTGGATGGTGTTCAACGTCTCCAAAGTTGATAGCTCCGATTCCTACCCCGCCAACACACTGGACGGTACAACGCTGGTAGTATTATATCCTTTCAAACATAGTAAAGAAACGTTGCCGCTATGTACAACCATGTACAGCCCAGTTCCCGTGCCTGCCCAGCCCGAGTACGCCCATACCATAACGCCTGCTTGCAAATTGTGTAACCGACGCCCATTGCGGTGTGGAGATGTGCCTGCACTTGTGATCCGCTATATCCGCTGAACTGACCCTGTCGGTTCAACTAGAGGAATACCTTTCGCGCCTCCCGAGGATGACTCTCACTCGGGCAGTAAGGGCACTTGAACCGGCTACCCTTGCACAACCGTTTGAGTGACTCCTCCGCGATAACATGCCCACAGGGCATCATCATGGGGGGATTCTCATCCGTGGTTTGCTCCTTTGACACGGGACATACAAAAATAGAATGGAAGAGATATGACGGCGGTAGCGGAATCTCAACCTATAAGGCGTACCAGTCAGTCCACGAACCGTCATGCATGCCAATCAAGGTAACTTACCGGGAGCTCATTCTCCGTGGTCCACTCGGTGCGTTTGGCTTTCATGATAGTCTGCAACTTCAACAGTGTCGGCAACGCTATCGCACCAGCCGTAGCAGCAACATATAGGGGCGAATCGGCCGACAAGCCGAGGAGCGAGCAAAACTCTCGCGTGAATGAGTGTGCCACATCGGACCATGCCGACGGGTTATTGAAGATATGATTGTACGGGGAGTCTCGCAGATTGGGGCAAAATGCCATGGCACCCATGAGCTGTTGGACCTCGCGCAGATACCTGGGCAAGAACGTGTGGAATTCACGCCTGCCATATTCCAAAGCTGCCTGCCGTCCACCCGGACTGGGTCCTTGCTGATGCTGTCCGCCGTAGAAAAGCCAGACGAATTGCAGCCTGCACAATTCGAACTCAAGGTTACTACCTCTCGCTTCCAAGGCCTCCTTATTCTCCCTGGACCACTGTATTGCCGGCAGCAGGTTGTTGTTTTCCTTCAGCTCATGAAGGATGTGGTACATGGTGTGGAACTGTTGCCGCACCTCACCCGGCGGAACTTCATCGAGATCTAAGAGCGAGGCCGCATTGTCTATAGCCTCTATATCTCCTTCTTGCTGCTTTTTCATCGCTTTCTTTTGTGCCATTTCGTTCAGGAACTCCGACGCAACGGAAAACTGTCCTTCTCGGAGAAGGTGCATGGCGATGGCCCTGTTGATAAGGTGTTCTTGGGACGAAAGGACATCATGCTCGGTGCTCGGCAAAGGTCGATCTTTGAACAACTGCGACAGTGAAGTAGTTAACATATGCCATTCACCGTAAGAGCCTGACGCGTGCTACCTTATCTAACGATTTGGAGTATTTGTTGAGACCACTGTGTGTTTCTTTTAGACTATCGTTGATGGAATCAAAAGACGATTTGACGGGATTCTGGAGCTTAGCCAGTGTAATGGATGCTTGACTGGGATCTGGGATTGTCCTCGTGATCAGTATAGTTCCAGGATCAAGCCCGCGCAACGTCCGACGAGGCACACGCACCTGCAGCAATTGCATCTCGTGCCGACTGAAGTAAATCTATGGTAGACTGCACGTTCTTAATTCCTTGACCGGCCTTGATCTTCTTGGAAAGCCGGTCGTGCTCCTTCTGCACCAGCTCCATGACGGGGCAGACGGGAAAGCGGTGTCCGACAGTTACCGCACCTTCACTTAAGCAATCGTTGCAGCCATATGTAGGTGAGCCTGGTGATTGTGCTGCTCACCGCAAGATCTGTTATGAAGGTCAAGATCAACAACGAACTCGTGAGGGAGATACTCGAATGGAATAGAGTCGGCTTCTTCTTCAGGTCATCGGAGCATGGGCAGGTGAGGAGGAGAACGGAGCGGCAACCAGCCCAATTACGACATGAACCATCACGTGCAACTATCCGGGTGCCCCGCCCGCGGCCCGTTTGCAGTCAACTTTCCCCAATAACATGATCTAGATCACTCCAATGCAATCTATAAATGATTGCTATCTACCCAATAAAGGTCTTTTGTGAATCCCAGTTTCCCTCTAAGATACTAGGCGTTTGTCTGTCACTGAGTCTCAACACTGATAAGAATAATAGACTCGTAATGAGTGCGGCATCGGATTGCCAGTCACACTGGAATTGCTTTTCCCCTCACTAATGCAGTGAGATGCCGCCTTACATTGCCAGCTCACAAGTAGCTAACTCATTACTTAACGAGTTAACAAGAGAACCTGAGCCACTGAGCAAGTAGAGATCCGTGCCTTACCCGACAAGTCCTATGAATGCCTCTGCTCCACTTGTCAGATAGCATGCTGGAATCACACTGGGTGCGTCCCACCCACTCACTCTTGCAGGCCCTCTTTGTCCTGCGACATCCGGGTATTCGAAGCACACGCTCGCTAACTATACTGGTCCGCTTCGTTTCTAGAGCCTTAGCGGGTTCCTGTCGACTGGATTGCCACAACCCATGGAGGTGGGCACATTTCCTTGTCTTCGAATCAAAGTTACTACCAACGGTGCATTGAGAGTGAGGCATTCAGAAGAGACCACAACAAAGGTGCCTTTCTATACGCCTTATCTGTCCAAGTCAAAATAATGTCTCTCCTCTGAGGCCCTTGGTTTTGGGCAATCTTCCGAATTTGTGGCGAGAATGAGTGATTGGCCTAGGCAAGACCCATATTCTGTCGCGGTGAAGCAGCTCTGCCTGCACCAGGGGATCCCTATTCACAACTGTTTGGATTCTGGACGCCGACAATGACATAGCACTGGCTGTATTGCAGATTGCTCTTCCGTAAAAAGGTGCTGCCTGTCAAGATGCCGACTTAAAGCGCAGTGAGTAATTTTCGGTAGTCATTAACAGCTCGTTATGTTTGGGAACAAGACTGGGTCCGGTAGTAGTAGTTCCAAGGTGACAGTAGTGGGTTTCCAAAATGGCAGAACATGGCTTATCGACGGACTGCACCCTGACTCGCTGAGAAACCCACATACACCACTTTAACTAACTCAGCGGATATTTCCAGCTTGGCAGTCTGGAGCATCATGATTATTCCTCTGTGTGTGTGAAAAGGTGTCGGTACCTCCCTAGTAGTCGCGAAGCAAGACAGTGACTGTAGGATCATACAGGCAGCAGATTCCGACCAATCATAGCCAGCATAGACCCTCGCTTACGCTAGCTCGTCCGGTGGGGCCCCGCCGCAGCACTATATAAGCTCAGCGCACCCGCCCTCCTTTTAGACATTTTCTTTCTTTTCTTCTCCATCCTGGTGCACGGGTTTTACACGTGTCAGTGAGGAGACATCCGAGACCGTGTTTTTGCTAGTTGAAAACTACCTAGTTTGACCGCTCTCCTTGGTCTTCGGATCGGGGAGGAATTTTTGAAAAAAAAGATGCCATGCCTTCAAATTTTGGAGGCGGTTAAGAGTGCGTAGACAGTCCTGCTGTTGCCCATTTGTTAGTTCATCTGGGTAGTACTCGAGATTGGTCTTCTTTTCACTGCTGTTGCCTCCCTTGAGGAGGCCTGGAGAGAAGAGAGCTTGACCACCTGTAAATGGATGTATTTATCTACTGCATGTCACTATTATAATAGACCCAAGATATCTGGTACATGTGAATCCAGTTCGCTGCGCATGGTTGACTCGGGCCGTTCTACTGGGGGTACTCCGGACTGGCAGACGCGTCCAGTGTCCGCCCACTCACCACGGCTTCTCCCGTAGGGCCCTTGTGGCAGTGCTGAGGAACGATTGAGTTGTGGCTGAATGCACCTAGGCAGCTGCGTTTCATGCAAAATTGATTGGTCTAGATGTAGTGTAGTGTTCTAGAATGGTAACAGCGTCCTCACGCTTACCCCCAAGGATCGTAAGACTTACCCAAGTAGTATCACGCTTTCCTGTGTTCTGTCTATATGGAATTGAGACCTGCTAGTTTCGGATATACACTGTCCATCCCGTGGGGTCTGTTTGACCAGAGTGGCCCCCAAAAGTCAGGGCGATGATGGCTTAGCCGCTCACCGCTCCAGGCATGGTGGGAAACCCTTGTGACGTCGCCAACTGAACCTGCTGCAGATGCCGCGAACAACAACCACCTTTCGGCCAGACTTGTACTTCTACTTTCTCCTTCAATGATTTGACATGACATGGACAGCCCTTAGCCCGGCTTGTTAAGGCTCATAGCTTCTTCAACCTCGGATATGTTACAGTTCTTCCTTACCTCTGTACAATACGACAAGACCCCCGGAGGGTCAACGCTTCTGTCTCTTTCGCCTTTATTTGAGCACGGCCTCCTGGTTTCCTCTTCTTCGGATTTCTTGAACTCCCACGCACTTTCATAGTATTTAAATCACCCTTTTGACAGCCCTTATGTGTTAAGGAAATTGTTCCGTCTTCATCATGCCACCTCCCGCGACGCAGACAGGCGGCCAAGCTCCGCCTCCTTCGATAACCCCCCGCGAATTGGCAAAACACTCTATTAACACGAAAGATGTACAGTCTACACAGCTCGTTGGTTCTGAGGGACAGTCGCCACGGCATGGTCGCCAGAGACTCGTATTCACCGATCCGGTTGCCCTCCGATATCTCGAAGAGGATAATGAAGCAGATTTGCTAGGTCGACGCTTGACTTTAGAAGGATATGAGGCATTCATTGTTGAACAATGGGCCTGCACGCGCATGCACCCCACCTTCATAATAACCACCTATACGGGGGATCCTTCGCACAAGGTCGTGGTGGGGGTGCTGAGCGTCCCCACAGACGAGTCTAGGTGGTCGCCCCGTATGAAGATGTACTTCGACGCAGTCAGGCAATGCCAGGCGCGGAAAAAGGAAACGCCATTGGGGACACTTATGGTTACCGACCTGAACGAGTTCCCATTGGCACTGACTCTCATTCCGGTACCCGACGGTGATGTTCTGAAACACAAGGAGGATTTTATTGTGAATGAAAACCTGAAACGGTTGGGCTGTTCAGGCCGCTCTGGTTTAAAGCTACAACCGCCCTCACCCGCTACCGAGGGGAAGTTCCATCACCTTTACCGAACGAGCGAAAAGGTGCCTCTATACACTGCCGTCATAGAGCTTGTGAAGCAATGCCAGATCGCTCTGATGATGTTTGGCAATCTTGCTCCAGAGTACGTTGACGGACTGCTCTGTGATGTCACAGAAGCGGCCATAAATGATTGGTGGACCGAGACGGGTATGGACTTATACAACATTGAACCGAGTGATTCCATGTTGGGTCCTATCTCAGTAGCCGCGCTATTGGGTACACTCATGGGGGCGCGAAATCGGCTGCATGCTTTCGGCGCTCCGGTGGGTAAGGATGCGTTTGATATTGATAACCTGACGAAAGGCATCGGAAGCTTTCAAAAATCACAGAAACTGAAACGTACCCGAATATTAGATCGACAGACCTTAGATCGCCTGCACCGGGTGACAGCGAAAGCTGCGAATGCAGAAGGCTGGACCGATGCCGTGAAATCAACCATGGCAGAACTAAGCGGACACGGGGGAGAGATGGTCATGGGAATGGTCCGGGGCCGTGAAAAAGGCGGGATAGCTGATATCGAGACCCTCGATATCGATAACTTTGCACACCTGGTCACCGGTGAACGAGCAAAATGGCTGTGGAGGGGAAAGCCGCGAAAGGGCGGCATTGACGACAATGCACAGAGTGCAGATGTCGTATTTACTACAGACGACCCAGTGGCCATTTTTGGACGAGTCGAAAACGATCCTCGCACGAAGATCTAGTAGCAGACCGCGCACTGCAAAGCTCAGATCGTCCAGGGAGGCCGCCAGAATCAGCATCGTCCTTAGATGAGAAAGACCAAAATCTGGGCCGGTTAGTCCGAAAAGGGGTGAGCGAGAAAGTGTCAGACGCGCGGGCAGGATTTGGCCGGTTCAAGGATGCAGTAGGCCTCCGGTCCCATCCCCAGAAGCACTCTAGGGATGACATAGACCTTGGCGGTGCCTCTACTCATTTGTCACCCATCGATAGCGACACAGAGGTGTCTCAGTCGAAGAAATCAGATGGTGGTGCTCCAGTCGGATCCGTGGATGTGCAGGACCATGAAGGTCAGGCCCCGAAGGATGACTCGCAGGTTGAATCTCCCCCAAGGACGATATTGCCGCAATCACCCAAATCAAGAGCGCCAGCCATAACCGTAGAAACGGTTCCATCCCAGGCTGATTCGGAATCGTCGCGTAAGGTGTCAGTACCCCGAACAGATGACGAAGCGCAGGACCTTGAGCGCTGGAGGACACTCTCCACCGACATTACCGTCGATCCTCGGGAGCAGACATCTGAAGTTGGTATTATGCTGCTGCGTCGACCGCAGAGCTGCACTGAACTGAACGTGGCGAGTGACTCCAGTCGTCTTGATAACTACTGGCCTCGCCATCTGTCCTTCAGCACTGTCGAAGAGGTGGTGCTGGGATGGAAGGATTTGGGAGGTGAGGCTTTCAAAGAGAAGCCCGATACTCTTCTGGATGAGGCCATCATGCAAGAAGACATTCTGGCCTCAGATGCACGAATCTTCAGCTCACGTATCCAGGAGCTTAGTGAGCACACTGTGCCTTGGGTCGAGCAGCAAGTGTCCTCTGTAGATGATCTTAGCCGGTGTTTACACGAGAGCCGCGAAAAGGTCAACGCTGCCTACCTGGAACGGCTGTCAATCTTTGAGCAGATGAGAGCTAGGTCGAGCGACCTGTTGACGGAAGAGCACAGCCAACTCACCGATTACATGAGGAGGGTCGAACTGATGGGCGCGAAGCTGGACTACGAGCTCCATGTTCTGGATTCACGTGTCGAGGATGTCGAAACCAACCTCGACGAGTTCGAACGGCATGTAAATGCCATCGAAAACAGAGTCAAGCTGCTGATACGGGGCGAGCACGAAAAGCAGGACAATTCCTGGTTCTCCTGGGTTAGGAGACTTACCGGATGCTCGACACAGTGACTGTGATGTCTCTTTTCCCAGAAAGAAGCCTTGTAGACATATATCATTTCTAATGTACATAATTTCCGAGATAGACTTGCGCAGTTCGCGTTGACCGTGCAATGCCAAAGACCCAGTCTTCGCTAACAGCAAACCCCCTTTCCAGAAGCAAACAACCTTGTATATCCATGTCCGAGCAGAAGTCATCCATCCCAATCAGCAAAATCCCAGGCCTTCCGCTCCCGTCAGTCAATCAGTCATGCCATAAGAGAGACCAAAGGAAAACAAGCCATCCAGAAGAGCAACCATGACAGATCTGAAACCCGAATAGATTATACACGTTTTATAGAAAAACAGAAAAAAGATCCAATTAGATGAACAATCGTTTCGTTGACCTCGCACTTTACATGCCGAAACCACCCATGCCGCCCTTCTGGTTCGCCTCACCCTGCATCTTCTCGCTGACCTTCATGTTGACTTCGAAGAACTTGCCAACACAGCGGTCAATGCAGACGGACTCGCCCTTGTTCAGGTCACCTTCGCGGTAGTCGTTGGGAATGCACTTCTTGATGCAGGACTCGGTGAGACTGGTGGTCATGAGTGGGTTAGTTAAGTATAAAAAGTGTCCGGGGAATAGGCAAATGTTTGGCAGGAAAGGAATATGAGCGTTATAAATGGATAGACAGGATGATAATAATTGAATCTTACCGGCTGAACATGTCGGTGACCATCTCAACTTCCGTCTCAGCCGCAGCAATCTTCTGTTCCGAGGAAAGCTTGGGGGCGCCGCCGAAGAGGAAAGACATGATGACGATGTGTAGTGGGAGTGGTGTTTTTTAGCTGGGTTCAACAGATTAGTAGCTAGTTTCAATATAATGCTGGCAATATAAGGAGCAAATCAGTCACTCACAAGTGAGAACAGAGTTTATCAATGTGTCTTACAAGGAGTATGAGTTGAATGCGCTGAACGAGCTGCCGGAGCAGACCTGAAGTTGCCGGGATTCGAAGCTGGCACTGCCGCTGCCGCTCCTCACCGCCTTAGGAATTTTCGCCGGATTTGCCAACGCGTTATTTCCCGCACAACTTGGCTCTGTTCTTTTTCTCTTTCCTTCCTTTTCTCAAAATGTGAGCACGTAGTAGTTCTCTTTTCACTCTCAATGCAACCAATTCGCCCGTTCAGGGCGTCGTCGTTGCGGGTTGGAGGTCTTTTGTCTAGGTAAGCAGTTTTATGTTTTGCTGTGTTTTTCACAATACCTCTTTTTATCCTGCACTTGCATGATGAGACATACCCTTCCAAATTACAGAACCGCTGCATTGAAGCTTGGGGGTTTATCTTCCAAGTTATGAGTAACAAGGAAGCTTTATGTCTTCTGATTTTATCTTGTCTCTGCTATCATTTTGTATGGTATTTGTCTGTTAGACATCTTGCTAACGGCATGTTCAGGGCAGGACTTCCGATTTCCCGTACATCGCAGGCCTTTCAGACTTCTGGCAGGCTTGCTCGAGTAATACAGCACACTCTTGCACCTCTGGTACAAACAAGGCATAACAGCGTCGATGCGTATCCTGAGAAGGCGTTCAAGAGGCGTGTGCAATTGATCGAAGAGGCTGTTGCTGAGTCGTATCCCCGGCTCGCGTCAAACAAGAACACGGTGAGCTGTGCGGAATTTCGTGGCCGCTACAGCCATCTAGCAGATAATGAAATAGTAGAGGATGATACAGTTGTTATTAATGGTAGGTCCTAGTTCTAGCCTAGCTGGCCCTACCATGTCGTCTCGTACTTAAATCAGTAGGTAGGGTACGTACCTTAAGACTTGTTGGAGGCAATTTGATATTCTTCGACTTAGTTCATGATGGCCATAAAATTCAAGTTATGTGCAATCGTCGTCGACTGAAGGATATCCCTCCGGCGACCTTCAAGCAGTTCTACCGGATGCTTCGGCGTGGCGATGCCTTCTGTATGTTTCACCAGCCGCTCCTTAGTATTCTGCTCTAGACTGAACGATATCCTATAGCCGTAACGGGTAATCCTCACCGGACTGAACGAGGTGAACTCACTGTTCTGGCGACCGAATTACCGCAGCTTCTGTCGCCCTGTCTGCATGATATTCCCGTTGATGCCCAAGGGCAGGAGAATTCGCCGTACCCTCGACATGTTCAATTCCTTGCGGACCCGGAGACAGTAAATGTCATCAGAGCTAGATCGGCAGTTGTCCAATATCTTCGCCAATTCTTTGTCGACCGCGCTTTTATGGAGGTTAATACGCCGATTATCGAAGCTGTTGCTGGCGGTGCAATTGCTCGTCCATTTCATACTACAGCCACCGAGTTTCCAGATCGCCAATTGTCGTTACGGATTGCGCCGGAACTCTGGCTAAAGAGGTTGGTGGTAGGAGGGTTTGACCGGGTTTTTGAGATTGGACCTTCGTTCCGCAATGAAGGTATTAGTCTTCAGTCGAAGTGTTTGAACGAAAACTGACGATTTGTGACAGGCCTTGACAAAACCCACAACCCCGAGTTCACCACTTGCGAGTTCTACCACGCCTACGCCAACCTGGAGGATCTCATGACCACAACCGAGCAGCTGCTTTCGGGCCTGGCTGAGCACCTTACAGCATTCCATCAATCGTCACCCTTCAAGAGGCCTAATCAGGAAGACACACCTCTGCCGTTCTCCCATCTCAATTTCTCTGCACCCTTCCGCCGACTCGACTTCATCACCTCCATTGAGCAGAGCATCGGGCAGAAACTGCCAGACCTCGCATCTCCCGATGCTCTCGAGCAGGTGAAGGCAATCTTCCGTGACCGCAATCATGCACTTCCAGATAAAGTGACCCTCCCCCGGCTGCTGGACGAGCTCTGCAGCATCTACGTCGAACCTCAGTGCATCGACCCAACCTTCATCGTTAACCCGCCGGAGTGCTTATCACCGTTGTCTAAGTCCTTCATCCACCCCACCACCAACCAGCGCGTCGCCGCGCGCGGAGAGCTTTTCATCGAGGGCCGCGAAGTCGTGAACACATACGAAGAGGAGAATTCGCCGTTCGAACAGCGTCGCAAGTTTGAAGACCAGGTTCGGTACAGCAAGCAGGCTGACGAGGCGGAAGAGATCGACGAGAGCTACTTGAAGGCGCTGGAATGGGGTCTCCCTCCGACTGGCGGCTGGGGATGCGGTATCGACCGTCTCTGCATGCTATTCACGGGCATGACGAGAATCGGGGACATTCTGCCTTTTGGCAACTTGCGCAAAGTGACCACGCGTGCTGATGCAGCGGCCGAGAGTCAGGCTACCGAAGGGAAAGAAAACTAGACGGCGTTTAGTGAATGGGAAGACACGATGACGCGTCTTGCGGCGGCACTCTCATTGGCCCGTTGCAGGCGAGTGGATTTTCGCGATTCTTGCAAGATCTCGTCTTGAGTGTCTTCTGAACGTTCAGTCCTGCAGACTTCGCTGGGCTGCTCGACTGCTGGGCTGGAAACCCAAACGGGGATCAGACCGACTCCAACTGCAGCTATGAGCAAGCTGCCTGTACATTACATGAATTCTATGTTATAGTAACCACACAACCCACCTCTTCATTGTACATATCCACAGTCCAGATATCACAACTCTCAACTGAATCCAACATCCACCTCTTCATATTCCATCCATTCGGCCGATGCCATCCGATAAGAAGCGCCGATAAGCACGATTGACCGGCGCGGGCCGAGGGCCTCCATCATCCCACCTGCAATCTTTTCCCCTCATTATCTCCTCTTCACCACCAACACTCTTACAACAACAAAACCACCAACATTAATACCAACACCAACAATGGCTCTCGACGACATACCCGTAGCGCAAGCTGTCACCGTCAGCCTGCAAGAGCTAATCGATGGTACTTCCACCTAATCCCACTCGACACTCAAAGCTACAAAATAATAAATCTGAACCACTCCAAAACACATCTTATCTCGCCCAACTAACAACTCATTTTCAACAAAACAACAGGCACAATATCCCCCCAAACCCTAACGGCAGCCTTCGGCCCCTTCTCCCTGGGCATAATCCTTGTCAAAGATCTCCCCCCAACCTTCTCCCACCTGCGCGCCCAAGTCCTCTCCAACGCCTCCTACCTCGCCTCTCTGCCCCCCAGCGCCCTCGACTCCCTAACTTGCCCCTCCGCAAAATACCTCATCGGCTGGTCCCTGGGCAAAGAAACCCTCCGCGACGGCCACTACGACACGCACAAGGGCTCCTACTACCTCAACTGCGCCTTCTACAAAGACCCTTCCCTGCAGGGCGCCCCCTCCATCGACACAGAGTTCCCCGAGTACACTTCCCCGAATATCTGGCCTAGCGAGACGGATCTCCCGACCTTTCGGAGCAGCTTTGAGCAGCTGTGTACATTGATCATTGATACGGCGGCGTTGGTGGCCAGAGCGTGTGATCGCTTCGCGGTGGAGAGTGTGGATGGGTATAAGGATGGGTATTTGGAGAAAGTGGTGAGGGGGAGTTTTACGACGAAGGCGAGGTTGTTGCATTATTTTCCTACTGAAGATTCCTCCTCCTCTACAGAATCTACTGGGGGGGAAGAAGGGGCTGAGGATAATGATGATGACTGGTGCGCCACACACCTCGACCACGGATGTCTGACGGGTCTCACGTCCGCGATGTTCGTCGATGAGGAGGCGCATGATCCCTCCTCCTTGGAAGATAAATCCGCTCCGTTGCCGGAGCTCACTACCTCGCCGGATCCTAAGGCCGGGTTGTATATCCGCTCCAGGACGGGCCAGGTCGTCAAGGTGAATATACCGAAGGATTGTCTTGCGTTTCAGACGGGCGAGGCGCTGCAGCTTATTACGAAGGGGCAGTTCCGCGCTGTGCCGCATTTCGTGAAGGGAGCGAGGGGAGTCGGTAAGGTGGCGAGGAATACGTTGGCTGTGTTTACGCAGCCGAATTTGGAGGAGGAGGTGCAGGAGGGGGTTACGTTTGGGGATTTTGCCAGGGGGGTGGTGGAGAAGACGTCGAAATAGGACTGAGTGTGTCTAGTTTAGTTTATTGCATTGGATTAGCTTGCTAGCGAGCTTTTGGTATCTTCTTGAATATAGTACAGTCCAGCTCAATCAATCATCATGTCTTACCCGCTTCCGCTCCCTCTCTCTCTCCTTGTCAGGCATATAGTTCCCCTCCTCTGTTTCCTCTGTCCCACCTCGCAGCTGGTCCATCCGTAGCGTGAAGTCTTCCTCTTCCTCTTCCGATTCTTCTTCCTCCTCCTCCTCCTCCTCCTCCTCCTCCTCCTCCTCCTCCTCCTCCTCCTCCTCCTCCTCATCATCATCACCAACCGACAACCGACTCGTCCCCTCCTCCGCCTCACTAACAGGATTACTCAAATCTGCACTCCCCAACCCCGTACTAACAAGCTTACTGAGCTTCCCTACCTTCGCAAAATTCGACCTTGACTTCGTCGACGGCCGTCCCACATCCCCAGGTATCTTCGCCTCCCTGAAATCCGCCGGTCTCGCCACCCCATCCAGCACGCGGAGATTAGCCCGCCACATCTTCACGTCCCTGGCGTCGCTATAATGCCCTACATCCTCGCCATTCAGTGAGTCAATCGCAAGCGTCTGCGTGCGGAAATCGCCCCAGAACCATTTCTGCCCCTCCGGGATACGCTCGTCGGCTTGGCGGGAGTACACCCGTCCGCGAAGCACCCCTTGCAGGTCATATCCGAGTGCCAGGGATCCGAACATGAGTTGCAGTGCGTCTGGTTCGTAGAGCCGGCCGAGAATCATGTCCTGGGATATGTCGACAGAGGCGCCGGGGTGCATGCGGTACCAGTCGCCGTAGCCGCTCATGCCGACGTAGTTGAAGGCGGAGACGACTTCGTCTGGGGTGAGGGGTTTGATGGGGTGGAGGGTGTTGCTGGAGAGGTAGATGCGGCGGTCGCTGGGGGTGTAGACCTTGCCGCGGATGCGGACGATGTATTTCTCCGCGAGATGTTTGGATCTAAGGGCCGAGTCGCAGTTTTTGAGGTCGAGGCGGATCTCATCGATTACCATTATGTCGGTGACGGCTGGGTTGGGGGTGGAATGGGGGCTGTTGAGGTTGTAGTTCTGGGGTTTTAGGCGGACGGCGTCGCCGACGGTGAGGAGCTCGGCGCCGATGAATATCCCCCGGCTGTAGATGGATGCGTCGGGCCAGACACCTTTGAAGTGGTATTTGTCTAAGAGGCTGAAGGAGGACATGATGGTCATGGCGTATTCGATGGAGGGGTGGAGGTTCTCGCGAGGGATGTTTTGGAGGAAGTGCTCGTAGGCGTTGAACGGCTTGATGGATTTAAGGTAGACGTATTTGTAGTGCAGGGAGTAGCTCTTGTCGGGACTGTGAGGGTCAGGGAAGGTTTCGACGCGGAATCCCGAGTAGTTGATGCTCTGTTCTTTGGGGGATGTTTGAACAATGTCTTGGAAGATGGTGTCTTCTTCGGGGACCTGACTGACGATACCTGCTCGCCATTCAGGAGTGCCCAGCCATCGTTTCTCGCTGGGAAAGTAAATTTGGATCTGATTGTTCTCAGGGTTCCAGGCTAGTTCGCCTTCGAAATCTGGCGTCCAGAGCACGATTTCTCCAGCACGGGGCAGAAAGGACGGTTGCAAGTCCAATTTCTGGATGTATTCGTCAAGTGGTGAACGCTCGGCTCGCCAGTCCATGCTTCCGGGTTCTGTGATGTCCGTCTCCTGTAGCCCTTTTAGCTCAAGCTGTAGCACAGCCATCTTGAAGACGTCTGGCGTTCCCTCGTTATCTGTACAAGGGCATGTCGCCGATCCTGAAAGCTTTCCTGGAGGCCTGCCAGGAGGTCTACCAGGGGGCCTACCAGGGGGTCTTCCGGGTCTTCCTGGTGGTCGTCCGGGTGGCCTTCCGGGGGTTTTGCTTGCGCTTGATCCGGGAGGTCGGCCAGGTGGCCTCCCCGGCGGCCTACCAGGGGTTCGAATAAGCGTTCCAGTTCCAGAAGGTCTCCCCCGAGGCCTTCCAGGACCTCGCTTTTCTGAGCCACCTTCTGTGTATTGCTGTCAGCATTGCACTGGAAGCCTGGATAGCCATGGAAAAATACCTTGTAGCCTCTTTGACATTTTCTCGCAGAGAACGCAGGCGCATGGTTCTTGGCCACCCGTCATCAGGTAATAGAAATGCGGAAAGAACTGCTTCGTGGAGTTGAAATACACATCTGTTGGATGGCCATAGAGGAAACGGTCGTACTGCAAAGAGTTAGGGATGTGAATGCGCTTGGGAGTAGAGCGCGAAAAACCTACAATATCGGGGTTTGCCATACGCGGCCTGTCAAATAGAGCATAACCATCGGGCAGACTGTCCAGGATGTATTCTACTCCTAAAAGCAGGGTTAGTGAGGTGAAAATGCAATTATGATTTCAATATGCTAACAAATGCAGCGACATGGCTCTTTTCCTTTCATTTCAAAGCATATCAACTAACGTTGGCCTCCACATGATGGTACAATTAGGTATAAGTTGCGCCAAACATCTCATTATGGATCCCGAGTACATAGTCCGAAAGGAGTATTGGAGAGGTAAATCACGAACAACCTCAACAGCAGCCGTGCGAAGATGTAGAGTGCTCGATCGAAGTAAAATAAGGCCAAAGTAAATCATGCGATCAACGTACCACGCTCATAAGCTCCCGTCTTTTGCAGCCACATCGAGGCCAGCTTCTCTCGATAGTAACTATCGTCTGGTCTCAGGAACCTCTCATCTTTGGGCCAGTTGTCCTGGGTGCCGTCGCTGAATGCGCGATTGATTGGAATTACGACCATTTTTTGCTGGTCTGATGCAGATGAGTCTTGCATAATGACTGACATTATAGCAGAAGGGGCGTGTTTCCCCTGCAGGAGTAGTTAAACTTAGATAAGATTGAAAATAAGAGCTGGGTATAAGCTGTGATTAGTCTGCACGCAGAAGGCATATTATGGGTTGGAAGGAACACGTGACAGGAACACTGAGTAAGAAGAAGTGGTAAAACCAAAGGGTAGAAATTCAGGAGGAAAGGAGACAATAAGAAAGCTATGCAGCATTGATGATAGTTGAAATGAATGCATGGGACGAGAACAGGATCCGCTCTGCCGCCGTGGGTGACGGTCATGTGACTCTACAGATGGGTAAATCACCACCACAGCTTCACAATAACATGTCAATCTATTTCCATCATCCAAAAGTCTAGGCACAGATTCACCCGGACACTAATTCAACATGCATTGATAAACAAACAGTGGTCAGTGGTCAGTGGTCACGGCCTCAACCAACCTGATCTGAAGTGTAGGAGAGCCTACTGCTGGTCATCCTGTACCTCAACTGCTTCCGACTCTGATCCATAGGGTGGTGGAGCAAGCTCTCCTTCTTCAACCCAGACTTTGCGTAGCTCGTTTTCAATCTCCTCCCGACGCTGTTTCCACTCTTCCACCTTGTCAAGCCGCTTTCGTATCTCCTGCAGCTCCTTCTCTACTCCCAGCTTCTCTTTGGCGGTGCCGATTCTCTCGAACTCCCATTGCTCACCCTCTTCGCCAATACTAATGCTAAGGTTATATGTGTGATACTTCTTCAGCGACGCGCGTGTGGAGATCGTGATCACGGTTATTCCCCGCTCCTTTGCCCGTTGATACAGCAGGCCCTCGACGTCAGAAGAGACCGCTGAGGTTCCTTCATCGAGGAAAGCATAGCGAGGCTCGTGGTAGTAAATTCGTGCCAAAGCCATGCGTTGCTTCTCTCCTCCGCTCAAAACGTCCTTCCACTCCTTGCGAGTGTCCCATCCGCCCTCTCGCCCAGGGAGGTAGCCCAGATGAGCGTCGTCCAGAATTTTCTGCAGTGCAGCATCGGTTATGCCTGCCTCGTGCATGTCGACTGCAGTGTGAGGGTAGATTACTTGATCGCGGAGAGTCCCCACGCTGAGATAGGGCCGCTGGGGAAGGAACATGATGCCGTCAAGCCCAAACCCTCTTGGGCGACTGACCAAACCGCGGTACACTGGCCACAATCCTGATACAACCCGGGCAATAGCAGTCTTGCCGACGCCATTCGGTCCAGATATCAGAAGATGGTCGCCGGAGTGCACGACGAATGACAGCGACTCGATCAGATCATCGCCACCCCGGGGGTATATAGAAGGTGCGACGATGGGAACTTGTTCAAGACGTACACCATCAAATCCGTTATGAATCGTCCCTTGTACATCCGCGAGGGAATATAGCTCTGCATGGGAATTGCGTGGAGGGTAGTAGGCACTTGCATGCACTCGGTGGAGCGTGGATATCAAGCTGTAGACCCGAGACGTGTACCCAGCCAGCTCCGAGATGTCCTTGATACTATACATCATCCGGCCACCCGCATCCGCCAAAGACAGCATCAGACGTTTGTTCGTAATAAACTCCTTCATGCGATCGCGTTCTCGACCAGTCTCCTTTGGCACGTCCACCAGCTCCAGGGCACCACCCATGCCGCCCCAGGCTGGAAGGAATATTGGCAGGGACGTGATCAGGTAGCCAAACGCAGACCAAGCGTATTTCAGGATGACGTCTTCTAACATGTTGTAGCGGATCTTGAGACTGTAAATACCCTCCATCCAGCGCTGGAGATCTTTGAAGCTTCTCATTAGGAAAACCCTTTCGATGTCTGCACCGCCATAGAAAGAAATTTCCTCGGCATTGGCGAGTAACCTTGAATGTAGACCCCGGAAGTCACCCTCTTTCTTCCCCTCGACAGCCTTTAGCTTTCCGAACGGTGGCGAGAGTTTCCTCAGAACTGCTGCGGTACTGAAGTAACCCGTGAGAATACCCGTAAGCGCCAGAGGCCCGAGAGAACGGTACAATTGATAATTAAACACGAATAGGTCCACCATAGGCTTCCCCATGGACGAATATAAAGCGGCTGCTGCAGAACAGAAGAGGGTAAGGTCTTGGGTAATGAACTGGTCTGGTCCTTGGCCAACACCGCCATCCAGATTCATCAACTTGTAGTAGTTGTTGTCGCCAGTAAGATAAAGATCGTGGATATATCTCGTTAGTCGGGTCCGGAACGCAATAGACACCTTTGATTGGAGAAACTTGATCATGGCATTGGTGTAGGAAGCCAGGGTGCCAATGCCGCACCATTTGAGAATGCCCCAAGCGAAAGCGCGCCCTTTGCCAGCGACAAGATCCCTCACAATCTCGCCGTCCAGTCGTGCGATCAGTAGAGATAGGTACGTCCGCAAGAGCAAGAAAACCCCATGGCCCATCAATAATCCTGTCTCTTTGCTACCCCATCTCGGGACCATAATACTCCCAAGACTGAGGAATTGATGAAGAAATGCCAAATTGATCCCTGGCTTTGTGGTTGGCGGCGGTATTTGATTCACTGATTCTCCGTCGCCGACACGAGCGGCAGCAGGTGGGTTCAAGAACAATCGCCGATGCGCATCGAAAGTCGTTTGTTTGGTCGGATGAATCACAACCTTGGAGGTCATGGAGCCCTTATAGGGCACATAGATGGTACGAGTGCCATCTTTGCCTCGAATCCCGGAATTCCGACGCAGCAGCTGTCTTCCTCGTGCACGTTCTTTAGCCCTTTCCCTGAACCATTTGTAGCCTCCATAACCAGAACCCAAGATAGATAGGATCAGTGCGATCGTGGCGATGATTTGGGTTGTCTTTGATGAACGCTTGATTCGGGAGCGAACGAGACTGGCATACTTGTTGTACAGCGCCACGAGGGGATCTTCTCGACGTCGAAGGGTTGAATGAGCGGCCATTATTTCTCGTGTATGGCCAGAAAATCACTTCAAGTACAGACTGTGGGCACCTTATAGGACAGTGCCCTCACGGCAGCTGGCATTCTTAGGCCAGACTGTCGAAGGCCATCAGGAGATGGTGGAAGCGTCCGCAGGGATGACGCGTTCTATATCGTTCCGTGGTGCAATTTCGAGGTCGGAAATGCTGTGAGCAGTAAATATGGGTAAGAATAATTGTGGTTGTGAGACTGTTGTTAGCGGACAACTCACTCAGGAGCTCACATTATGGATGAAGCTGACGATGTTGTGGAGAGTTGATGCATGTGAAGACCTCGGGCCAACATTGCGGAGGGGCGGAGGCGCATCTCACGTGCGGAGTCCCCAGACCTTCATTACATCAGGATTTAGCATCACAGAGACCTGCTCGGTTATTTTAAGAAACTTCCCATAAGCCTAATATCCGAAAAGGTGGTACGTATAACTTTTTAGATTGCTTCTAGGTGTTCAAGTATTCAATGAACCCGTTGACATCATCCGGTTGATGTTGTGGCACTGAATCATTTGATTTCACAGATCATGTACCACATGTAGTAAATGAGGCACCCAAATTGAATCAATTAATCGACAGTAAACCGGCTGTGATAATGCTCTGCGGTATTGAAATTGGCAGGTCCACTCTCTATCAGTCTTACTATGGAGGCCCTTAAGCGCCCAACTTCCTAAATGGGACCAAGTGCGCTGCAACCAAGACCAGCCGGATAGAGAAGTCGGGTACGATTCATGCGATCCACAACCGAATAGAATTGGGGGCATTTTACGCCGTGTGGAAGGAGGGGTCTGATCATTGGGATGAAAGAAGAAGGTAATTCTCGGGAAATTACATGATGGTAGCTATACTCCATGCGACGAAAGTACCTAGACGAGAGTACGGTAGTAACGAGGTCACTGGTTCATCTGATAGAAGTAGTTGTTATCTGCATCGATAGATTGATCTGGTGCAGGTCAATTAAGCTTCAATAGCGGGATGTTGTTGGTAAAATACAAGATTTACCAATATCGCACGAGGCACCTAAATTTGAGGTCAGTGCAGGTCCGGGAGACTTTAATCGGAGAACCATATGGCAGGCCGGCACTTTGGCAACCAAGAAAGCTCGGAGAGATCAAGCGAATCTGGATCGTTGTCAGATTTGAACACGGCATTTCTTGATTCCGATATCTTGGTCTAGCTCTTCCATTTGTCCTCGATCTTATGGCTTGGATGCCAGGAACTGAAGGCATAAACGAATATCTTGAAGAACAAAAATAGCATCCGAAGGCTGCAGTCTCGCACTTGATGCGGGGGTTGGATACAACAGTGGGGATGGCATGGAGATCAGGTCTTACGGGGTAATTACCAGCTCCCTCTCTTGCTGCTGAGTGATGGTATACAAGTCCTTGCCAGCGGTACAATCCAGGCTGTCTCCGCATACCTGTCTGAAACCAAAACTTGACAATCACTTGGATCTCAAGACAAGCAAAGTGGTTTGGAGAATGCGCCATCCCTTGTGTGTCAATGATCAACCATAAAGGATATTGGAATGTAGCACTTAGGTAGAAATAGGATAGGAAGATTGTATTGTTGGGGTTGTTGCTTAACTCCTACCTAGCAAACCCCGCATAATATGGATGACTGCAGTGGCATCTTCTTTGGCAGGAATGGCTATCACCCTTTGAAGCGGACCGTTATTTACGAACGTAGGGTAACACAAACGAAGGAAAGGGGATGCTGATACCTACAGCGTATAGAACATTGAGACTAGGTATGTGTGCAGGTATGCAAGCATGGGTAGGTGGCTAGATAGGATGATCGACTCTCCTCTCGACAACTGCACGGGCCTATTTTTGTTAGAGAGCATCTGATTCGCAGGCAGTCCCAAGTGGATGCATGGAATGACGCCCCGGGCGCATTATCCGCCAGCCATGGTGATGAGCCTTTCCGGACTAGAGCATGTTAATGGTCTTGGAAGATGACCCAAGACCTCTAAAAGCTAGCTGCTGAACAGGGCCTTGGACCCAGCGAAGGAGGAATAAGATTGACGGCGACATGGGAGACCTGAGCAGTCGCTGAAGCCGATCACGGTCGGTGATAGATAGCCAATGGTATGACTTATTCCAAACAGAATAACGGATGATGCATGTCTTGATTGACCTTATAGAATGCTAGAGGGCTTGAAGATGTTAGATGTGAGCGGATTCGTGGTACTGTGTTAGGGCATGGGGGTTTTTTTAGGCTGAGGGCTGGCAGGACGAAAAGCGAATGAAGATACTGATTTCCTCGGAGTGGAGGTGCCCGTCCAGGATCTCAGTCCCAGAAGACTGTAATTTCGACTCGATCCTGTATTAGGAGGTACTGATCACCCACAATAGCTGTAAGTTATTCTTGGGCCTTGCCTACTTGGTATTGGTGCTGCCCGCTTGGCTGAGCAGGAGACCGTCGTCACCTGGAACTGTTTCCGGGGTCTTGAAGAGGATGGAGGGAGGGCCAGGGTGTAGGTCTCCCATGATTGTTAAGGTCATGAGGGATGAGAAGCTGCAGGTTCAGTGAAGGTGGTGTGGACCATAAATTGACCCGACTCGTGCAGACCATACTATTACGGAAGAGAGATGTTACGGCCAAAGAAACCACGGCCCCCTCCCAAAGACACCATCAAATGCTAGCAGATATGCACGACGGCTACAGGTCCTCTAAAGGGACTATTGAGCTGCCAGATATACCCCAGCCTCACCTTGTCAGTGGTGGTTGAGACCACCTTGACTCTTGGCTACCTCCGATTCGTCCTAGAAGCGCCCGCGGAATAAAAGACGAGCAAGGTCCCTGCACCAAGCCTTCTGGGGGGTAACAATGATAACACTTACTTTCGGGCTTTGCTATGTGATCAATGAGAGTAATTATTGAAAATAAAATCAGACTTTCATAACTTCTCCCAATTTTGGTGATATTTCTAACTGGGTGCGACTGCTACATAGGACGGCATAGGCCTGTTCACGAGTCGGAACGTGTTCCGGATGACCTCGAGTCGAAGGCTACTACATACAGAGGACTACTTACTACCTGGGACCGGGCTGTGGGTAGGCGTGTAACTAACTAGCTTCTGCCTATGCATGAATTACATCAGTCTGAATCAAATGAAGTATGGGGGATCCTGCTGGTATCCTTATCATCCACATGTCTGTGCAATAGTAGTTAATCTGAATTCTCTGAGGAGCGTGGTTCACCATCACCATGGGTGCCGGCAAAGATAAGTTGGTACGACAGACCTCATAGTGATTAACCGGTTCCAATGGGGGGTAATCAGGGCGTGCAAACTTCAAGGTACGGGGCATCTCCCGTCAAATCAGGCCCGAACCTGCTGCGAATGGAGACTGAACCTCCGTCCCAATGCTGGACCAGCCAGTCGTAGCAGTTCTGAGAGTGTCTGGCCCCAATTCTGCAGCCCTGCATCTTTTGGTCCAGACCAGACTTGGCCTGTGTTCTCCCGCTTTTTCTTTTTCCATTTTTCTTCCCTTTTTTCATTCGTCTTTTCTCCTGGGGCCCGTACTAATTTCTCATGCGGTTTCCGAGGTCTGCTGCTTTCCTCTTACCCCTTGCCCCCCCGTTTCCCTAAGGCACATCCGAGCATCCATCAATGCTCGTCCCTATTTAACGGTACCTCCTGTATCTCTCTGCACAACTGGTTAGTTAATTTAAGGTCAGCGCATAGCAACACGAATGGAGTAATTTTAAATTATTTTTCATTTTCTGTCTCTTATTATTATCATTCCTGTATTATAATTGTGATAATAATAATAATGATGATAATTTTGGTTTTATTACTATCATCATTGCTGTATTTGCCCGCCCACTTCCACCTCCCTCCCCTCCCCTCCCCTTCTCCTCTCTCACCCCTCGGGCTCTGCGTATTCTTCTGCTAATTCCCTCTTACTCTATCTTTCCTCTTTTCGCTCTTATTCCCTTTCCCCCCTTTCCCCTTCGTCTTTCTCTCTCTTAAACCGGTTAGCCGCCAGTCAAGGAGCTAAGAAATAAGCCACTCTCCACTATCATCAACCGGCTTGCTTGACCACATCAAAACACCACCGCACCTGGGCTGATTCCCCTTGACTTCCGTGCTCCCCTGTCGCTCATCCCGACTGTAGAAAAACCGTCATCAGACCGTCCAACTAGTGGAAACAGGTCTCTTACCTAGTCCGCTGGCTACACTTTTTTTTTTTTTTTGACACTTCCTTTGCCCATCGACTAAGCGAAAGGGACGAACCCACAGCACAAGAAATCCGATCACCAACCGCCGATCAGATTACTTTCTCGGGGGGCACCTTTTTAGAGTTCCTTTTCACCTTAACTTCCCTCCCGCTGGCCAGCAACCCGTCAGCCCCAGTGCAACAAGCGATCATACCCTAGATCGTTTACGTTACAGCTATTATTCCTCTCCAACTAACTAACTAACTAACTAACCCATCTACCGGGCTGTCTGACCGGTGACCTTTGCCTGAACCTTGCCTAAACCTTTTTATCACATTCTACTACTCCGTACCATTCTTAAATCCAAAAGGTCATCACGAGTCAAGAGGCGCCCTGGCCCAACCACGTGATCCCCTACTTTCAAACAGCCTGCACTTCACACGCTCGAACCCTTCCATTCCTGCGATCATCCCCAGACTTGACCTCCAGATCGTGCCGGTCGCATATGCTTTTATGCTCGTCTGCCGCCCTGTATATTCTGGACATTGGAGGGCGGATTGATTGGATCTGCTCATAGCGAACGAGTTCTTTTTAGTGCTGCGCACTAGCCTTATTCCAGGCGGTGGTCCGGGTCCCAGAGCTAAGCAACTCACTGGTACTACCACCTTAGTAACCTGCCTCCATCCCATCCATTCAGTACGTGCGAAGAGCCAGGAGGCGTGACTGCACCCTCTCTCTCTCTCCTCATCTTCCTTGCCGGCGCAACCCCCCTCCCTCCCCTTCTCGGCGGTAACCCTGGTGGTCATTGTCCTCCGACTCCTCTCTATCTCGCTCTCGCTCTCTCTTTTCTACTCTCGCCACTCTTCTTCCCCTTGGCCTTTTTGGTTTTCCTGTCGGCTCAGTGAACCTCGCTCTGCTACCCTCAATGCTCGGAGGGAGCTTGGAGCGAGATTCTTCACCATCAAACTCAAAACCGACCACCGGAGAAGCGCCCATGCCTATCGCGACGAGCCCCCCGGACTCCAGTAAGTTTCCAACACCGTTGTTTCCTGGATTCGCAGTAAAATTCTCCGATGCGCTTCGGTCGGTTCCGAGTATTGTTACTGATATCTTCTTGGTTAGATCCTGAACCGTCGCCTCAGGACCAGCCCGCCACCACCGATGCGTCGCCTCTGTCGAACAATGTAGAGCCCACCAATGCGGCTCAAGAGTCCGTCGCACCGGCCCAGGGCTCGGTAGACGAGTCTGCAGCCACCTCTGCCGACGCACCGAAGAAACATCATCTACTGTTGCCCATTTCGTCGCGTGCATCCTTAAAAGCGGATCGACAGTCTACGCTGGACAAGAGTCAAGACACCGCCCACGATGACTCCGAGAATACTCTTCGCGGTTCGAAAAGAAGCATCTTCAAAGGTCGTAGGGACAGGAGCAGAGGCAGCAGTATGAGGTCGCGTCGGCAGAACCAGGAGGGGGCCAGTATGGAGGAAGACAAGTCGGCAAGCCCTGACTTGCGTGATCCGGCCAAGCCAGAGAGGAGAAGCAAGGTCTCGTATAGGTTGTTCGCTTTCTTGAGCTGTTGTTCCTCGCCCAGCGATGATTCGGAGGACCCTGCCATCCCCGTGAAGAGGACATCCAGACAGCCATCGGTCCCCCACACCCAGGCCACTCCGGAGAAGGCCGACGCCAATGCTGGTGATTCGAGCACCGCGGAATCCAAAGACCCAAGCTACTACCGGGATGAGAAACCCAACATGACCGTGACGTCGAACCAGTCCATGTCTCAAGTGGACGAAGAGCGCACTGTGACTACTTCCGAGCAGGGCGCTCAGCTCGATGGCGCAACGGTACCTTCGGGCCCGGCAGAGACAGAAAAAGTACCGGCCTTGCCACAGGACAGTGCTGATTCACAGGGGCTTGGTGTAGGCCAGAGTACTCAACCTTCCACCACGACCGCCGAAGCGAGCGCTGTTGCCAGCGAAGCGGAGGAACCCAGTCAGAAAACAGAGGAGCAGATAATTTCTACCTCCACAGAGAAGGCTCAGGATACTCCGACTGCTCCTATAGAACTGGATGAATTGCCTAAGCCCCCGGCGTCTGAAAACAGCTATGACGACGAGAAGTACACTTCACACGATGAGGAGGCGACAGTACTTCCAGCCGAATTGCCTCCCCCGACGGGCCCATCCGGACACCACGTCGACACAATGCTAGAGGAGACGCAACAGCAATTCCTCTTGCCACCACCTCTTCCCCATCTTCGGGACAGGAAATGCTTGGTTCTTGATTTGGACGAGACGTTGGTTCACAGTAGTTTCAAGGTCCGCCCTCCCCAGATTATTTACCCAGTGCCAGACTGACACTATGTTCAGGTTCTCGAACGTGCGGACTTCACCATTCCCGTGGAAATTGAAGGGCAATATCACAACATCTACGTTATAAAAAGACCTGGAGTCGACCAATTCATGAAAAGGGTGGGTGAGTTGTACGAAGTGGTTGTCTTTACCGCTTCTGTCTCGAAGGTGAGTTATTCCAAGACGAGGGTTGTCGGCTACGCATTCGCTCACGCTTCATTAGTACGGTGATCCCCTGCTGGATCAGCTAGACATTCACAACGTTGTCCACCACCGACTGTTCAGGGATAGTTGCTATAACCATCAAGGCAACTATGTCAAGGTTTGTCTCGGCCAGCTCCATTCCCTTGCGTGACTAGGATGCTGATCCTTGTGTTAGGATCTTTCTCAAGTAGGCCGCGACCTACGCGACACGATTATCATCGATAATTCTCCGACTTCCTATATCTTCCACCCTCAACATGCGATACCCATCAGCAGCTGGTTCTCTGACGCCCACGATAACGAGCTACTTGATCTGATTCCCGTCCTCGAAGACCTTGCCGGGGCACAAGTGAAAGACGTTAGTCTGGTTCTCGACATTGCATTGTGATGCCTGTAACTCTAGTTCTTCTGGCATTTGCATTACAGCATGCTTATCTTCACATTGCGGGTCCAGTCGGTTTCCAAAAAGAAAGAGTCGTCTGATCTTTGTTCAACTATACGCATGGAACGTCTGCTGGGTCGAGCAACCAGACCATCCGGGCAGCTCACTCCAGTCCCGTTTGGAATCGGAACACTCGCGGCAGTTCCACCATGAAGATGTGTTCCCCTTTCCTGTTCTTCCCCTTTTTGACCTTTTTTCCTTTTACCCCATGTCACTTGCACCGTTTTTCTTCCGAGCACCGGCCATGTTCTTGCGCTCCCAGCGAGCAGATACCAGATTACCCCCGCCAGTCTTGTTTCCTAGTGTTTGAAGTTTCCTTTCTTGTTGCATACCGCAGGCGTCAGTCTTGGTCATCAGCCAAAATTTTGCTGATCTCATGTATACGCTCCCCGATTTACATTCCCTCTTTTCTTTCATCTGTCTCTTTCTACTTTTGGTTCCTTTCATCGTCTCCATTTTGTTTCTTCTTGCTTAACATGTAGCCCATACGAGGCTCGACCCACCGTCCTGGTTATTTTCCTAGTCTCCTTGTGCCCGAAGATGTGGACCCCAAAACCCAGCGTTGTTTTTGTCATTGGTGCGCCATGGTCTGTTTTTTGGTAACTCCCTTGCGCGTGGCATTTTGATTCATGTCTCAAGCGCCTGTCGCTGCTTCTGGTACACGCATAGTCTGAATGGTCCCGGACTCTTTTGGGATCGGCGACTTTGCAATGTATATGTACTGATTGGGCGTGCGTGCTGTACATAAAAGCGTCCGCCTACACCATTCAGCTTGTCCCGTGTTTAAGTAGTTTTGAATTGACCATTTCACGAGACGGCAGAGCTCCAAGTAATATTTAGTCTAGATCAGAAGTAGTGAGAAAACGAGAGGCAGTAACGCATGTAGGCAGGGTGATTGGCGATATATCATGCATCTACAGCGTGAAGTGGATCACCTCCCACGGCGAAGGCGGGCTGGGATCACGCCGCGGCAATAATGACCGATCGGTCATCTTCAAATCTTCCATCGATCCCGCTTTTGTCCGCACTACATCGTGTCAGCTCATGTGAGTATTCCCCGATTAGCCCCGTCATAAAGTCTTTCATACATATATACATACATATTTCCCCTGCAAGGCTGCGTCCGTTCCCTTGAGCCTCCATCCAAAGCTCCGACGATCTCCTAATATTTCTTGGCAGCGTCATACCATTCTCCCCGCCTCCGATACCATCACCACCATCAACCACTTTTTTCTCGCAGGACCTCCCTACACACACGCGCCCACACCCCATCGCTCACCATGAAGGACAAGAACGGCTGGGATGGAAAGCTACGGGTCGAACCCAAAGCGACGATCACGAACCCGGAAGCGCTAGAAGACCCCGATTACTCGGACTCGGATGCGCCGCCTGTGGAGGAGATCGAGGCCGATGAGGGTATGTCCATCATTGCCCATATATACCGGGATGCTGTGAACTGGTATAACGGTAACGCGAGAGAAAATATACTGATAGTGGGTTTCGTATTTAGATCTATTGGAGGATGAGGACCCGGACGCAGAGGTATACGCTGATACTTNATCCGACGCGACGCGTTGGTTGATGGACACAACCAGCTAGCTAACACATCTCACATCAGGAAATCGACCTTGTTCACTGTCGCATAACTTCGATTCCGGCGTTGCGATTGGAGCGGTTTCCCAAGGTGAAGGTATGGCAGGAGTGCCCGGCATGTGTGTGGCCGCGCGACCCAGTGCTAATAGAACGGTGAATGGTATAGAGACTATGCTTCCGACAGAACCAAATCTCGCGAATCGAATTCCCCACGGAAGTTGCCAAATCGTTGACGGAACTCGATCTCTACGATAACCTTATATCGCATGTGAAGGGGCTTGATGAGTTCGAGAACCTGACCAGCTTGGATCTCAGCTTCAATAAAATTAAACATGTCAAGAATATTTCGCATTTGGTCAAGTTGACCGATCTGTACTTTGTGCAGAATAAGATCTCGAAGATAGAGGGGGTGGAGACGTTTACGTCGTTGCGTAATTTGGAGTTGGGGGCGAATAGGATCCGGGTGGGTCTTGAATGTGCTTCAAGTGATGATTGGGGTATTGTTCTGACTGGTTGCAGGAAATTGAGAATCTGGATAATTTGAAGGCATTGGAAGAGTTGTGGTTGGGGAAGAATAAGATTACGGAATTGAAGGTCCGTGGATTGCATTGTGATTCTTAGGTGTGATATGCGTTGGCTGACTGACCGGGGTGATGATATAGAATCTCGATGGCCTCTCCAACCTGCGCATTCTCTCCATCCAGTCGAACCGTCTCACGAAAATCAGTGGGCTCGCGAACCTGAAGAACCTGGAGGAACTCTACGTGTCTCATAATGCGATCACCGACCTCAGCGGTCTCGAGGAGAACACTTCGCTGCGCGTGCTAGACTTTTCCAACAACCAAGTGTCCAAGCTGGAACATTTGTCTCATTTGAAGAATCTGGAGGAGCTGTGGGCGTCCAACAATCAACTGTCGAGCTTCGATGAAGTGGAACGCGAACTCCGGGACAAGGAGAATCTCCAGACGGTGTACTTTGAGGGCAACCCGCTGCAGACGAGAGCGCCAGCATTGTATCGGAATAAGGTGCGGTTGGCGATACCGCATATCATGCAGGTTGACGCGAGTAAGTCCTATCGTCTATATCTACTAATGCTTACGGAGATACTAACAAAACCCAATGTAGCGTATATCCGCGTCGTGTAAGGGAACAACCTATGTTCATCTTCTCCATACCATCATCAACATCATCCATAACTACTTATCTACCCACCTACCTACCTACTCTATTAGAATTACAATAAACGAAGTGACGTACCGTAGCCCGCTATACATACATGTACAACCCACCGACCCAACCAAAACCAATGCAGTATTATACAGAGAACGAAAACAAATCATACAATCATCAAACCACTTCACTTCACTTCGTCCCCTCATCCTCCCCATCCCCATTCCCACTCTCCTTTCCATTCTCACTCTCCATCCCAAACCGATACAACCCCATCAAACTCTTCCCCCCAAACCTCCACACATCCCGATCCAGCATTCTCTTCACCCGTTCCGGCACATGCGCCTTCCTCCTCATCGGCCCATCCGCCAAATAATCCAACGGTATCCCGCTCTTCACCAGATCCTTATACATATGGCTTTCCTTGTCCACGTAGAAGAACGTATGGTAAGGGTTGCGCGTCATCGCCGAGACGTGGTTATGCCGCGATGGTTGGATCGTGCATGTCAGGGTGTGTGGTTGTTGCGTCGTTTCTTGGGATTGCGTTGCTGGTGATGCTGTGTGGTTTGCATTGGAGGGAGATTCGTCTTGACTCTGGGTTTGTGTTTGTGTTTGTGTTTGTGTTTGTGTTTGGTTCTGGATGGGAATGGAAATCGGCGATGCCGCAATGGCCGAAGACGCCGCGGATGCGGACTCGAAGATGGCGATGGTGTTGTGCGCGGATTTGGGGGATGTGTTTGTGGGGTCGTACTAAATTCACCATATTTCTTTAGCATTGGGTTTATGTATTTAGGAAAAAGGGGGGTAAGGGGGGAGAGGGCTACCTTTAGATTTCGAAATGTCACGACTTCGCCGAATTTCTGGAGTGCGGAGAGAATGAGTTTGCTTTCGGAGAGGGAGCGCGGGGCGGGGTGGGTTTTGATGTGGATGCTGCTAGTTAAGGGTTTGAGGGTCATTTTGTCTTTATTGTGCGGTTCTTAGGATTGGAGTTGAGGGGGGTGTGGTGGGATGTTCATGAGTAATGAATGGATGAATTGAAAGGGAGAGAGAGGGTAATGGATGAATGGATGGAGAAATGTGGTTATCGCGACGCGGTCTTGGCGGGTTTATCTATTTTATCTTATCTATTATCTACATGTCACATGCATCAAGTATAACATCTAAGTTGTTATGTATTCATATATATCATATACACTCATAGCTGAATGGTCTAGAAAATAGGAGCGTAGAGTCCGTACTGTAATAATCAAGTTAGCAAATATCCCCACGTATCAAATAAAAAGCGGAAGGAAACTCACTCCCAAAGGATCATTGAACCGCAACCCGCGATCCAACCCAGAAATAGCCTTGATCTCCTCCTCCTCCAAATTCCACCCAGTAACATCCAAATTCTGCTTCAACCGCTGAGGGTTGTTACTCTTGGGGATAACAGCAATCCCCCTCTGCGTCGCCCACCTCAACAACACCTGCGCCGGCGTCCTTCCGTGCTTCTCGGCAATGCTCTTAACAAGCTGATGCTCGAACAGCGGCGGCGAATCCACCGCATTCTGCACACTCAACTCGAGGAAACTCAACGGACCAAAAGAACTATACGCCGTAACCGTCAACCCCTCCTTCTGGGCATACTCGACCAATCTTGTCTGCGTGAGGTACGGGTGATGCTCGATCTGCAGCGTGGCAGGACGAATGCGCGCATACCGCAGCAGATCCATGACCAGCTGCGCAGAGAAGTTACTGATACCAATGCTGCGGGCAAGCTTCTTGTCCACGAGCGACTCCATCGCTGTCCAGGTCTCCTGGATCGTGGCGTTGCCGAACTCCAGTTCGTCCTTCTCGGACTTCCAGCCCGGCGGGTAGCGGACCGCAGGGTCGACGTATTTCAGAGAGATGGGGAAGTGCACAATGTACAGGTCGAAGTAGTCGATGCCCCAGTCAGCGAGCTGCTTGCGGCAAATGGGCTCGACGCGGTCGCCATCGTGGAAGCTGTTCCAGAGCTTGGAGACGATGAAGAGCTCTTCGCGCTTGACGAGACCGTCTTTAATGGCGCGGGCGATGCCTTGGCCGGCTTCGACTTCGTTGCCATAGTCTGGTTTGCGTGTTTAGATTGGGAATTGGTAGTGATTTATAAGGGGAGGGGAGGGTAGTACCGCAGGCGCCGTCAAACAGACGGTATCCTTCCTTGATGGCGTGGTAGATCTGGTCGGCGCAGGTGTCGTTGTTCACCTTCCAGAGACCGAAGCCCACGAGGGGCATGTCGTAGCCGCTGTTTAGCTTTACTGTGGGAGAGGCCATGGTGATTAAGGAGTAACAAGGTCGTGTTGAGACAAGGTATAGAGACGCGGTCGAAGCAGGATCAGGGGGGGATGAAGGGAGAGAAGGGGAAGGTTTGGAGGGGTAATAAGTAACTACCCCTCGGTCATGGCATTATGAACTTAATCCATTGCGCGTATCCACTGGAGGCGCCATACACGGCACGGAGAGCGGCATTGGAGGCTAAATGAAGTTGTGGCGGCTGTTTTGAACTGGGGAAGTAACTTATCCAAAGGCTGGCCGGAAGCCATCCAAAGTCGGGCCCGGCTAAATTAACCCATTTGCCGGCTAAATGCACGCCACTCAAGACCCTAATCTTGCTTTTCTACCATTACTACGTTTACAACTTGGAAGATAATATTACTGGGATATTTGTAATAAGAATAGAATAATCATTGTGAATAAAAGGTATCCTGCCATTATTATACACTGCATATGAATCGAAGATTAACCCGCCCATCACATTATTAGAAATACTTTTTTTCGCCCGTAATTATCATTAAGTATTCTCGCTTGGCCTGTTCATTAAACGGCCTGTACTGTATTACTCGCGGTGTAAGAGTGCGCGTGCTCATGCGCTCCTCCGTTCATATCGGTCGGCAGGCTGCCCGGCCACTTATCAAGCTCCTCAGGCATAAAGTCATAGCTGTGGCTGGGATTTGGCTCACGGGGCACCGCAACATGGTGTTCGGATGACGGGTAGCCCATGTGCGGGTAGTGGCTGCCGGGGATGTCCCCAGACATTGCAGTGGTTGGTGGCATCCAAGATGCCTGGCTGTTGTTGATATCATCGATAGACTGTGCGCTCGTCACCAGCATGCCATTCAGCAAGGCATTGTTATCGTGCACATTGACCCCAAGTGGCTGGCTGTGGACATAGTGGCTATCATGCTCAAGGCTGTAAGGACCATGCGTGGAATGCGACAAAGGAACTTCAGACATGCTAAGGATGCTTGTGCCACTGTTGGGGCCATTGAGACTAGTCTGCTGGTTGATATCATGTGATTGTAGGCTTGGGAAGGCATCCAGACCCAAGGTCACGGCGATCTTATCGTTGAGGCGGTCCTCTTGCTTAAGGGGACTCATGAAATCAAAAGGCGCGTTGAACATTTGAGCAACGCTCTCCTGGCCTGTCGAATACAGAGGCCAAGGGTTTTGAGAAACTCCGTGGTTATGAAGCAGCTCGTGGGATTGGGGTTGGTGGTAGACACTAGGGCCCGGCCGGTTCAAGAGTATCGAGTCAGCCAGCGACATGGGAGGAGGGAGATCGATGCCCGTCGCTGCCTTGGGGCTCGCGTGAGGGATTCGATCCGACGAAACCACTCTACGCCATGTCGTGGTGCCGACTACGTCGCGAGGCAGCGTCTGTCGGAACTTCCAGAGGATAATTGCCACCCTCTTTTTCTCACTCACGGCATGTCCAGAGTAAGGGTTGGACATTCTCCGCGAGCTGTAGGGTGCCATAGCCCGGATCTCCTGGACTACAGTCAGGTGGCGGAGGAACTCCCTAGCTTGCTCGTGGCCATGGTGTCCAGCATCCTCGGCCATCTTTTGATCTTGCGTGAGCTTGGTGAAGCGATTCGCCCACCATTTGGATTCAAAGTGGGGCTTGACCTTGGTGTGCGTCGCGGTGTGCACAGGCCTCGCGACTTCCTGGCGCCCTTGATAGATCTCTTGGCCATTTTCATACATGTAGATCTTGGAGGACCAATTCTCCATCTCACTGAGGATCGGAACGCCAGCCGCACTGGCCTGGGCAAAATCTAATTCCAAGTGAATGCCGAGTTTAGAGCGAGCAGCCGGGAAGTCGTCCATCAACTTCAGGTTGGCTTCGATTAAGATAATGTCGCAGTCCAACGACCCATTAGAATTCGCCATCAGCGAATTGAGGTAAGGAAAAGATGTTTGCCAGTTCCTGATTTCATTCAAGGAGATTGGTGCGACCGGATGGCGCTGGTCGTCTTGAAGGCGACTGTAGATATGGCTCGCGTCCTCGATACGATCATTCTTGTCTGGCTCGTTTACCCACATACCGAACCCGAGGCCTTGAATAGTACTGAAATTGCTCTCGGGCCAGCTGGCGTTCATGGAAAATGGGGTAGGCGGCAGATCTCCTCCATAGGCCTGTCTCATAGGGTCATGATAGGTGGGGTGGAGGTGAGTGCCATAATGACTTGACAAGGGAGGATCCATGGCAGGCCCCCATCTTGGACCAGCGGGCGGATGTTGGTTGTTCGAGCGGACGTTCGCCTCTTCTCGTACGAGTCGCTCCCCTAGACACTTTTATTAGACCAGTCCGACTTGAGTATTACTTGAATATGCCACTTACAATCGGGGTCTCCTTTGAGGAACGAGTCGAGGACTTGGAGGTGGCTGGAGACTTGCTTTCTAGTTCTTCGTTTACCAGTTTTCTTGTAGATGAACTCAGCAATGAGCTCATTTCGACCATATGACTTTCCTCGCTCGGACCATTTCCGTCTGCCCATTGGCGGATTCGCCTCGAGAGCTATCACAACATTAGCTTTCATGTACCGTTCATCTGAAGCATTGACTTCTCACCTTGTTGAAACGCGTCTTCAAGCTCGTCCGACCATACCGGTTCCCCATCTTTGCCAGTGTCTCGACGTGGACGGGACCTGTACTCCAGATACTTGCTGGACCTGAGATAGCTTCTGGGCCTGCTACGAGGACCGATTAGGCTGGGCCCAGATAAATGCAGGCGCCGGAGCTTCTTGCTCTGGAGCCGGAGGTTCTGAGGGGGCTGAAGGGTGGTGGGAACAGTGGGCACTGGATGTGTTGGAACTGGGGGTTGAGGATACTTGAAGGCAAGTTGCTGCAGCTGGTCGTCACGACCAACAGTGCTGCTGTCGGCTAGGTTGTCAGAGTATGTCTGGACGTTCCCAGAGGTGTTCTGCAGGGCCCTGTCCGTATGGGCACCGATGCTCTCAAGAGCTGACTGGTGTTGAGGCACAATACACCCCGTTTGCCAGTGCGCCATCGAGCGGACCACCGGAGAGGATTGACTCTGGGAAAGAATGACAAAGAATGCCAAAGAGGAGGGTGATGGAGGACAGCAAAATGCTTTCTACCGCCGTACCAAAGAACCAGTAGTCACAAACCAGCGATCAAGAACGTAGATGCTTGGAGAGAATGTAAGAATTGGGAAAGAGAATGTGGGAGCGAAGAGCATGGTGTTTATAGGAAACCACTACTCTCCCTGGAGAGGGAGGCCTAGTGGCATAGCTGAATCACGCTGCTCGTTGATACACCACCCCTCCAAGGGCTATGTCAACTGTTCAAGGCGGGGAAAGGAATCTCCTCCCAAGCTTCACGCGTCCAGGTCGAGCTATGAACGAAGGAAGATCCTGTGTCCGAGCAAATCAGGAGGAAAGGAACTGCACGATGGGAACGAGCGGAAGACCCATGCAAGGGATGCTCCCTGAGCACGAACCAGTGAGCTGCTCCTCGGAGGTTTTAGTGCACGAGACGAGCAGTGACTGCTAATTTGAGATACATTTAGGAGCAGCTAGACGTCCAGGTCCGTGGCAATGGCCATCCTCTGGAATGAGCAGTGGCCAACGAAATCGTCCAGTGCCACGGCAGTGGAATGTAAGAGGTGGTTACGTAGATCATGTTGGAATGTATGGCCTGGACAATCCCAGGACCAGACTAATCTTCACTTGGATAACCAGGGCTCGAGCAACTAGGTGTATAAGGAGTTAAGGGAAGGAAGCCTTGAATCGGCGAGGATAAAGGAACCCGCGATGGGATGACAGGAATAGACTCGGATGAAAGAAGTCCACTGCACGAGCGGACGGGTAACTCTGCAGGACGCGCGCGTGTGTACGTGTTGACAGCCGCAGGAACGTGTTAAACCTGCGTCCGCACCATGCTCAGCGTCCGGGAACGCAAGGGATATTAATATCAAAATCGAACCATTGCTATTGTCTGTCCCTACCAACAGGGAGAAAGAGTAGGGACTTAGTCCTCTTCGCCGTCCTGGGCCCCTACAGTGAACTTCTTGCGCCCAGGCCCGGCAAGCTTTTGTAGCTTGACCCTGTCCATCTGTTCCCCTACTTTCTTTTCGATCTGCTTGATTTCTTCCTCGGCATCGATTGCCTCCTCGTTTGCAAACTCCAGGACCAGCTTTCTGCCCAGAAGATGGGTATTCTTCAACGCGTCCATGGCGTTTTCCGCTTCGCGAGCGCTTACAAAATCCGCAAAACCGAAACCACGAGCCGATCTATCAAACTTCTGAGGAACCCGCACAGAGCGAAGTTGCCCGTAGGCTCCAAAGAGTGACCGAACATCCTTCTTGGTGGCCTGGAACGGCAAGTTCTTAATGATGATCTTCGTCCTTCTGGCTGCAACCTTCTTCGCGGTATCTTCACGTCTCCGCTCTTCAGCTGCATCCATTCCACGGTGAGACACCCTAACTACCAGTTCATGCTGATCAAGTTTGTAGCCATTCATGGCGGCAAGCGCAGATTGAGCCTGGGCTTTTGACCTGAACTCCACGAAACCAAAACCCATGCTGAGCGTCTGTCCAGGATGCTTAGGGTCAGGCTTCGTCTTGATCTTAGCAGACACAAAGCCGTCCAGTGGCCGGAAGAGGTCCACAAAACTCTGGTTCGTAGTAGCAAAGTTGAGGTTCTTTACGAAGAGGGTTGTAGTGGGCGTAAGGTCATCAACCTCATCTGCCGCGAAAGTGTCAGCAGTGGAGAAGCCTTGAGAGACAGCCTTAGTCTCTATCGTTGCCTTCTGTGGCACGACTGCAGCATCAAACAGATCCTTGGGTGCCTTCTCCAGGAAGAGGATGGAGTCTCCGAGTTTCCGGTAGGCAAGTCCCTTGAAAGCCTTCTGGGCCTCATCGGGTCTCGAAAACTCCACGATAGCTATCGTTCCACTAGGGGGCATGAGTAACCTCGTTATTTGCCCGAATGGTTCGAACATTTTCCTGAGCTCATCAGTCTTGACGCCGTACGAGAAGTTCTTTACAAGGATAGCAGTGTTTCCACGCTCCCGCTGCTTGAAGGCTTCGATATTAACCCCATTAGCTGAGAAGTAAGCTTTCGTTTCTTGAATTACGTGGGTTTCAGCGTGGGCCTGCTTCACAGCAGCATCAGATGAAGTAGGATCCAAAAGATCTGCTTTGGAAACACCAAGTCGCTCAGCTACTGAAGACATAACGGCATCCGTCTGCAATATATTAGCGTATAGTACTGGCGGCTATCATACGAGCTACTCACGTTCATGTAGAGAGAGTTCCAGCTAAACGTAGAAGACGAAGCATCCATCTTCTTTTTGATCTGCTTTTGCTTTTTCAGGGGTAGTTTCGCCAGCTCCGCATCATCAATCTTGTAAGTCTTCTTTGCAGCTGCTGGCAGAATATGCATCAAGCGACCTTGGAAGTGCTTTCCGTCAAGATTCTTGTAGGCCTCTACGGCCGCATCTGCGTCGAGGTACTGAATATAGGCAAAGCCCTTGCTGGTATTAACCCTAGTATCGAAAGCCACATGGATCTAGGCACATTAGCATAATTCAAATAACTAATGAGTGAATCAAGCAACAATATTGAGGTGTATAGCTCATCAGATAACAAGAGGCATCTACTAAAATACTCTTTCCTGGTAACATCATGTGCTTTGCATCTGATGTCCCTATCAGGACGATCATCATTGAGCTGGGGAGGGGGTCGTGGATGGCAGAAAATAAAACTCATGGATTCACTAACCTCTTCAATTCGTCCGAAGGGAGCAAATAGCGGTTCAAGATCTGACTCCGAGGTGTCATAAGCAAGGTTTCGCACGAACAGACGTGCAGATAGACGGATATTCTCAATATTCGTGTCGACCTGCGGCTCCTGAACCGTCTTATCCTCAGTCGCTGCGGGAGCGACAATCTGGGCATCCCTAGAGTCAGCACCTGGATCCTCTGCTTCTTCTGGAGCTGCAGATTCCTTCTGCTGCGCAGCAGCGTCGAAATCCGCCTGCTCTTCCTCATCAAGCAGACCAAGAAGGCGACTTGTCTTGGAGCGGAGCCAGTCCGCATCCGAAACAGCTGGCGCCTCAGCCTCGGCGACAGTATCATCTTGCTCTGCCGGTGCCTCGGCGTTGCCTTCTCCACTGTGGTCTACCACCATGGGTTCAGGTGATCCATGAGCTTCGCGGTCAGCTGTGTGCATCTCCTTAGAGTGATCATATTCCTCGCCAAGCTTCGCCTTCTTCCTCTGTGCATAGGTAAGCTCCTGAGGTTGCTCCTCTACTTCAGCGGGCTGTTCTGCAGGTGAGTCATTCTCCGGCGGCTTGGGCACATCATCATTTGCCCATGTCTTGGTCTTAGACGAATGTTGCATTACAGAGAGATACTCTTGCAAGCGAGCGTCTTGCGGGGCGTTCTCGCCATCCCGTTTACGCTTGAGGGAAGTATCTGCAGCATTGCTAGCAGAACTCTTATCATGTTTTCCAGCTTTGCGAGTGGGTTCGGCATCGATCTACAAGATTACTGGTCAGTCACAAGACCACCTTGACTGTCAGCGGGGAAAACAAAAGAAACAAAGCAAGTGGGAATAGGGAGTAGAGCACATACCGGCTTAGCAATGTCTACTGAGATTTTGGACATCTTCACGTAAGTCTTATTGAAGTAAGACACAGCCTGCTGGGCCACCTCATGGCTCTTAAAGCCCACGAAGCCAATCCTGCGTTTAGGCAATACATGAGCGTCCGTGACTTGGAAGCGAGTAGCGAAGTGCTTCCTCAATTGATCATCAGACAAGGTTGGCGGAAGGCCAGAGACAAATACTCTGGTGCTCTCCATGATTGTGACAATGTGTGCCACTAAAATTGTATGGAAAGAAAAAGTTCGAAAAAATTTTGGTGGAATGTTTTTTTTTGCTTCCTTATAGTGCCGAGGGCGGTGAGGATGGCGGCCTGGCCCGTGCGTGATCCGGGCGGCGTCCATTGCGTGCAGCCAGCAATGTTGATTCCCAATACTTCCATTGGGCTTCGTGGGACGTCTGCGTACACTAAATTAATAGCGCTTGATCGTTGTTTTGAATCCTTGCTCATTCAACCTATTACTACATTCCTCATCGACGTCCAGCAAAATGGCTAGCGAAAAGAAAGATAAGCTTGAGGGTAAGTCCCCGGACGCGGCATTGTCAAATGATGGCTAACATGACCGTTCAGCGCAGATCAAGTCCGTCGATATGGTAAGAGGAATTGCTGGAGGTAACCAAGAATTGTGCTTACAACATGGCAGACGGAGGATATGCAGCAGGAGGCTGTTGAAGTTGGTATGGTCAGCCCTACGGGTCACCTCGAAAAGGAGGGCTAATACAACGGCTAGCAATTGAGGCAATGGACAAGTACCACATTGAGAAGGTAGGTTCGGTGTCATCTGTTGGTTGACTATGCTAACGACAGCAGGATATCGCCCAATACATCAAGCGAGAGGTCAGCATTGCGCACTGTATCCGGACCACCCCTCATTGCTCACAATCTACAGTTCGATTCGCGCAAGGGTGCGACATGGCACTGTGTAGTCGGAAGGAACTTTGGCAGCTTCGTCACGCATGGTGAGTGTCATGGCCAGGGCATCAGGGGTACGGGCTAACTTTCGAGCAGAGACGAAACACTTCATCTACTTCTACCTCGGGCACTGCGCCATCCTCCTTTTCAAGACCCAATGAACATACGACCGCAGACACCGGTCTGATTCGCCAAAGCGATGTCTATAACCCTTTCGGATAATTCAAGCAGAAGTATCGTGCAGTGAAAGGTCCCATGCAAGAGCTGGAAGGAAATGCAGCCATATGGTCCAAAACGGAATGCTGTGGGGTTGCCTAGAGGGCACAACGAGGCGGTGATTCTTCCGCGCATTTACCTGCTACTTGATTCAAATTCTTTGTTAATCATTTCAAAATATCCTAGTGAATACAAGTTGATCCAATCGCAGAACTACTGCAGCGCTGTACCGTAGACACGTAGCTTTTCCAGCACGCAGGCTACACTGCTAACTCACTATATATATAATGGGACCGCAGCAACTTACGACACCGCCGAGTGCGGAACGCCAAGTGCCAAACCGCGCCAAGCCACAGCGCCACACGTCAGCCCCAATCAGTTTATTATATGGCTGCCTCCCCCTTCCCATTACTTGGGCTGCTGCCAATGTTGTCCTTCTACACGTCGCATTACATGATCCAACACGATCCCGATTCCTGTCATTTATTACCTCCTTAGTTAGAATATACCAACCCACCCGTTGTCTATCCTGGGAGCACTCCAAAGCCGTAAACATGGCCATCTGCATCACCTTCGGAACACATGGTATGTGACTTATCTACTCCCTTCCCTCCTAGTTACTCCACACGACCACCGACCGGGGCGACGACCATCTTGAGCATCGATTCCACAAGAACCCACGACCAACAAAGAGTATGCCAAAACTAACACCAAAGGAATCCAGAGTTCACTTCCATGCTAGAAGGATACGAGAATGTCCGCGCGTTCTGCTATAACTGTGAGCCCCTGGACCCTGACAATCATGACTGCTAATTTTAGCTCTGGTTCCTGATCCAACCAATAATTAAATCGATTATTGACTGACCCGTCTTCCTTTTGATCTAGGCCAACATTGGAATGGTCATTGTTTGACGAGATGGTAAGCTTCAACTTGACTAATTTCTTAGATGGGAATATGTTTGGAGGTGTATGCTAATGTATGATGATCAACTAGGCCGTGGTTCACCGTCTGCTTCATTGTAACCTTGTCCCCCGTCCACATGACCTCGGACCAAACTGACCGTACATACTTATAGCCTGTCATCCCTCTCGCAACACATAAGTACAAGGTATGTTAATAGACTGTTCTCTCCTCTCTATGCACCTTGGATGGCGTAAACTAATATCCTTATAGGAAGTAACCTGCTATACATGCCGCTTCACGCAGGATCTACGGTAACTCCATTCCTCCCTCCAACCTACCCAAGGAGCAGGGAAGGATAGAAACTAACACTTGTTTCCAGCGACCGTCCTGATATCACACCAGATACAAGACCCCCTCCAGGTGTTGTACCGGGTCAACTACCGCAGGCGTACTATGGCGGCGGTGCGCCTTTCTATCCCCCGCAGCAGGCATCGGGCCCGCCTCCACAGGCGTCCGGGGGTGTGGTAGCGCCGCAGCAGCAGGCAGAGCAGCAGAACCATGTGTATAAGTGATGTATCATTTCGATGCTTTTTCGCTGATGATGTATTATGATGGGTTGATGGTCTGTCTCTGTATTTATCGAATACCTTTTGCTTGTTTGCTGTTCTTGACGTCTGGTGGTTAGCTTACTCGCTATCGTGCATGTATTGTATCGAATCGGAGTTAATTGCTCTAATGAGGTGCATACTATATGTGTAGATCCATATTATCATACTATCTAATTTAAAACTGTACAGTAACGAATGGGGTATATATCCAAGCCAAAATAACAAAACCAATCGTAACCATCCCAAGCCCAATATTTCCAGACATCAAACACATCTCATCATCCAGTTACCATAAAAAAGGTCCTACTTCTCCAAAACCTCCTTCTTCTCAGGCACAGGCGTCTGCACTCCCGAAACATCCCCACTCGTCATCTCCCCAACAATCATGCCCTTTCTCCTTCCCCTCTTCCCCATAATATCCAACGCCATCATCCTCACCGTCCTCACAATACTCTCCCGACCCTCATACAACGGGAAAATGACCACCCCGAAAGTCGTGCAGAAAAGCCAAATCAGACCGACAACGACCCAACCCGTAAAGAACTTCTTGCTGAAGACATACGAGCTGCCATACATAGGGATGGGCCAGAGAATGAGGAAGCAGAGGACCATGAAGATGGTCAAGGTGCGGGAGTAGAGAGCGGCGCGGTTGAGTTTGCGTGTTTCTTCTTCCTCCTGGGCGGCGGACTGGGTGTTGATTTCGCCGGGGATGAGTTCGATGTCGATGTGAGCGGCTGCTGCTACGTCGGCGTCGTCGACGCGGCGAATGGCGCGCATGGTGCCGTAGTCGTAGTTTTGAGAGCCGAAGATGAGGGTGAGGATCGGGGAGAAGATCACGGGGCTCAGGAGGGCGGCGACGTTACCGGCGAGCATTGGGTAGCTTTTAACTATGTTAGTTGATTGTTTGAGGAGAGAAGGTGTGGGGATGGACTCACTTTGCGCCGGTTGTGGTGACGGTTAATATGCCGTATTGTTTCTTGGTTGTCACGAGCCAGGCGATAAAGGAGACTGCAAGGCCGAGGGGTGGCGAGGCGGCTGCTGCGATCCAGTTCTGGTGCTTCCAGATGAGGGACATGGCGCCGGGGAAGACTGCAGAGGAGATGATCACGCCCATCAGCAGGTAGAGGTAGCCCATTCCGATACCAGCGTAGTAGAGACCGGTGGAGAAGCCGGCCATGGCGATGGCCCAGAACACACAGGTCATGTGCGAAACCCAGACGAGACGCTTGCCCTTGGCGGATGGGTCGATGTAGGCCTGGTAGATATCGTAGGTGAAGATGGATGAGACAGCAATCAGCTGGGCAGAGAAAGCGGAGGTGACTGCCATGAAGATCATGATTGTTGTGCATACTGCGCCGCTATAGCCGAGAAGCTTGACGGCGGCAAAGGGCAGGACAAGACCGGCTGTGACGTCGTCGGGGCTCAAGCGCTGAGTGCCCTCCAGAGAGAGAGCAGTCATGCCCAGAGTGCTGGCGCACAACCAAGGGATTGCGAACCAGCAAAGACCACCAATGACATATCCGGGGAAAGCGTGCACGGGGCTTGCGGCAATAGCTTTGTTGTAGTATCCGTTGTCGAGGAAGACAGTACTGATGGGGTTCGTTAGCAAGCAATTTATACGGGAGTGTGGTGGTTGGCATACCCAAAGTTGCCGACCAGGTTGATAATCCAGAAGATGCCACCCTCCTTCGACCTCATGGTCAGATAGCTTCCCTCTGCATTGCCGTCAACTGGGTGGAGCTTCGATGCTGCTACTAGTGCATCATAGACAGCTCCAGGGGAGCCAAGCTTGTCGCTAGTCGCGTAGGCAGAGAATGCAAAGATGAAGATGACGACAATAATCACGACGGTATGCAAATAGTCCGTGATGAATGTTGCCTTTATACCACCAAACAGGGTGTAGAGCACGACACCAATTGGCAGGAGGAAACAGGCAGCAACTGTATTAACCCCCGTGAGAGACGTCAGGACGGCAGAACCACCGGTAAGCAGCATGGCAGTAACGAGAATGTTGGTCATCAGGCAGAAAACGATGAAAACAACATGAACAACGGTTCCGTATCGAGCACGGAGAGCTTCGAGGAAGGTATGCGCATTTGGAGCCCTCCGCTTGAGCTCGATGGCCAGTGTAGCGAACAAGATGATCTGGACCGTAGCACCTGTATCACCGAATCAGAATGATATTGACCGTATTGTTGCTGGCTGTAAGTACCTGATGCATAGAAGAAAGGACCCGAGATGCCGTACTCGTAAGCCACAGTAGTCGACTGAAGAAGAGTTGCAGCCCATGTCCAACTACTGACAACTGCCGCGGCAACCAAGCCCGACTTGACTGATCTTCCAGCCGTTGAGAACATTTCCGATGTCTGCACTTCATTTTGGTATCTACACAAAAACCGTAAGCCTCGCTAGACTCCAAAGCTTGAAGGGGCCAAAGGCCATGGTTGAAATGGTATTAGACTACATACCTCTTCAGAGCCCAGGTGATAAAGATCATAAGCAGGGCAAAGGCAAAGCCCAGACCAATGATGATGCCATATCCAAACCCTTGCGAGAGAGGCGCTGTGAATGTGACAGTGTCTGAAGACATGTTGGCAGCGTATGAACACGCGAAGCGATGCCTTGCTATGGCTGTAGGATGACTGAATGAGACAAGATCTTGAGCATGGCGGCAGAGGCAAGAACATATAAGGCACGGGACCCTTGAAAAATCTCCGACCTCGCAGACACGCTGGTGATCGGCGGGAAGGCCATATTGAATCAATGACTACCGATCCAATATCATTGGATCCGAGGAGTCAGGCCTGGGGAAGCGAATGGCTGATAAGAACAACTCCTGGTGGTCGTTTCGTAATGTGCTTTCATCAGATGGGAGTGTAACATTAATGGCAGCGGACTAGCTCCAGGAAGTTTAGTACCGAGCAATCTAGTCAGTGCCATCGTTCCACAGTTCCATTCGCATACACATGGATTATCCCATGGCCCCTCCACTTTCTTTGCACGAAAATGAACAGCCGAACCCCAGGTGGGTTATCAACGTATCAAGCCCGGACAGCTTATTGGCGAGGCGGAAATGCTTCTTATCAGCGGAGGTCAGCGCAACGACGCCTATTGGCCCGAGTCGGGAGCGGACGATGATAAGAAACCGTAGACTATCAGATAAGGAGGTCAGCCAAGTCATGGATTGGTTTGTTGGTGCAGCCTGTCGCTCTGCCAAGAGCTCCATGGCTTTATGGGGAGCAGACTTGATGATAGCGCTCTATCAGTTACTACATTACTTACTCGATCCTGCCACTAATGCTTTGGGGGTCTACCCCACTGCTCTTGGTTTTGAAACCGGGGAATTTCCATCGTGCTTCCATCCCTGTAATTGGTGGGTGTCTGAGTAGGAACCAACTGATCTTGCTTTGCATCTGAGGTATGCCAGATCTCAGTACTGTGCGTAGGGCAGACCTTGCTTGTGTGAATATGTCATCCACGTGTACTTCACCTTAGGCCATTCTTAGTATGTGGATTGATCTACTTACTAATATATATCTACTGCCATTGTATCGTCCTTTACTGGGGGCATGTGTGCATAATATATACATCACCTGTGCTAGAGTTGAACAGTCCTTCTAATGTCATAGTAGTTCTCTGGCAGTTGGGTGCCCATGTACATGTGACATTATCACTCAGTATAATCTATGGGTCTCGGTGTCAGGACTCTCTACACTGGCACTGTATATATTCAAACAATATACTAGGCCTCCTACCAACCCACCAAGTCTGGCACTACTGCAATGATCTAATCATCTCACCACCGTATAAATTGAGCTAGTATTCGTAGCTAGCCATGACTCACGCCATTTCAAGCAACTATACATCAGCACTAGCACCAAGGTACCTTCACCATCACATAAACATTCACAGCCTACCCCAACCAGGACCAAATCATCTACCACCACCACCACCACCACAACAACATGACCACCAAAATCTACCACACCAACAACCTCACCATCTCCCTCTCCCACCACCCAACAACACCCGGCCACACCATCGCAACCCTAACCAATACCACCACCCCCAAGACCACACTCTTCGCCCTCCCCAAGTCCACCTTCATCTCCACCCTCGTCACCCTCCGCACCATCATCCCCTCCCTCAAATCAACCTACCACACCCCCCGCATCGCCTTAATAACCTCCGGCAACACCACCCTTTCCCTCCTCCCCCTCCACGGCCTCACCTCAACCTGGACCCCGATAACCAGTCCCGAAACAACCTTCAACGACCCTCAATCCTCCTCCCACCCCCAAAGCTACATAACATCCAAATCCGGCCCCCGCATGCCCTCCGCCCACCTAACCCACATAGCCGACATTATCACCACCCACACCCCATCCACCCCCAACTACACCTTCCACGGCCCTTCCTCAGACACCAACCTCTTCGCGAACATAATTCGGGGCACCGAGCACCCTCAATGGCGTATCTGGGAGGATGAGTCCCGTGTAGCCTTTCTAACGCCTTATCCGAACACGCCCGGGTTCACGGTGCTAGTGCCGCGAACACATTTGGGGAGTGATATATTTGCCCTTGGGGAGGAAGACTTTGAAGGATTGATGGGCGCGGCGTGGACGGTTGGACGGGTGTTGATGGAGGCGCTGGGAGTGGGGAGATGTGGGATGGTGTTTGAGGGGTTGGAGGTGGATTATGCACATGTCAAGCTGGTTCCTGTCTATGGGGACGGGGAGGATGATGGTGGGGAGAGGGAGGTTTTTCGTGAGGTGTATCCTGGGTATGTGAGTTCTTTGCCTGGGCCGGAGGTGGGGGATGTGGGGGAGTTGGTGAGGAGGGCTGGGGAGATTCGTCAATTGATTGCTGCGCAGGAGTAGGGAGGAGATGGGGGTGTGGTTGTGGGTTTGTTTGATTTAATTAATTGATATAAGGATCGGGGTGGGTTTTCATCGAGTCTCGTTTTCATTGACAAGCACTATATTACACAAAACGCATTTCTTCACGGAACTAGGGCTCTCCATTAATTGTTGATGGGCACAAGTGCACGGCATAATTTAGCGATAATTGTTCCATCCTATTCTGCAGATAGATTTGGACCAATTGTAGAAGCACAAGATCGGCATGTGCCTTCCCCACTACCAGCACACACAAGAAAGAGGCAAGGGACACCAGGGGTATATGTATCGAAGGGCAAAAGGTTGGATGATGGATTCGCTGGCCTCGCTTGATCCCTGCGCTGCTGATCTCGCGCGCGACCCCGAATCATTCGACACGAGCCAGACATATCACGTATAATAGGACCAGGAGACAGCAACGGGGCGAGAGTACAAGTCGCATTTCAGCGGCTTATGAGGAGAACTTGCGGGTGATCTTGGCAATGACTGGATATGCGCGTTAGAGGCCACTTCACCACCCAGAAGACAACCCGGAAAGCACACTTACCGTGGAGACCAACGACGGAGAAAATGAAGCCCAGACTGAGAACCAGGACAACAACGGGGTCAACCCTCAGACCGGGGCTCTCGTCAGTGTAGAGCTTGAGCATCGTGCCGGAGGAGCCACCAGCACCGGCGGCGCGAGTCGAGCTGGGTCTGGCATTGCGGAGGGACTCCTTGTGGTCAGCGGCCGCGCGGCGACGCATAGCAGCCCGGGGACCACCAGGAGGAGTAGGAGAGGAAGGGCGGTTGACGGAGGAGACAGCAGAGGCGCCGGTGCCAGCGCCAGCAGACTTGGAGTCGGGACCGGACTCAGCACCGGAGGTCATGGGGGAAGCAGCACGGGGAGAGGCCTGAAGAGAATACAGACGTTAGATGAGGTTGCCCTTAGTCTAATTGACTGAAGTTGTCACAATTCGTCGATGGTCTGGTTGAGTTCGCTTGGGAGACAACGGTAGCCACCAAGAGGATCGGCAGGACAAGGGTGCTCACCATTTTGGAGAATAAGGAGATTCAAGAAGATAAGAATCAAAGAAAGTGAAGCTGAATTAAACAATAATGACAACAAGAAGCAAGGAAGCAATTGGCCGATGAAGAGGGAAGGAGTCGGCTGAAGAGTAGAAGAGGAGGAGATACTGGTAGGAGGTCCGGGAGGTGAGGTCGCGAGATGCCAGAAAGAGGCCACGCTCACGATTTCCAACTGGCGGAAGGTACCGTCATTTACGGTAATGCCAAGACCTCTACTTTGAGAAGTGTAGCTTATTTAACATAAAGTTGCTGTAACTTTCACAACAAATCCGATGTGGTGTAACGGCTAACATCGCCGTCTTTCACACGGCAGCTCGGGGTTCGATTCCCCGCATCGGAGTTCTCTTTTTGATTTTTGTCTTCATTCTTTCCTTTCCGTTTTAACCTCTTAATGTGATGTCCCTTTTTGCACTTGGTTTTTACGTATGGCTAGTGTGGTGTAATTGTCGTTATTCCTGATCTCAATAAGCCACAGTGTACTTTGATCGACTACAAAGCGAGGCTCTGAAGCTCCACTGGCCCATGAGTCTCTTAACCCTTCGCTCTCCACTACAAATTCTAGACCTTGAAGCTACATAGGTTGTGACGATCTCGGGTCTAAACTTTGTAGACTGCCAGATGTTGTGCGCCCGGTGAACAGAACCTTGGATTAGATCTCGACTCCACTCCACAATCAGGCAGGTCAGCTCCGACGAAGTGATGCTTTAGGCACGGATAGTCTACGGCTAAAAGGGGCAAAACCACGAGCCCTATGCGTGTCCCTGAAAACACTGTGGAGCAGTTCAGTCTCGCGCGGCTGATTTATCCATTCTTGCGGAGCAGACTCGTTTGTCTACCCGCCACTCACGTGGAAAATTCAATCTTAAGTTGAACCAGCAGAGATCCGGCCCATGGATGCCATTCCAGAACCGCTGGCAGGCAGCCACATAGACGCGACAGCCGTTGGAAGAGTTCTCCTGACATGACGACCAATTAGAACGGGCTCTCCACTCGCTGAGCTAGAGTGTAGTTGTAAAGCGTAGAGAAGACAGCCCTTTAGTGTCATGACTTCAGACAAGCCTGAGTGAGACCTGTGTCGCCATAGCAATACCGCAATCTGTGACGACGGAAAATCTTGGGTGTTTTTTACATTGCCGTTGTTTCACCGGGGGCACACTAAGCACGTTGAATGGCACATGGAGCAAGCAGCAAGGGGAGGGAGGGGAAAGCGCACTAAAATAGCCACACGACACTGTCTTAGAAGAATTCATGGGCTCACAGACCTGTGGCTTTCAGCACCTTGGTTTGAGAACCGCATTGGTGCTTGTGCTTGCATACATGGTGAGACCGGAGTCACCGAAATCAAAGAGGTTTCCCAAGTAGATGAAGACTTTCTGCTCCGTATCTGCTCTTGGAGATACACGTTATCAGGTCTAGCTAATTCGTCGGTACGGCGTCGACTCCGACAATAAGGTTAGATGGGTACGTAACCCGGCGTGAGAAGAGGCTTAAATGTCGTTATGCGTCTGCCTAAGGCAAATTTTGTCGACCTAGACCTCTTCCAGGTGCTTCATGATTCACTGCAGAAGCGAGGCAACGACAAAATCACTCTTCTTCTTTACTGACTGAACGAGGAACTGCTGACCATGCAGAGGTTGCCATGCACCCAAAGTGACACCGCACATTGTACTAGGTTTCAGGAAGCTGAGCCACGGATCTGGTCTGATCTGAGCCGGCCACCACAAATTTGGCCCCAATTCTGGCCCCGTTCCATCTCCGGGGCAAAGGGAAGCCGTCTGGCGCGCGCTAGTCTAGATGGGGAGGTAGTTCGGTGCAACGTTTATCTAGTCTGCACACAGTTGACTGCTGTAGATAACTAGTAAACAGTGGAATGGTTGCCTAAGACATCCTCATCCTACGGCGTAGATCTTTCGTAAGCGGGATCTCTCAGGCCGGTATAGTGAACAACAACCCAGATATGGTGAAGTTTATGGATCTGATTCAAAGGCATCGCATGGTGGGCATATTTCCCTACAAAATGTCGTGGATATGGATGATTCACATGTAGATCGCTTTTCAAACATTCTTCCATCTTATAGTTACGGATCTCCTGCCGTCAGCGATCCATGCTTGCCTATTTTAGACTTTCTTGTGAGCTGTTGGTTTGCAGCTCTTCCGCCACTTAGAAACGTTGACATTCCCCCATACCCACTTGCCATGGTGTATAGAACGGCTGCACTTTGCTGATACAGTTTTTCGACCGATCGGATAATCTAGAGTATCAAGGTAATCCAATTGGATAACAAAGCTCCCGAAATAACGCGATCGATGAATGCCCCAACACCTTGGAATAACTGTTCTGTCGGTACTTCGGTAGCCAGCCCGATAACTATTCTACTAAGAACTGTGTGACTCGGATGCGCCCCTTTGGGGCGAAATGCGAGTAAGTGCACACACGGAAATTTGGAGCTACAATAGTCAAGTAATAATAGGGCTTGAGAGAGGTAACGCGCGGCATTTTACTAGAGAGTTAATAAAATCGTAATCGGGAACCCAAGTTTCAAGAGGCAGCCGGTCCATGGGTCCGACCCACTGCGACGCGACGAATTCAGGAGACAATCGAGTCTAGTTCCTTTCTTTCTCGAGTTTAGCCCAGGCACGGGATCCAGTTCTGAGACCCGGAATAACGAATAACAACAATTCACAACAACACACCGAAGGATTGATTTTATCACCACAACAAACACACATCCCTCCGTAAGCAGAAGCCTTTGTCTGTCCTCAGGAAGAAAGAAAGAAAAAGGAGCAAGGGAAAATAGTCAAGAACAGCCAAACAAGCTGGAGCATATCTCATCTTCATGTTCAGTACTGACTGAGTAACCAAGACTATTTTCCTCATGAATGGTCCAGGTCCCTCCCGTAATTACCGTGGGTAGATTAAAAGCTTCTTGGCTCTGAGAGGATAATCCCGTGTATAAGCCGAACGCCATGATAAACCATCATAAAATTAGAAGAAAATTGGGCCCAGGACGGGAGTCTGGCACATTTGGGTGAACCCCAACGCAACTTGCTTTGCCGTTAACCGTCGCTTATATGCTTGACTCCGACTAAACTGGGTTGTCATGTAAGGTGTGGATTAGTTAGTCTTCCAGAGCATCGTCCAACCCTCCTCGGATTTTTGTGATCATCGCTGCTTTTTCCCGCTTTTTCCCTTCCATTGCTGTGTCTGGACTCCCAGCTGAACCCTGGATGCCACATACGCCTCCCCCGACCGAAAAGCAGCCCCCTCCTCCTTCTCCTCCTTCTCTCCAAAAGTGCGTGAGTAATCCGTTTGGAATTGTCTGTTGGTTCACTATTCACATCTCGGGCTTAGCTTGACAGCAGCCTCCGTTTTCCCTCTGTCTCTCGCTCTCTCACTGCCATTCCACCCATCATCTTCGATCGTTCTTCTCCCAGCCTTCCTTTTCCACCTCTCACATTCATACTTCCTCCTTCCTCCCGACACTCGTTTTCATTTTCCCCTTTCACCTCTATTGCATTTTTCTCCTTATTCCTTTTCTCTCTTTTCTCCCTCCCCCGGTCTCTCTCTCTCTCTCTTGCTATCCCTCTCTCCGACTGACTCTGGGCTTCGGTTTTGAGTCCGCAGGTGCTCAGCCTTACGCCAACAGACCTCCTCCAATCCCGAACCATCGATCATCGGACTGAGCCTCCCCGCCCAAAGGTAACACGACAATTCGCACCACGGCTTAACAATCCTACGGCATCCCCCCGAGACTTCCCATCCTCCTCCTTCACCCTGCAGCGAGCCATTCTCCGGGCGCAGATTCCCCTCCACTCGCTCCGTTAGCCCGTCTCGAGTGTGGCTTGGTGTGGCTTATACGCTTGTCGTCGAGTGGTCGTCCTCTCAGAACCCGTCATCTTCGAGAACTCCGACCTCCTGAACTCCCCCTCCTGACATCCTCAAAAACAAGGCCACGGCCGCAACCCACTCAGATCGGGGTTGTCACCTCCGCGCATCACGAATCTGTGTCCTTGATCCTCTGCCTGTGCTATATTTTCGCGGCCGTCGGGTGGTCGAACCGTCATATTGTATCCCGATCCTGAGCCTCCGACGGACACCAGCTCCGTAACGGAGCACTTCGTCAAGATTTATTCCCACAATTCTCGGGCCTCCCTGCTTGGGGGCACTTTCGATCCATCTTTTAGACGCGGTTTCCGTGCCCGAGAAGGGTATACGAATGTTCCTCCGGATCCCCCAAAGCGACACAGGATGTACCGACCAAACTCGTTATGGACTTGGTCCTTCTGCATTGTCACACTCATCCAGACCATCATTACCCTTGCCCTCGAGTCGTAAGTGTGACTTTTACTACTGTTGAATCGCAAATTTCCGAGTACTTATGCTGATCACCACACGAATAGTTATGTCTTCGCAAACTTCCAGATCCAACTCTTCCCAAAGGGCGAGGTCTCGACTGCGTCAAAGACAGTAACAACCTTCTTGGCGCTCTACTGTTTCGGGTTTATATATGAGTTGATCCTCGTTTACGATGCTCTACGTCTCAAGAATACCATTCAAGTCATTGGTCTGTGCGTGTGCAATCTCGGTCTTCTGATTTACGGGGCGGTGCAAGTCCAGCAAATCAAGGACTCCATCGAAATGCTCGTGGCCGAAAGCGCCATCACCATAGACGTGTGGGGGGAGACAGAGCCCTTTCTGATTATCATTCCGTGTGTCGTTGCCATGGGCTCAATTTTGATGATGATCATCGCTTGGAAGCTCTACGATGAATTCGCATGGTCGATCTACAAGCATATCAGCGCCGATCTGCGAATGAAGCGCCGGTATCTTACATATCAGGTACTTCTGCATGTCCGTCGAAATGGGGACCCGAATCTAACAGGATTTCTAGATCTATATCGCTCTGCTGAAGTTCGATTTCTTCTTTTTCCTCGGTTTCACCGTTCAGTTCCTTGTCATTGTCACGAACAAGACGGATGTTGAATTCGCTCTCACGACGGCTGCCATTCCCGTTACGATTCTTATTCTTGTTTGCGCTGCGATCTTCGTGAAACGAGAGAGCTCGATCGGAATGATCGTTGTCATTGTACGTTGTCCTAGCAGCAGATGGGTCTGAATTATCTTCTAACTGGTATCGCAGCTTCTATACTTTGCAGCCATGGCATACTTCCTATTCAAGCTGGTCCGCATGTACCAGCCTCAAACATACCAAGAGTACCTGCCCGCCCGGCGGTCTCTGACATTCTTCGCTGTTATCACGCTTCTCTTGATCGTTTTGACGATCACTAACGCCTGCGTTTGTATGCACAATTTCCACAAAGGCCTGAAGCAGCACGTCCATAAGAAGAAGTCCCGCGACAAGGACGAGAAGACAACTGAGTTGTCTTCCAATATCTCGGGCCAGGTGCCGAATCGCATGATGATCGACTGAGCGACTTCAGCCCCACGTTATGAACCAAACACAATAAAACGTAAAAAAGAAAAAAAAAAAAGGGAAGACCAAAAATAACAGCAAATTTGCAAATTGGGGGACTTTTCCTTTTCCGATTTTCTAACCACTGCACATTTATTCATGGAGCGATATATCTTTTCTTTAAAGGTTAGCGAGTTGTGCAACAGTCCGCCAGTAGGTGGAGCTACTGCTTGGATACTGAGATTGGGCGTGTTTCCGGGATTTACCATATGATACCTCCTACTGCGTTGCTCGGTTTTTTCTTACGAACCTTCGACTGTCTTTCCTTGTTGATTTCCTCGGAGTTTTGTCTGAAGTGGCTGTTCACCCTCCCCGCATCACGCTCTTGCTCAATGACGCGCCGTGTCGCGTCTCATTGATGAAATTTCCTTGTCCATTTATTTCTTTTTGACCATTTCCCCCTTATATCTACATATCTACAACCCCCGATTATGTGAATATCACGACTTTGCATTATGTACTGTATTTATTAATTTGCCTTGCTGCATGGAGATAATCAATCAAAAGACACTACTTATCGAGCCATCCTGTTACATTCAACCTAGTTGTCTATGATCAACAACAACCTAGATATTTTCAAATGAAATAAGCAGAACAATAACACATCACAGTGTATTCGAGCAAGACAGTAGGTATTTATACATACACATAAAAAGGAGGCAAGGAAAGCAAACAAAAACAGGTTTCGTTCTATCTGAACAATAGAAAAGAAAGACCAAAAAAAGAGATGAAAAAGAAATCTCCGATGCGGGGAATCGAACCCCGAGCTGCCGTGTGAAAGACGGCGATGTTAGCCGTTACACCACATCGGATTGTTGTTGAATAACGGACTAAACTTATAATCTATGTAGAACCATGTAAACCTCACCTCCCACCATCCGCTAATCAAGTTACTACTCTTAGTACTACTGTCTTTCCCAGCTTAATCACAACAAGAACATTTTATTAGGAGTCGAAGGAGCTTACAGGTAAAGGGGGAAAAAAGGATTAAATTGAAACGAATAGGATAATTAGTAATACCCCCTTGTCATATGATGATTGAAGCGCTGACGTTGGGGATGGACATGGAGTATATATCCGATGTACGTATATGGCTGCCTAAATTATTTGAATACATACGTGGTGAGGAGGTTACCAAATAATGTTACTACGGGGGGATTTGAGTAGCTGCTAGATGATTCTGTCGGGAAGAGCATCCGAAGCTGGAATGATGAGAACAATAGAGGGGGGAAAGGGGAAGGAGTAAGGGATTGATTGTTTTGGCTAGGTGCATAGGATGCGAGGTATACACGGAAACTACTTCCTCGTCAATTATTCCTGTCCCGATACGGACAATACATTATTACTACCATGGATGCAGCAAAAAGAAGAATTTGCTCATCTGATTGATCCAACTACCAAGCTGGTATGGCTATCGACAATTTCAATGGAGCAGCAGAAATATATGTATAAGAGAACGAGTATTAACAGGAAGAAGTAGTAGTCAGAACCGAAACCAGCTATATGCATAAAGCAGCGAGTGAATATCTTGACTAGTAGGTCAATTTAGGCAGAAAGAATGTCAGTCAGTCATTTTATTTCCCTTTCCCCCACTTCTTCACTCTGAAGAAATAGTACAACATGACAGCGCCGGCAATGTTGAATACGAAATAGCACCAGAAAATACCGTAGTCGCGCCAACGATCTTTCCAATAGACCCATCGAAGAGCAAGGTACTCATCGGCCACTGTCATGGAGCAGTATTCGCAGGCAGAGGTGGCGTTCGGATTGTACACCTGGCCTCCAGCGGCCTCAACATACTTCTGCATGTACTGTCCACAGGTATAGTTGGATGGAGGGTCAAAAACACTGAGCTCCGTAGCGCTGCACTCCACTGGGCGGCCATGGAGGATTGAGCTGCCGACACCAGCCGTGTAGTACGTAAAAGGAGAGACACGGTACATGAATATCCAGAACCCGGGTAGGTCTCCAGGTGGTTGCAGCATACCGTTGAAGATGAACGCAAACGCGAACATGAGAACGGCCAATATACCTGCCACCGGCGCTTGGGGGACTGCGGCTATCACGAAGTGAGCCATACTGGCCACATACAGATAGAATTGGACGATGTAGAGAAGGCCAAGGACATGCCGCTCGGCATCTTGACCCGTGCCCATCACAGCCCAGTAAAACGATAACCAAACAAAAACTCCCAGAACAATGTGGTAGGGGATTTCAACGAGAACATTTGAAAGAATGAATACTTTCCACGAATAAACCCTGGATGGCCGCTCCCGGACTTCATATAGCGCCCGCTGTGCAACGAATCGGGGCGTGATCTGATTGACGAGCGTGGTGAAAACCGTGGCAAGGAGGAAGACACTGAAGAGAGCACATTGGAAACCTTGTTGGGTGTTGTTCGCTTTGAAGAAGGAGAAGCCAATAAACAATCCACACGCTATACCCAATGAGTACTTTGCAAACACATATTCCGGTTGGCGGTAGTACTGCTGGAACGCACGCTTCATGACGTGGTAGAGTTGGCTGGTGAAAGGCATAGCGAATTCCGAGTTGTTGCTATCACCATCCTGGGCTCGTGGCTCGGGCTGTTGTTGTGGATCCTGAAGACGTTCGAGTTCTGCGAGGACCTCCTTGCGCTCAGGGCTATCGTTCCATCTCTGAACCCAGTCAATGCCTTCCGATCCCTCCCCTGCCACAACCTCAAGAATGTACTCCGCAGGATTTTCCATGTCCCCACAGCGCCTAATACCGCTGCGCTCAAAATAGTCCAAAAGTATGCGGGATTGGTCCCCAATATCACCAAAATAGACAGTTTTGCCCCCTTTAGTCTAGGAACAACAAGCGATCGAAGGTCTGGAACAACAGAGCACTCGGTTGATGAATGGTGGCAAGGACTGCCTGACCGTGATCGGCAAGCCGCCTTAGCAGCGAGCAGATTGTCCAGGAACTCTGAGAGTCCAGGCCGCTGGTTGGCTCGTCGAGGAATATCAATAATGTCGGTTTTGCAGCAAGTTCAACCCCAATACTCAGCAACTTTCTCTGCTCCACGTTCAAGCCCTCTCCCAAAGAGCCCACAACTGCCTCCGCAAAGTCTTGCATGCGTAGAACTTTAATGACCTCTTCGACATATTCGTACTTCTCTTTTTCCGATACTGAAGCGGGCTGACGGAGCATAGCACTGAAGCGGAGGGCCTCGCGCACCGTAGTCGTCTCCATATGAAGGTCTTGCTGTTGCACATACCCAGTTTCTCGTGGAAAATTAGCCTGCAAAGCTCTTCCGTTAACCAGAACGTCGCCGGTAACAACACCAATAGATACCCTCTGGGCGAGGACATCCAAAAGCGTTGTTTTACCAGCCCCAGAAACCCCCATCAGCGCGGTTAAAGTGCCTGGCTTAACCCATCCATTCACATTATCGAGAAGTCGCCGGGTACCATCTTTGACGGGAATATCGTAGTTGAGGCCCTTCCAAGAAAGGACGTCAGTTTGCTGAGGAAGACTAATAGCATCCACTTGGTCCCCCACTTCGGGCTTGTCTGGGGGCGCTTCTCCATCTTCGATCCCATCGGAGGATAGCAGATATTGCGGAACATGACCAGATCGAAAAACCAAGGTTTCTGCTTTGGATGTCTCACCCGAGTTGTATTCCGAAAGAAACAAATAGAGACCGGTGAAGAATACCAGGTAGGCGACGAGAATTCCGTAATTCCGCCAGACATGGCTGTAGTAGTACTGGTAATTCTGCTCCACATAAGCGTCCCCGGAGACGAACCGCTCTCCTGCAACGGCACCCACGGTCGAACAGATAAAGGATGAGCCAGTAGCATAGCTTGGGATCACCGATGCGCATTCAAAGTTCCTGCCATGGAACTCATTCGCTAACAGGGCCTCGTACACATAGTAGATGGGGTTGACCCAGCGGATCCACGAAAGCCACGGGTGCATATATGCTTGCGGTAACACAAAGCCAGTATATACCACAATGCATAAGATACAAACACCAGCCATTGACATTGCCTGCGCGCTTGTCCTTGTTGCTGCAGCTAAGCTACGGAAAATCCCGGACATCGTCAAGACGGAAGTCAACAGAAACATGTAGCAAATGAAGAACTGCGATGGTTCTCGTCGAAGGTTGGACATCAGGTAAAGGATCACACAAAATAGAGTACCCCGTGTGAATTTGATAGGCAGATCCATGATCCAACTGGCCAAGGCCTCAGCGAAGGGATGGACGAACGCATAACCCGCTTGCTTCACAGCGATTGGCCGCTGGCTATATAGCTGAATGATCTCATTGAGTGCGATCAAGGCATTGAAAAGTACAGCAAAGTATAGCACAGCCCCTTTCTGGAAGAATGTGGCGGTTGTGGGCGGAGAATTGAAGAAAATCGAGCCGATCACCAATCCCAGAATGGGTTGTGTCGCTACCGTAACGATCACGGTTGGCAGGTCGTTTCGTAGTCGCTGAAAAGCCCGGCGCAGGCAGAGACGGACTTGCATCGGGACAGAGAGAAGATATGGGCTGCGCGGCCGAGTATGGCGGGCCTGCTGCTCTTCATGATGGGCCTTGAATGCTTTGGCCTCGTCTGAATCTGGTGGGTGAGCACGTTGATACTCCTCTATCTGACCGCAGAGCTCCTTATACTCGGGGCTACGCTTCCAATATTCCTCGAATTCCTTCGCCGTGCGTGGTACCTTGTCCACCATGTCAGGACGGGCCTTTCGTTCGCCTGGGTTGGTAATTGAAGTCAGGAAGTCGCCGCTGACCTGTCGATCTGGCAATTCCCAGCCCATTTCCTCGAAGTAAGGTACTGCACGATCGCGGTGACCGAAGTAGATCTCGCGACCTTCGTAGAGGACGACGACTTTGTCAACGAGATCATACATCGACTGAGAAGCTTGATATGCAGCGATAGCATGACATGATCGACCCATGTCGGCAGCAATACGTAATGCCCTGACAAATTTCAGAGCGGATGACGCATCGAGACCTCGTGTGCTGTTATCCCAAGCTCCGATACGACACCTTGAGACGAACATTTCGGCGATACTGACCCTCTTCCGCTCACCACCGCTAACACCTCGCACAAAGTTGTCTCCTACCTTGGTGTAATAGGTGTTTGAGAGGCCAAACACAGCCAGGACAACCTGAGTGAGAGTTTCAACATATTCGGAGCGTGTCAAGCCTTCAATTCGTTTCTGAGGGGTCCGTGCATGCGCTGCGAAAGAAAGCGTTTCGCCAACGGTAAGGTGTGGAAAGTGTTGATCGACTTCCTTGTTGTAGGCTACCTCTCCACGGTGGTGCTTGATCATATCCTCATATTCGATGCCTTGGTAATGGATGGTGCTCTGAGGTTCGAGCGTCAGACCACCCAGGTGGCCACAAAGGGTCTTCAGGAATGTTGTACATCCACTTCCAGGGCGACCGAGGACAAGCAGAAGCTCTCCACTCTTGAGGAAGCCATCGAAGCCATGGAGAATCTGCCTTGGCGGAGGGGAGGCTCGCCCCGAAAGTGCACGCGCGGCAGCGCGGAAGGGAGCTGCCAACTGTGTGGAAATAGTATTCTGGATTTGCAATGACGAGCCTGATCCAGACACGCAAAGGTTAGAAAACACGACACCCTGCGTCTGCTGTACAATGCCGGACTGGTCCAGGGCTCTTAAGACGAGCTTTGCCCAGAGACGTTGATCGAACGCCGGATTAGTGGGGTCCAAACGGGGGTCATCCTTCTCATTGATCGTAGCAGCGTGGGAAATCCTGCGACCGGTTCGGCTAGAGGCGATTCTTGTCAGATTGTGAAGCTCTTGTTCCTCTTCGTCCAACGATGGGGTCTGCTCCTTATCCGAAGGATACGGATCGTGTGCGCTGGCAACCTTTTCCTCCATGGTGCCAGTCGATGAGAGTTCCTGGATAGACCCGTTTCGAGAGCCTTCAGGTCACCAAACGAGAGAGGTAAACCGGCATCTAGAGAGAAGCGGAATTCTGCCAGAGATAAGGGTTGGGAAGAAGGCCCTGCATGTACGGGATACACCTAATCAATAAAGCCCACAGGGCAAACTATAGAAGGGCCAATTTCGAGTGTCAATGTTAGGAAGCGATCGCCCTGCTGCGTATCCAGCCATTTTTCAGTAATAAATGGATCTCACTCCCTTCATCCGCATTAGTGCACTCTTATGCCTCGTTTCTAGAATTATTTCAGCCATGTCTATGCAATCAAGCACGGCCGGGCGGCCTGCTCCTCTGGGATGCAGGATCTAGGCGGCCCTAACTACGGCCTGCAGCAGCTAGCGTAACAATAAGCCCCAACTAGAGCGTGGATTGATCGGCGCTATTATTACACATAGTCGATCGCTTCAGGCCACACCGTGTGGACCACCTTCAGCCTTGTCATTGGCGGTTCTGACTGACTGAATTGAGAAATGCCATTTATTCTAGCATCTCAACGTGTGTCGGTGCTGGACTGTGTGTAGGCCGTGGGAGGCTGTCGATGGAGACTTGTGGCACGTAGCCGCATTTGTGTGGAGCTGGACACTGAATCTCACTGTTTGGACTTAGGAATGGCCTAGTCGGAAGATGGAGGTGATGATCCCGACGATGGATGCATGAACCGGCTGTAGGTTTACTCCGCTAGGCCAACCAGTCATTGAAGGAGGATGGTAAAGGAAACGCTGCTACTCGCTTGTTTTTCCTGCTCGGGTGAAATTACGTGACTGATGGGAGAGGTCAGCAAAAGCAATTCAGCGAAAAAACACGTCAACTTGCGACTTCCTGTAAAAGCCCTATGCCGGAGTTGTCCCAGGGCCTAATGAGAGCAAGGAAGGGAAATATTGGCGGGACGCGACGCCCAACCCACCGACTCGGTCACGGCTGATCGGCCCTCCGACGCGCCGGTGATCAACTATCAATCCACGATATGGTATCCATTTGGGCTTAAACTCAGCACGAAAGATACTCCGTGGCTCTGGGTTCGCCGTAAAATCTCAAGGGCAACCATGCTAGCGCTTTAGTGTGGATACCGGCCGTCGTGGATTCGGGATTGCCGTCCCACATATGAAAACCCGAGTAATAAGTAGATACCTTGCGGTGAAGCTTACATTCCAGAGGGCTGTACTGTGTATGAAGACTTCGTTTAGTAACTCCTTATGTTTGATCTCAAACTCTCCTTGCTGCAAGTTGTTGCTTCTTCCGTATCCATAAGTAATTGTATACTCACAGTGCTTCCGGGCCATTGTGACATGTCTACTCCGTACCCTCCGTAGCAATTCCAAGTAGGATGATATCTCTTCTTCCGAAACGAGGATGAATTAGTATTTGTTCCCCGTGCAGCCAATCATGCCAGGTATCAGTTTCTTATTATCTAGTGGCGTTCATTGGAGGTGGCTGGAGGCGAGGAACGGACTCCCCTGCTCTGTATATTACGACGTTCAGATGGAGAAAGGATTACAACCATCGAAAGGTTGTTATGGCTTATAAAGATAACAAGGTGTATGAGCTCGAAATTTTTCTTAACTGAGTTGTCTTGAGGGTAGAGCCCAAAGCGTGTCTTGGTAAACAGCAGAGTTGAACGTGGCGAACTCGAACACAAACATCTGGGCCTTCGCACATGTAGAGTTGTGTTTTCTGGTTCTTGTAACTGAACCTTAATGTTTCCCAGACATCACATCGCAGATCTTAGGCAGCATATGCACTAGGCCCGCAACACAGGACTCTTGAGCTTGATGGGGTGATTCAGAACCATGCAAGAGGTTAGTTTCGCAAGCTTTACTGAACGCGGCTATGATCGTGAGCTGACATGCATAAGTATGATGTATGATGGAGCGTGGTCCATGACAGACTTTTCGGAGCACAGTAGAGCCATGGCTTGGTATTAGAGTGTCTCAGTGAGGAGTAGAAGATAAGAAGTGTCTGCGAAACGTTGAACTGGACTAGATGTTTGTGCAGGCTGGGTAGGCCCTGAAGGGCTTATAAGTAGATCGAGAAGCTGCTTCGCGGCATCAGGGTGGCTCAAAGGTGAGCACTAAAGTTCAGAGTAGGATTAGAGCCCAACATGACACATAACGTGAATCAATGCTGTGCGAGTTGTAGAGGACAAGAAGTCCGGACAGTTCTTTCCGACAGGCTAGCCATGTCGACAGATGCAGCCAAGGCAACCGTGACCTCGGAAGTTATCCAGAAGGTAACGCACAAAAAATAAGCAATGCCAAAGGCACATCTAAACTTCGAAGATCTCAGACTGCGAATTCACAAGATAGTCAGTCACAATACTTGGTAGAGACACCCTCTCAGGCCAAACAAACAAAACAAACAAACACCAATCCCCGTACTCCCCCAACCCCCAATCCAGTAAGCGGTCAAGCCCACCACCAACACATCGCACCATAAAAAAACCCACGACAGCTAAGCTTGACTCACCTTTCTTTTTCTCCTCTTAAGCGCCATCCCCACCAATGCTGCGTTTCTTTGCTACACACGACAGGAATACCTTCCTGTCCTCGGCTCTGATTTCCTCCGGGAAACCACCCGAAACCCACTGCAAATGAGAAATTCGGAGGAATCTTCACCCTGTGCACCCGCCACTTGGAAATGAGTAATATCATTTGCAATGGCCGGTACTGCCCTCAAGGGCCTGGTGTGACATCCTTGCACACACCTGCAATTGGCATCAGAAACATCGGGGGGGAGGAAGGATGTAAGAACCTCTTACATTCCTTTTCTTCTTTTTCCCCATGGGAGAGTCGTTGCGAAGATTGTGTGTGCACTCGGCTTTGATCGGGTGTGCGACACTTTAGTGCAATACGCAGCATGCCGTTTCCTGTCTCTCGCTCACCCCTTATAGGGTGGGTTAGGGGGATAGGATTGGTATCATTCGATTCCGATTATTCTGGTGGGGGTGGCGCTTCACTTCTTTTTTTCTGAGGTTAGTTGGATCCCTGTTCTATATTTGAGGATCTGTGTGTGTTTGCGGTTTGGGAACTGGAAAGGACTTTGTTTTCCCCCGGCTAATTGTTGGGTTTGGGGACCTGTATGGGTCCCTTTCTTTAGGTACGGAGTACTTGATGGGTTTGGTGGTAGGGGATATATTGTATGGTCAAGGAGGAAAAGCTGTGTTATGGACATGTAATCAAGCTGCTATTGCAGAATACTTATATGCAGTTTGACCAATGCAGCTTCATTGCACAAAATCCACTGCTTCGTACATCATATATAACATGTAGAGAGACTGCAAAAGTTATCGTAACCAATTGGACTTTGAACACGTTGGTCGCTTAGCATCTAGCTGGATATTATAGAAACAAAAATGAACACAGGCCCCCGAGAACATTCAGGATATTTTCCGAACATCAGAAGTTGAAATGAAAAAAAAGAGAAATCGTTGCCTCCATATTGCTCCCCACTCGTCATTATGATTTCGCATATTGTTCACTTACTCCTCATCGCCAATCTAAATATCATAAGTCAGTACAACTCTCAAACAAGCCAGATGAGGAGTCATCGTACCTTAGGAGCCAGGTAGAATCTCAGATGACCGCTACCGAGGCCATACTCAACGAGGAGCGGCACCTCCTGCGACAGGCACAGGGTGACCTTGTTCGACAGGTTGGTAGCCTTGCAGAAGTTGACGAGGTACTTGAGGGAGAAAGTGAGGGCAACGGGTTCGGTGAGGGAGATGGAGACGTTCTGTGCGGGGTTCTCGACGTTGGTGTGCTGACGGACGGTGACGGAGCCACTGCCAATGTCACCCTGGCAGGAGAACTTGACACCCTCCTTCGTAGCCTCAATGACAACTAGGAGTTGAATTAGTCGCGGATCACACCCGTTGCCAATAAGAAGAACATACCGGACTCAGAGAGGGCATTCAGATCCCTGCAGATACGCTGGAACTCTGCTGCCGGCATCTCTACCGTAGCAGCGTACTCTGTCTCCGGGATGGCCAGGTGCTCCTGGTCAATATCCATCAACTTAATATCATATTCGCTAAGTCTATCCGTCTCGGCACTCTCGAACATCAGGTTGACGGCATCGGGAGAGTCCTCAGCCTTGAGAGTGAGGATATCTTCATTCTGGGCGGCGCGCAGGACCTTGGTCAGGGAGAGCAGGTTGATACCGAGGGCAATGTTACGGTCGCAACGGTAAGGGGAGAATCCCTCGGCCTTGAGCATCATGGAGACGAGAGCAACATGGGAGTTGTCCATGGCCTGAAGTGAGATACCGGAGTCATTGCAGTCGAAGTTGCAGTCTTGGACCAGGTCCTTGATGGCGTCGACGACCTGAAGAAAGAAACCAAATGTCAGCAATCAAGCATTGACATGCAACAATATGATGTAGAGTTACTCACGCGCTTCAGAAGACTGGCTTGTTCTAGGCGAGCTTCAAGCACTGAGTAAGCTGTTAGCATAGAATTCTGAACCAGTTGAAGCTGTGACGCTCACTTTTGATGTGATGGTATGTGAGTACGGTGAGAAGCTGATTAGAAGGAGAAGTGGAAGAAAGAGGAGAGGCTGAGATAAGTAGATGGTGGTTAGCGGGTGAAAGGAGTATCGTGAAGATTGGAAATCGTAAAGAACTGACAGAAGGAATTGAGTGCGTAGGAAGGATAACGGCGTGTCTTTCAGGTTGGGGTGAATTTATTGAGGGACCTGAAAGTGCAGCGAATTCGCGTTCGAGGGTTTCATTAGTGGGGAGGCACGCGTCCCAGTCGCGTCATTCCTTAGGCTGATATCACCCTTTGGGGTTAGTCTGGGTGGTGCCTGAGGCTGGGCTATACCGCACCCGTCACAAAGAAGTGTCACTACCACTATGACAAATACTACAACTGAAACGTCTCTATAGGCAGTTATTTCTGTGTACCTAGAAGGCCTACAGGGTGCTGAATTATGCTTTTATGCTAGGGATTCAGTCTCAGAAGAGTCTTGCATTGCCTAGCTAAGCATGTTGAACTATTATTGTGTGTGGTCGAATACTCCAAACCGTTGCCTGCAATTCACGAGTAATAATTGACCAGAGAACGAAGCTTAACAGTTTTCTGGGTCCCAATGACAATGGCATCAATTACTGACCACTAAGCACATTATTGACTTATAAAGTCGCAAATTAATCCACCTCTGAGTCTATAATGGTACCAACTCAGCAATGCATTACATCACAACTGGGATAATGCTACTTCTTGCTAGCCTTGCAGTACTATGGCTCGATAGCTGCAGGCAAGTAGTTGAGATATGAATATCCCATTGGTCTGGAGGGAGGGACATGTGGAGAATGCGGAATTTGGATCCCTGAAGACAGGGAAGATGGACTTTACTTTGTAAGTCCTCTTCCGCGGTAATGGCTGGATTACAAATGCAATCAGTCTGGAGATGATGACAAACATTCGAACAACTCAGAGGAGAGATAGTGCATGCACTACAGGCCACTGAGCTATTAAGTTGTATAAATATTAGGATCAGCTGTGAACTTGTTCGAACGATTATTCCCCCCTCTTTACAGTGACAGTAAACTAAAACTCCAACGCAAAATCGATCTAAATATGACCACAGTATTCATGTTAGTCGCTCATCATAAAACCAAAGCACTTTGATAGAATATGCATAGCCTAGATAGCTCACACAAGCCACAGAACAGGAGCCAGCGGCTACATCGGCGGCGACCTTCTATCAGTACTTGTATCCAAGTACCCCGACCTGCACTACCGCTTGTTAGTCCGAAGCCGCGACAGCGGCCAGAAAAATCAAGGCACAATATCCTACTGTCGAGATTATACAAGGCAGTCTCGATGATTCAGAGACGCTGGTCGCAGAAAGTGCTAGGGCCGATATCATCATCCGTTAGTGGACACATTCAGTTTTTATTATATACTATCCACCAGAAGGAATACGTACCAGCTGACTTTACCGGTATGAAAGACACTGCCGATGCTGCTGACCACCTTGGCGCAGCCAAGGCAATAGCCCAGGGTGCTCTAGAAGGACACACTGAAGAACATCCCGTCTATTGGTTGCATACCAGTGGTGCCGGGATCTTCTCGTTCTTAGACACCGAGACCAAGGTATATGGGGAGAAAGGCGAGAAAATCTATGATGATGTGCAGGACATTAAGGAGATTGTGAACTTCCCTGACCACGCGTTCCACCGAGATGTGGATAAAGCGGTGTTTGAGGCTGGATCGGTGCGTCCAGAAGTCCTGAAGACTGCTATCATATCCCCGGTAACTGTTTACGGTAAGCTTCAGTAGAAACCAAAATGTAAGGGCATGAAATCAACTAATTTACTGCTATAATTTAGGTCAAGGCCGAGGACCTTGCTCCCAACGCAGCAGACAGATATATGAGCTAGCCAAACTGACCATCCAACGACAGAAAGTTCCCATAATCGGCCGGGGCCTCTCATTCGGGACCGATATCCACATTTATGATTTGACCAACCTATATGTGATTCTTTTCGAAAGGGCCCTTTCGAAGCAAGATGATGGGCTTTGGGGTCCGGAGGCATACTACCTCTGTGAGAATGGGGAGCATTGCTGGGGTGAGCTGGCCCGTTCAATTGGACGAATTTGTGTGGCGGAAGGATTCATCCCATCGGCCGAAGAGGAGGCTTTCGGCTTCGAGGAGGCACAAAAATGGGCAGGCTATGAAGCTGCTAGTTGGGGGCTAAATTCACGGTGTCGGGCCAGTCGTGCCCGTCTATTGCTGGGGTGGCAGCCGTCTGCGCCATCGTTGGAATCCGAGCTTCGGGATATCGTGAAGGGGGAATACCGACGCCTACAGGAGGCGGAAAGAGATGCCTGAAGCTCTGATGAAATGTTAATTGCGGCTGTACTTCATGATGATTGCAAATACTTCGCCGACGTACAGTGGTCGAGTCATAGTAACACAGGATTGAAGTTCCTTCCATCGTACTACGCAAATCACACAATCTATATGATCGAATACACCTGGATCGATGGAGTAAAACAGTATATTTCAGACGTCATTGAGTACGGTATCGATACAAATAATTACGCTAGAATGTAGGATATGTACACAAGGCTGATGATACAGAACAAACGAGATCGAGCGAAAGCTGCCAGCATTGCTTCGGCAAGCATAGTGAGTATACAGGAAGACGAAGAGACGAGTCAAGGAAAAAAAAAATAATAACATGATATACAGTATCAACGATTGTAAGGCCCACGGGAGTCCACCAGGGGAAAAAGGTAATAATAAGTAACCAGGCTGAGAGAAAATGCAAAACTGCCTTAACGCCGCTGACACCGGACCGCTCTATACATTTCTGGGTATCAATCTGCAAAGGTTGCTAGGAAGAGTCGGCTTCCAGCTCAAGGTAGAGTAAAGCTTAGGTGGTTATATGCGGGGAGGAGGAAGGGAAGGGAATCGGGTATCGAGGTGGCGGTAGAGGAGATAGGGTTGGAAGGATGCTGTCGAATGATGGCGAAATCAAATGCTTGTGACACGTTTCGCAGCTATTGTGGTACGAGGCCGTTGCTTAATTACCATTTCTAGCTCCTTGAGCATGTTTGTGTTGGCATCAGTGCGCTCCCGAGCGGCTGCTTGTCGTGCTCTATCTTCCTTGACTCGTGCGATTCGTTCTTCCCGGGTTAATGACATCCTCTTGTTCCGAGCCGGAAGAGCCACTGCTTCAAATATTTCCTCCTCATCGTCTAGTGTATGGACGATGCTCGGATCTGTGTTTTCCCCAGTCAACGCTCTAAGGGCGTCTGCAGGGCTGCCCTCGACTGCAGTAGAACCTCCAAGGCTGGGTGTGGGTGACAGGGGTGTTTTCAGAAAGCTCGAGGGTCGCGAAAATTCCGGATTTGCGGGTTTTCCCAAGCTACTCATCAATGCGGATTTGCCTGACTCCCACTCCTGGAGGAGGCTTCTGATATCCGCTCCAATCGATTCATACTGGGGCATGAGGCTCGCCTCGAATTCGCCAGCATCCGGTCGCTCGAGATTAGAACTAGATGCCTCCTTGAGGATGTGCATCTTTGCGTGAAGCGCACGAATTCCCTGGGAGAGTGAATTGATATTTCGGTATTGTGCACGGAGATTGTCCTTGTTGGGTGAGGCTGTTGGTAGCGGAGAAGGCGGAATGACATCACCTGACACAATGTTCAGCTTAAGCATGGATTGTGTCGAGGATTGGTACTTACGATCGTCCTCGTTGAGGATGTTGGTCATCTTGTGAATGTTCTCGCCAGTCACATGGGCCAGGTCCCGCATCTGCTCGACTGCCGTGGTCCATCTAGCAATATCGGACCCGCCGCCATCCGCGCCGAGCGCGAGGAGACAGCAGAGGATACTCTTTCTCACGATGTAGAGTCTTCCGAAAAGTGTGCGAAGGGCACGTAGAGAGTACTGGTCTTCGGTGGCTCGCTCATCGAACGCTGCCTCGGCCTCCATAAGCTCCTCCTCTGATATGTCGTAGATATCATAATACTTGGCGAGGTTGGTGGCATCGGTAAGTGGGCGTAGGGTATGCTGTGCCCGAATGTACTGGCCCAGCATGAGATAGAACGATTCCGATACGGTTCGGCGCAGTCTCAGACATCGCCGTGTTTGCGTCTGATCTTCAAGTCTGCTTACTGGGGGCAACGGCGTGCTTCTACTCGATAGATTAGTGATTTTTGGCTCCCAAGCTGACAGTCAGAGCAACTTACATGCGGTAGCCTCTTGAGACCAGCTCAACTTCCTGTATGAATACAACCGACGCGGAAGCGGCAGAGTCAAACCCTTGGGCGTTGCTAATGAAAGTCACAGCTGCGTCGACAGCTTGATGGCGCAAATATTTCAGCCACTGTCGCTTGGCGAATGCATAGAACAGAACCCCAATTACGGGCACGAGAACCAGCAAAACTCCGACCTTCCGAGGATTAAGACCAGACGATGTTCGAGACCGGCTCCAATGTAACAACCAAGCGACGGAGAAAGAAGTCGAAGCCGTGACAACAGCACCTTGTATGCCAAACGTTGTGGAGATAGACGGGAGATCTGCTGGAAGAGCCGTGGACATCACATCTGCAGCTGATGTGTAAGACGGCGCACTGTGTTCGTTCAGCAGCTGAGACGCAACGATAACATAGCCGAACTGTTCCAGGAATCTTTCGTTGTCGCTTCGTCCAACGCGGGAATTCAGAGCAGACTGTGGCAGACAGTTCCATCAGTATTGACCGCAGCCAAGGCATCAGGTGGGGAGTTCATACCGTGCAGACATCATAGAGTCGACCCAGTGCTGCCCGCTGTCGCGAGACTTTCCGTTCGAGAGGCTTGGGCAGTTTATTCCGAATACGCTCCTGGAACTTCGAAACACCTCGTGGGGCAAAATCCGCAGCCGTAGAGTCGGAGAAATCATCGCTATGGTCTGCCTCCTTGACAGGCCAACTTGGGTCGTGTTCACCTTCCCCTGACGTATGAACAGATAAGCTTTTGTGATTTCCCCCAACACGTGAATCGGGATAACTCACCCTGGAGGTAGTCCGCCAAAGGCGAGTTCTCATAGACGAGTGATTCCATGACCAGTGAACATTCCGTAATGGTGGCGATGAGAGAGGAGGTTGGAGAGACGCGGATGTTGTAAGACAAGGCAGGGGAGACAAAGGACCAGGCGGGAGATTCGAACAATAGAGTTGAGACAGGTGTGAGATTCAAGCGCGTTCAGGTGCGAATTATCGCAAACCCATCTCCGCGACAGTCCAATGGGGCGCGTGGGAAAGTCGACTCAAGGAGAGGGCGATGGAGTGGAGGAGCAAGTTAGTATCGAATGGGAACGGGGGGGAAGAAGGGCGACGAGCTAAATGCAGGTTGAACTAGTTAGAAATCCGAGGCGCGGCGGGTTGTAAGGGAGGGCGAGTGGATACGCAAGAGGAGGTAATAGGTATAGTAAGCGGGTTTAAGGACGGCGCAGGATATACATAGCAATCTACCCCTGGCAGATGGAGACACTGGTTAAGGAACAAAGAGGAAGCCCGAACGACGGTGCCTGTGCAGCGGCCACGTTGAAGATCAGACCATGTGTGTGTCTGGGGAACTGGATTGCCTGCGCTTCCCTTTTCTGCTCGAATCGGAGCTGGCGTTTGCTCCGGCGGCCGCCCGGCCTTGTCCGTTCTTTTCTTCTACTCCGTACCTGCAAACCAAAATTCACTAACTAAGAATAGGCGCCCCCCACCGTTTCGGTGGGCTTTTTCCCTTGTGCGAATCATTCGCCTCGATTCGATCTGGCGGATTATTCCTCCAGGGCACTGCCAATCTCGTTTTCCACCCAGTGAGCGCTCGCGATGGGGTGCACCCCAGGCTTCCCAACGGATTCAAACGGTGATCACACAAGTTAGCGAGGGGGTGATCCAAGTCTGTGCTTTGACTTTCCCCTCATCAACCAAAACTTGGGTGGAACTGACGTCTTGTGAACTACGGCAGACCGAGGTTTCAGCATCAAGCATATGCTGGAGCCCGCGTGGGATTTCGGATGTCACCATTATTACCCTCGGGGTACACATTTAAACGGCTTGTTTCATGTTGCTCGGATTTGAGGCAGCCTCGGAGAATGGCTCTTTATGGCTAATACCAAGAACTCAAATACTAGCAGATGATTTATTGACGCTGCATTGAGGTTGTCTCAAGTGGCTCATTACTTTTTCCTTCCACAAAAACCATCACCACAGCCTGGCGCGGAATCTCTGGACGGCAATAACAAGGTGAGACAGAGGCGGCAATATTACCTTTCAACTTCCATGTCTCCTTGCCATATCCACATGCACAGTGCCTATTGAGGATCCTTGTCGGACCCTACAGCATACAGGACGATTTCGCTCTGTGGCGCAAGTAGTTACATGCAGCTTTACGTCTCCTTACACAATCAATCCAACTCTCTCCACCATAGAAGATAGTAATCGATACTCTGTATATGGGCACGTTAAACGAATACGAGAGGATGCTGTTCGTGCAGCAACAGATTATTTAGTTACTCCTCAGTGGACACCGTTGGGGCTTTGTATGTGATCGACATCTAACCCAAAAGGGACTAAAATAGTATTCTAGAAATGCAGCCAGTGGCGGCATGGGACCTGTGAAGAATGTGGGAGACTAAGTCAAGTAGCATCCACAGCGAGTCACCTCGTGAAAAGGTGTTCAATGACCTTCGCCAGGCAGAAGTTACTTTGATCGAGAGCGACTCGATTTGCCATCTAAAATTTCTGCCTAAGGTGTCAAACCCCTTCCCGTTGCACGGGCAACGAAGCGTCAACATCGCGTCTCCATACCTGAGACCCATCCTCGACCAAACTTTCTATGACTTAGCCTCGATCTCGCCCCCGAAGCTTGACAGGTCATCCCATCTCATAACTTGAAGGCCTTCTATCCTTTCTGCCAATTAAACCATAGCTCCCATCCGACAATTGAACCGCCGACACGCCATACAGGAGTCGGGGGAGTTATCTACGAGATATCCACATGGAATAGAGGCACTGCCTAAACATCCAGTTTACTTCAAAGGGGTTCTCCTTGCATTTTCTCAATATGTCCGGCTTTCTGTACGAAGCTACGACCCCGTGCCCTTCAAGGACGAGCGCTTCAATCTTCAGCCGCGGTAGCGACAGATGCTCGTCCGACAGCATGTGGGAAGATAGCCTGGGCAACTGGGACGATACTGCTAATGTCGAGTTCACGACCGAAATCAAACAGTCAGTTCTCACAGGGGCAAAGCCCAGACGAAGAACTAAGACAAGTACATCTTTTGCTATTCACGAAGACCTTGGAGGGAAACCTACACAGCCCACATACAAACCGAAGCGGGATTCAAGTATAGCAGCACCAACCACGAGCCGCAAGACATCCTTACTTGCGCAGCCAGCTCAGAGATTTCGTCCCAAAGTCAGCTTCGGTCCGAGTCCAGACACGCAGTTGCGACAAGAAGGGTTGGCTCACAAGTCAACAACTAAGAGAACGGACACAGAGAAGAACAACGCGCTTTTAATGCGGATAAATGGAGCAGATGGTCAGGGGAAAGTAAAGGAAAGCCTCAAAATGGATGTGCGCCGTAATACGGTTTATATTCCCCCGGATGATGGTACAGTGGCCAGCGTTTTCATGGGTCTCTTTAGCCCGCTCAAATCGGACGACTTTGAGAAGTGTATGAATGAAGATACTCAAGTCAACAGCTTGGAGTCACAAATTGCCAGGAAGCGACAAGCTAAGCGGTCTCTCGCCTCGTCTGCCCAACGGGCCCCATTACGACCCAGCTCTAAAGTAATGCAGGAGTCCTGCATTCATCACGATATTGCCGGGAAGAATGGCGGAAAGGAAAATGTACCTCCAGGAACAGTCATAGCTGAAGGCAAGAAAGGAAATCAGCCCTTAAAAATCAAGGGGGATTTGGGAAGCCGCCTTAATGCTCCTCCGATGGCGGCTAGAAGAGCTGGTGCTACAAACGCCCCTGCGAAGCCTACATCCAAGCCTCTATCTACCAAGACAAACAACCCACTTCATAGGAGCAATGTACTGAGCAACAGCCAGAACAGCACTAAATCACAACAGAACAAACCCGAGCACAATCGTACCATGAAGCCAAGTTTGACATCAGAATACAACCGACTCGGTTCTATGCGAAGCCCAAACTCATCTACACCCCGAAAGCCATCGAAAACAAGCACAATACTCAAGCCAACTACTTCGCGCAGTAATGTGAAGCCTATCGCAAAGGAATGTCCAATTATTCTTGACAGCATCACAAACCCGGCACTGTACGAAGAGAATTGGCTCTCGCACCAGGAGGTGGCAATAACACAGTTGGTGAATGAATTGCTCCGATGTACTTATGAGGAGTCGGAGATTGACAACCATACCATGCTTCGACATGAGCTCCTCGCCTTGTACCAGGGAGAATCTTTTGCATACCTCCACAAACGTCTCCAAGCATCATTGTTATACGGCGCAATGAGTATACCGAAAGACGTACTCATGCGCAGTAGCCGTCTTCACAATGATCTGGGCTTAAAACGAAAGTTTTTGGATATTTGGATCAAGACCTACGATCCACGAGCATTGCGAGCCGCATTGGAAGCAGTCACTGGAAGGAAGATACCTACCCCCAAGTTGGTTCATGAAAGCGATACCTCGGATAACGACAAGGCGATGAAACGCAGGTTGGAAGGATTTCTAGACGCATTCTTGTTACAAAACCAGGATATTAACCATCAAGAAAAGACCTGTGTTGGAGAGGATGGCGGTGCAGCTGGCCGGACCTACCGTCGGACTGTTCTTCGAAGCATAATGATGGTCATCCTTCTGGACAAGGCAAGAATGTGTCAAGGGACCGCCGTTCCCCGACGCCTTTTCCTCTCTTCGTCACCCGTCAAGTCCTCCGTTGCAGTTCTCCAGGCACTGGGTCGGTTTCTGCTGCCATCATGCGGAGATATGATCAAAGCATTGAGCCATCTGGACTGTGAACTGAGTTATGAGCAGCATCCATTGGAGGAATATGACTACCGGGTCGACAACCTTGCTGTAGATCTCCGGGACGGTGTGAGGTTGACAAGGGTTGTGGAAATGTTACTCTATCCTTCAACCTCATCCGGTGAACTGTCGAACGGAAGTTTCCCGCTTTCGAGTCATCTGAAGTTCCCATGCAGAAGTCGCGCAGTAAAGCTTTTCAACATCAAAATTGCCCTGGATGCGCTAGCTTCTGAACCAGGAACAAGGAAGCTCGCGAAAGACATACGCGCGGAAGACATCGTCGACGGACATCGCGAGAAGACTATTGCGTTGTTGTGGAAGCTGGTCAGCACATGGGGTCTTGCTGGATTGGTGGACTGGACAGAAGTCAGGAAGGAGATTGAAAGACTCAGGCAGAAAGCCGCTCTTCACGCTGGTCACGGGGATGCTGAGGACAATATTTGGCACGACATGTGCATAAACAGGAACGACGAGAGCGACGAACCAACCTTGCTGCTTAAGCAATGGGCATCTACTCTAGCACATCTGAAGGGCGTACCACTCGACAATCTAAGCACTAGCTTTAGCGATGGCAAGATATACGAAAGTATCATTGACGAATACGAGGGATATATCGTGGATCGCCCCGAGAGTTATAGCAGAACAGCATCTCTAGATTCGCGCCTTCGAGCACTGGGATGCAGTGCACAATTCGGTGAGTTTACCAAAGACCTTACTCCCTTCACAGCGACTAACATTGACCAGCCAAACTCGTGGCCCCCTCTTCGGAGACTCGTATCGTCGATAGCGATTTTACAATCGGAGCACTCGCGTTCCTTTGTTCGCGGCTTCTGCCCGCTACGAAACGCGCGCGAGCCGCGACAGTACTTCAGTCGGCATGGCGACGGATCCTTACGCGTCGAGACGATGAGCGCCGAGCCGTCGCAAGGGACATTGCCAGACAATGCGCCGCAGTTGTACAAACTCAGCACCGGATCCTATGGGCGAAGGAAGTGATTGTGCGATGGTGGAGGCAGACTCGGGCTCAACAGCGTCGCCGAGCAGTTGCTACGCAGGCTCACAAGGACAAACGATATCTATGAACGCAAGTCACCATATTATGATAGGGATTATTGCATTGTTCAGGCGTTTATCTACAGACCAGAAGGTCTCCAAGTTTAGCACTATTGTCTAATTCATGTATTCCAACACTAATACATCATACCAATCACACAGCACCAGCCCCCAAATAATGACACCAAACCACTACGTAATATACCCTGCCCTCTTCCTTGCATTATATCTCATCAGCCAGATCATCACCCAACTAGTACTTAGAACCTAAACAACATCCATGATAGATACTTATTACAAATGGGGGCATCCATCAACCAACACCGACCACCCAACCACACACCCCCCTCACCAACAAGCCTTATCTCCCATGACAACTAAAAAGAAGCAAACAAAAACTAAAGATACGAGATGAAATTATCCAATGTGATTATGTACATTGGGGATAGATAGTGGGGGTAATCAATAGGCTGATAGTACTTATCATATCACTACTATACTAGTATTTAACTGCTGCAGGTAAAACTTACTAGTACTTGCTTTTGCCATATAGTATATACCCAACCAAGTCACTACCACTACTACCCACTTACCCAACTACTATGCCCTACCCCCCCTCTCCCCTTGCTTTCTATTGGTTATAGTTATGATGGTTTGGTAATAGGTTATGTCTGGTAAATGTGCTAGATGGGTTATAGTTAATATGAAGCAGCCTACATACAGTACAGGATTATGTATGCGTTATGCATTATGCATCATGGTGAAGAAGAAAGAAAATAGTAAGAAAAAGAAGTAAGAGAAGAGCACAAGTAAACAGCGATCATGACGACAGCAGACCTGCGACGATATCATCATACTACTTACTAGTAGATTCTATGATGATAAAAATAAACTTGCTCTACTAGTAGTAAGGTACTATATATATAAATGATAGTATATGCATCTGCCTAGTATTTAGGTGCTACTATCATCTGGGAACATCCAAGCAAATCAAGTCACACCTGGAAGACAGTTACTACTAACTAAGTATTGATAGGCAGTAAAGTAAAAGTTGAAATCTGAATGAATTGTTACTTACATACATGGTTATTTAGCTACTTACTATTACTTTAGTAATATTAATCATGATGAAAGTAAAATCTGTTAAGATGATATGCTTATGCTTATGTTCATGCTACATTTACTGTTACAGTGGAGGGTGTGCCTACTACGACTCCTAGTTGGTAGTGGTAGAGTAAGCTATGGCTTACGTGGGAGATCAGCCATTTATCGTAAGTAATAATACTGTGTACTATTAAATGGTGATGGAGGGAGAGAAAGTTTGTCGAGGTGAACTCGTATGATGTCACAGGTTTTTGCAGCTGACGAGGAAAACGACTACTACTACAAAGTAGTTCGTTAGTTACTAGTTAGGAGAATTTCTTTATTAATGTAACTGTAGTTGGCTGAAGTAATGATTTGTTCACAAGTGATGCTATTCATTAATTTACCAATATTAATGTGCCTGTTGTCAGTGATTTTCATCGATTTGAGTGGTTGGATAGTTAGTGGGAATGACGTCGGTTGAGCATCTGCCATCTGCCAGTTGAGCGGCCGATCGCATTTCCACCCCCCTCGACTACAAAGTATGACCGAGGTAGTACTGGGAATTCTCCATGATGATATAATGCTTCCGATGATCAGATGCTGTTCTGAATCAACGAACGAATCCGGAGGCTTGTGAGTAGGTAATCATCAGCAGCAGCCCTGCGGGGAAAAAGAACAACAGACGTTCGAGAAGATTACTGGAAGCGGCAACACACGTCTCCTCTTTTCTATCTTTTGTCTCTCCACCTCCCTGTCCGATGACCAGATCGATCGCCAGCGGGCTTTGACTTCCCTCCCTTACGGCGTACAGTAGTCTCGCTGCAAAGGCCCTGCAGTGCATTGGTACCGACCTGCTGGTTGGAGTCCGGTAGACTATTATATGTACCTGTGCTGGCGTGAACGAACTTTAATCGCGGGGTTGTTATTGGCAGAAACGGCCACTCCGCCATCAGGAGATGCCCCCTCTGGCGTCCTCCTGAGAAAAGAGCGGTCGATCGCCGGCTCGGAGGGAATCGCGAGATGCTCTTTGCTGGCCGGAGTTGCTATTCTTCCGGATCAGCGGAGGAGAAAAGAGAAGGGGTGGGTTCCTTAAGTTAGTCGGTAATGCAATGAGGCTTAGACACCCTCTGACTTGGTATCGTCTCTCCTGTGGACATCCTGTGGTGTGCGGACAGACGTGTCCGAGGACCAGGACAGCTTGTCTTCTTCCAAAGCCCCTTAATTGGGTACGTCTAAACGATTCAAGCTGCAACGTAACCTAGTCGCTCTCTCTTTCCCCCTGAACAAACTTCGACGTGGTCATGCTTGGTATTCGTTCGCCAAGGATCAATCCTGCAATATAGGAGTAGATGATCGACGATGATCTCCCACCTTCCGGGGGGATACTCCTTTTCAGAACGGCCAGTCTCTACTTTTGAGATCCCTCCCCCATCCTCTATCCCGCAGTCGCAGTCATTCGCCCAAGTATTTGGAATGGTGCTTGGCATCCTTGGCCGGTCACCAACTCAACGCGGGATCTTCTTGGACCAGTTGCACTGGAGAGGCAAGGAGGAGGAGGAATGTGTCGAGGGCGGACAGTAGGTCGGCCGCTGTTGCTCCGGACTCCGGGAAAGACCGGGGACCGACCGCTCCCACTGTCATGGGGAAGTTCTAGCCAGACGCTCGCTCATTCCAGCGCAACAGGCGTCGTTCGCAACTTGGCTGTGATCATCTTGGCGGCAATTCTCCGTCGTACTGGGGGAAAGGTCACAGGACGTTGCCAAGAACTGCCGTGGAATGTCCAGAGGGGAGGGATGAGCATTGAGCAAGGGGCAGTCGAAACGGGGACCACTCGGTTTTTCTACTCCGCCTCTCAGCTGAAGGGATCCCTCATCTTCATGGTTGCATGGGGTGAAATGTATATGCCTTGGCCATCTTGGCGGCCCTCTTGGCCGTCTCAGTCGGAATCGTGACCCTCCCAAGAGGCTGTGATGTCTGTGATGTTGAAGGTTTCGGGTGATCCGCTGTGTCTCCCCCAAGCCAGTGTGGTATGTCGATCATGCGCTCACTGATGAGGACATTGCCATCCCTTTGAAGACCCGGGCTCGATGCTGCCACTGACACATTCTAGACGTTTGCCTACCACGGTAAGTTTTCGACGTGCAGGCCGGCCCGTCATGGAGTGCTTGGGACCTGGATCTTTATTCATCTTTGCAACGGCTTTGTTCTTTGTTGCCTCCCTTCTTCTTCGTTCTAGCCGAAGCAAGGGCGTAACCCCCATGTGCGACTAAATTGCTGCATTAGCGACCATCTTATCTTTCGTGTACCCGATACCTGGTATACGGGAGGTATGGTAATTGTGGTTACCTGGATCGAAGCGAGGAGTAGGCTGATTAACGTCGACGACGTTCTGAATCCTTCCATGACTGACCATGCCATGCGCTCAGTCATGGGCTCGGAGAGGGAGGTGCACTTGCATATGTCATGGCGGCAGCCTCACGTTTATCCGCATAAAAGCCATGGATGGAGTGTCTGATGTCCGGGGGTGGGTTTAGTTCGACAGCCAGGGGAGTCAACGATGATTCGCCAATTGACCGAGTCCAAGACCCCCATCCATCAATCATGATGGTTGTACGGGGTACAGGTGGGCAATGCCGGGTCGGCGGAATGAAGCTGGCTGTCGCACGGGTAGCTGACCATGAGACAGGCAAAAGGCACCTTGTTGCCGTGCCGGTTTGGCGAGTCGCTGGGACTTTTTTTACCTGGGGCATACATTACTCGATTGGGTGCGTCGTGCATCGCAACTTGAAGCCGGCGCGAATCCAAGCGCGAGTCCCGTGCTGGTGGAGAGGGCAAAGAGGAGGAGAAAGCCATCGAGCGTCCAGTCAGCGTCGTTAGGGCATCGACCCAGGGAGAATAAATCCCTCATACAAACCGCTCTTAGGCCGACGTCGGCCATTAAGGTACAAGGCTCTAACTCTTAGTCGTCTTAGCTGCAGGCCAATGACACCACCGCAGCAGGACTTTTGATCCTGGGCGCGGAGGTCGATAAGCGGACGTATTACTCCTAATCCTAATCCTGGGTAGCTCAGTCGGTGTTTGTTAGGTTAATGCTATTCTTATCCGGCGTTGATCCCGGCGCCTGCCTGCCTGTCAACCTCTCACAGTAGCAGTAGCAGTTATACCATAGTACCGCGCCGAAAAAGTGGCCCTGAGGCATTCGCCCACCAAAGACACAATCCCATTCATGCTCTCTGGTCTGTTCGTCTCCATAATCGATCTCATGGCGGTCCACTCGCACGCGCGACAGTTCAGAATCTCCACCGACTGCTGCTGGTGGTTCGATCACCAATATGCAAGCTAGCCATCCTATCCCAGAAAAGGCTGGGGGAGGAAGAACCGGATGGGGTTGAGGACGGTTGTTCGTATGCCACATAGCATTTCCTCTTCCGGGTGGCCGGTGACCGTCGCGGTGGCAGACTATACCTGCCTACTGTACAAAATTCTTGTTCCCCTTCTCATCCTTGTAAGAGTCAACTTTGGGGTTTGGGTTTTAATTAAGATTTAATTTCATTTATTTATTTCTCTTTTTTATTTTTCTTTCCCTTTTTCGTTGTTTCTTTTTCTTCGGGTTTTGCTTGCTTTCCCTCGGCCGTGCTGTTCAGCAAGAGATCTTCAGCTCTTCAATGGGCATCGAAAGTTTGCACGCTGTTCACGAGCACTTGGAAGAATCATTGTATATAGTTTATATTTCTTATTCTGTTTTTCCTTTCCGTCGACGGTCGGAGTTTATTTGCGGAAAGTCTGTTTCGATCTTGGCTTCTAGGCCGCGTAGCACATATACCAGATGTATTCGGAACATAAGTGTACATAAGTAGCATGTACCTTGTATCTTGTTCTCGATCCAAGTGCGGAGAGTCCGTGTTGGCGGTCATGGATGAGGATCCTTCGGAGAGGACTGAGAGAGAGAGAGTGTGTGTGTGGTAGCCAAGCATGGGTCGCCAAAGGTCGCATTTCCTCCCCCAACAGCGGCATATGCAATGTGTAACGGGGGTGAAACTGGCCCTTCAACCCACGCCGTGTAAGCAACAATAATAACAAGCATACTTAGTAAATGAACCAGGGCCGGAAAGCCCAAAAGGGCAACTGGAGTCGTAAGACTCTCGAGCAACGAAGGATCGTGTAAATGGGCCGACCCCGTTGGTTCGTGAAAGTGATCAGTACTAGTACAGTAGTACTACTCCAAGGAATGCCGATAGTTAGTACTTCCCCAGCAGTTTTTCTTCTTATTCCCATGACTGGCTGAGATTTGGATCGGTCCTGATTGCTGGGATCGAGGCAAAAGCGGGCAAAGCAGCATAAGAAAAAACATTCCCGAGACGCGCAGATTGGCTGCTGCGATTGTGGGAAGCTGCATCTCCCGGAGCAGCCATGGCACTGAGTGGGGGTTATCCCTGAATCGCATGAAGCTTGTCCCAGCACTTGAAGGCTTCGCGAGGCGTTTAGCAGTCTAGCTGCACCCCCCATCCTCAGCGACCGTGGATGTGCAGGTTTTTTGATTGTAAGCCCGTTGGTGGTGGATGGGGTGGAATTAGCCCGCTCGATGGTCTCCGCTTTGGAGATCGCTACCCTGGTTCTGAGCTCGGTGAACCGCCGCCCGGCTGTCAGTCATAGGAGAGAAAGTGATGCAGTTTGGGTCTCTACTGTGTATTTCTCTGGTTCTGGCGCTGACCGCTTGTCCCAGTTGCTTTGCCATCGGGCATGGATCTGGTCATCATCGCCATACTGCTTTTTTTCCCTCTTCCTTGTCTCCATTCTTCCGGAGACAATCTATCCACAACACAGTCCAGTCTGGGAAAGACGGCACGATCGCCTGAAGGGAAGGAACGGGATCTGAGATGCACTTTTGATCGTTTCTAGTCCGGATTTGGGGGTGGTCTTGGCACGGGTCTCGTATGTACGGCGTATGTATGAGCATCGGTCTGTATGTATGGATACCAGGCCGATCCCGATGGGTTTTCCTGCTTCCTTTTTCCCTCTCACACTTTCCATCACTGCCACTCGCTGAACATGCTGAGCCTTTCTTGTCGGGAATGCCTAAACAATTCTAAACTTAGTGGCCCCCAAGGCTGAGATCCTAGAGATGAATGGACAAGTTGCTGGATGAGACGAAACTCTATCTCCAGAATTGGCTGCTACCTGGGTGACCATCCCTGGGATGATCACTGTGGAGTTACCCGGGGGAAGACAAGAACTCGGCTGTCAAACCACCAGCGACAAAACTATCCAAGATCGTGCTATTGTTTGAGGAACCCATTGAACAACGATCCATGACTACTAGTTCCCAGTCCTTATTTGCATAGTTCAGATCTAATCTGGTTATTTCTGGCAACAATGGTCTGATCTCTGATCACCTTGGAGTCCGAATATGTTGTACAGCCAAGAGCCAACTATTCCCGCCCAGACCGACTGTCACTCCCAGCTGTTGTCAATCAGGTGGCGGTGCTTCTAGTCAACAACATACTTGGGGTCTGTAGCATGGCTTGAGGTTCTCATATACTCATCATTCTCATTTGGACCGATCTAGGTACCAGCTTTCCTGGGTACGGTTATCGGAACCAACCTTGAGAGGTGAGCGTGGCAGATTGAAGACATGGAAACCACCTGCTTGTCCCATTGCCAGTCGCTGTAACCCCATCAAACTCTCCGAGACTCGAGAGCGTCATGATCGAATCCCGGTCACAGTCGGGGAATTTTATTGATTTTCATGGTTCTCTTGATGTGGTAGCCGTTGTAATGTAGTACTCTGGGGTAGAGTTGGTGCTACGTACTGAAGAGTTCAGTTCCTCAAGTTCACCTCGTCATAGCAGGGGGGTTAGGGGTCTAGTCGGTCCGAGAAACTGGGATAGAATCGTCGAGACTTCTCTTGCAGTTGGTTCGCAGTTCCCAGTGATGTCTGTAGCAAGCAGGCAAGTTTGTCGTTCTGGCCCGCATCATCGGCATCACACGAGATGCTCCTACGGTACTGGTAACTACTGCTTCAGACTGAGATAACCTTCAAGACTGCCGTGACACAGCATGACTAGGGGGAAACCTTACGTCACAGGGCCAAGACCATCGCTTTCCGGATCAGGAACCACCAGATTTAAGCCCAGCTAGGGAAAGTCTCGGCAAATGCAATAGTGAGCAATGACAAGAAATACCAAGCATTGTTATTGGGATTGTAAAACAATAATAGCAACCAGCAGGGGGAAAGGGAGGCAGTGTCTTGAAGAACTTGAATTGTTGTCACTTTGTCTAGTCTTTGAGAATGAGGCGTGATGCCAAGCACCACATTGGTAGCACTATAATGATGATTGTCCTCTGGGTGTTATTTTGGCCTCCTAACAAAATTACCATGTTAGTCTGGTTTGGTGTGCTGTGTATGGAGTAGGTAGGGTGGTGGTGTGTGGTGTGTATTCCTGGAGCTGCGACCGACCGAATCAGTCGGAAGAGGTAGCTACGCCGAGGAACCTAGTACCTTAAGAAACCACTTTCACGCATAAGCAGCGCATAAAGTAAGCTGATGGGATGTGATGCTAGGCTTAATTCAATGCTCGATGCAATATTTATGTGTGGCCAGTCAAAAGGTCAAGGGTCGTTAGCCCAACAAAGCGGCCGCTGAAACGGCTTCGGCGCGACTCCGACGGGGTTCATTTTGGTCCTCCCACGGTCAAGTTGTCGGGTCTGCTTGCCGTGGTCGCCCTCGTAATTACCCTGGCATTACCCGCCCCGACGGTCGGTAGGGCAACTTTCCCACACACAACAGTAGCAGCTCGTGCCGCTATGATGCCTGCCCTGGCTCCTGCGCTGTCTTGTCCTCGTGGGGGTTCATTCCTTCTCATTGAGTAGCCGCCCTCCTTGTCTGACAGCCTTTCTTTGCTCTGGACCTTCCGTTATTCGCTGTCTTGGTGAAAACCCTTGAGATTTTGTACGACATTCCGATCAGATAAAATATCCTTTTCGCTGAATATGTTCTAGAAAACAAAGAATGGATCACCCCCTTACTTTTCATTCTCTGGTTCTTCGGCCACTACTATAGTTTTCCAAGACCTTAGTGTAGATGGAGGGGGGGTGATGTTTTTTTTTATGGCAGCTTTTCCCGATTAAGACCACAGTAAGTATGGTCTGGGATAATTTCTTACTGACCGGGTTAGTAAGATCGAGGTTAGCCCGCCTTGGTAGCCAACCTCCAAAATGCCTCATAGTCTTTTGCTTTTTGTACTTCGGTGCTGGCTTGCCCCATGGATGAAACCGGCTCGTTACAAAACCGGTGACTCCTGAATCAGGTCAAAGGAACAACAGTCATATCTCGCAGATCTCAGCAGACAATGAGATCCGTGATCCTCAACTAGATATTCCTTTGAATGACTCTTCTCCAATCCTTTATGACTCGGAGCCTCTTCCCTCCATGACGGGGTTTTTGCTTGACGGTAATTGCCTACTAGTAAGTAGCATGACGGCTGTGTATTGACGGGAGCGTAAAGAATACCAAGGTATTGGTACTGGCCAGCGTCACGTAGCCGCAGGAACCGAAGCATGCATGGATTTGGCGAGGAAAACGACAGGGTGGGTCTGGGCTTGGCGGGGTTGGTTGGACTGAGCGTCTCTCGTCCGCCTGCAGAAGGAAGGAAAAGAAGCCCCAGAGAAGATCCGAAATTGTAATCGTGGGTAATGGGCGTGGTGCTCTTTTTTGTTTTCCCACCATTTTTCCCTGCCCTCCTTCGGCCTTACCCTGCCGTGCCAGTGTGTGGCGACCACTCCTGACCACCCCAACCCGGTCACTCGCTCACAAACCTGGCGCCGCTCTCCCGCCTCTTTTACCCTGCGAATCGTCATTTACTCGCTGAGGCTGCGCCTTTTTACCCGCCCTCCTTTTGGCTGGTGACTCTCAATACCTCGTTCATACGCAGTACTGAGCGTATGGTAACAATACTACGGCGACAACCCCCGAGGATTTCTTTGGTTTTTGATTTTTGATTTTTCTTTTAATAATAAATTTTGATTTTCGAATTTTAATTTTTTAATTTTTTTTATTTTCGCCTTTCCGCAAACCACTCCCCCCCCCCTCCCTTAATTACATTTTTATTTTCCGATCATCTCTACATTCCTCCTTCTCTCCATCTCAATCCCACCTAGCACTGCCAACACATTGCACCTGCGAAACTCTTTCGACGCGTCTTCTTCTTCTGGCGCTCTTTGAGCTGCCAATCTTTGAAGAAGGCGTAAGTCCATCTCTTGGCCGCATACCTGACGCTCTTCTCCTTTTCTTGGACCTACTAAACTACTATACTACGCCTCTTTCCTACTACTACACCATGTGTTCTATATCATGACAATCATCGTCCTACTAAGGACACCCTTCATTTCCGCCCTCTGGGTCGATCAGTGCTACTATTGATCGATAACGAGAGTGCATCTTCTATTTTACTCTTTGATTGATGCAATTATTCTTCATTCTTCTCTTCCCTAACAATCAACCCATCTTGAATACCCTCATAATACTACCTACCGCCACCATTTCATCGAGTCACACTATACTACCACCGCCAACCCTCCACCTAACCTTTTGACACCGCACCTCAACACCTTCCACCTACTTGTTCCTGTCTTCCCTCTTACTATTAATATACCTAATCTTCGAAGGGATGGCGCACTTGCGTGGTGGTGAAAGAACATTTGCCTCAATACATAACCTACTGAAGATGCTACTCTCACCTCATCAGTCCAGCAAGTCTGCCCCTCAGGAAGCTGACATGGTCGAGGACATTGATGAGCCCCCTGATCATCGGTTTCTGAACACGTCGATGAACAACATGGACGACGGTGTCGTTTACGTCAAGTCCACCGCCGCCATGACTGACCGGAAGGAGTCCCTCCTCACCCGCGCCCTCAAGAGCAGCCCCCCTCCAAGCCCAGCCGATCGTCATTCACCATCTCAGGAGCACTCCTTCTACCGCTCCTACACCTATACCAACATCAGCGGCATCTCTACAGCCGAGTTGACCAGCGATGGTGGCCTCACAAGCCCCTCTCTATCCAATACACCCAGCCCGCCTCTGCCCTCTCACTTGTCCAACAACACGTCTTCGATGGGTGATAAGAGAAAGGCGGAGGCGGTGGAAGTGGGCGAGTCGGCTGTCGAGGCGAACCTGGGACGCAAGCGGTGTATCAGCTTCGCCTGCGGACGCAAAGCCGAGGAGCAGAAGCCACAGAACCCTTCACCACAGCGTCCAGTCACGAAGATCCATGACGCCAGCGTTACACCAACTGAGCCTAAGCGGAGGACCGTTCTCACCTTTGTTTGCCCGGCACGGGATCCCGAAACTCGCCGGGAGAGGTCGCCACTTCGCGGTGGCTGCAGGCCGCGTCCCCGCGGGTCGCCTGCTCCCATGGCGCGCAAGGCTTCCCCGGAGAAGGCTGCTCCCTCACCGGTGAGCAAGGCTTCCCAGGAGCAGAAGATTGATCGCCGGGGTGTCCCGACCAAGGGGTTGGGTAAGTTCGAAGAGTCCGAGGCTACTCGCTTTCACGAATTTGCCAGCTCCGTCGAGGAAGATGACGAGTGGGTAACGAAGTCCGGAGAGTATTCGGAGAAGATTACGCTTAATGACTGTATGAAGAAAGAGAATGCTATTAGGAAGCTGGGAGAGGAAGCGGAGGAAGAGGCGCTCGAAGAAGATGACGAAGATGATGTTGAGGACTCCGATGACGACTCGACCGTTCACGATTTCTCTTCTGATGACGGAAATGAATCGGATAATGAAGCTGGTTTTGCAGAGTCAGACGAGAGTGATGATGGTTCGGAATACGATTTTTGGGCTCCGACCAGCACTACTGCTGCCACCAGCCCTCAAAATGCCGACATCGCTCGCCACCCTTTCAGTCGCCGCGACTCGAACACGTCTTTCGATTCTGCCAACGATGTGCAGCAGCAGCAAAGATGGTCGCCTGTCTTATCTGCCAAGACAACTAGCCGATCGCCCATGAAGATCCCAAAGTTGCGTCCTGGCACACCTAACCTTCCCGACAGTACGGACTTCGTCTGCGGAACTTTCGACGAAGACCGGCCTCTGGAGGCTGCCTACAAGTCTTGCATCGAGCAGCGCCGTCTTTCCAAGCAAATTGTCATCCCTCAAGATATCGATCCCAGCTTTCCCACTTCGGATCCTGAAGATGAGGAGGATGAGGAGGATGATATTGAGGAATCTGTGATGGATGAAGGACCTCGGGGACGGACTGGTAGAGACTCTGCGCAGAAGCCTTCTCCTCGTACGTCTCCCAGACGTATGGTCTCACCTCCGCCTCGCCGTCAGGGTCGTTCCTCGCCAAAGCGTCTTCGCTCTCCGCCGCCGCCGATGAAGCTGCGGTCTTCCAAGGATGACCTGGCATCTGCGGATGAGGCCCCTGCTGTGCCGTCGCGGGGACTGAACATCAGTGAACTGGTGCAACGTCCCGCGATGTCTCGTACCAAGTCCCTGCCTCGGACGCCCAACCCTTTCTTCACTAGTTTGGACAAGTCTCACCGCTGGTCTGGCATTGTCCCTGTTTACGAATCGCCGGAGCGCGAGTCGTCACGCACCCGTGAGGTGCACACCAGAGGTCCCATCGATATTGTTGAGGGTCTCGAGAAGAAACGCCAGAAACGAAAGGAGAAGTTCTGGCGTCAGCATTGCCGCAAAGCTGCCAAGGAGCAGATGGTACGGCGACCGATCCCCGGAAAAGGTGCTGAACGGATGAAGGAGCTTGGCCTCGAAGTTGCTGAGAGGTGCAGAGCTTACGGCGTTGGAGAGAACGCCCAGCTCGTCCTATCTGTTTAGACCTCAAATTCCGCGTGGGATTCGATAAATTCTTGTACATAGTTCGAATTTTTCTTATCACCCTTTCAGTCGTCCACTTTCATGACCAGCGGACCGACGTGGTGTACAAATTCCAATTGAGCGTTGTTCGCTACACCCCTTGTCTTCGATGTTGCTATTCTTGTCCTCACAACGTGTCCATCGGATTTCTATTCGCACGGAGGGTCCCGTCTGCATTTACAGGGGTGGCTACCTTTGATTCTTCCTTTTTCGCCCGTCCCCCTTTCTTTTCGCTCTTCTTCTCATTATACATAGCTTGTTTATTCCTTCTTTTCTTCATTGTTCACGTCCGCGCTGCTGAGCGGCGGATTTGACGTTTCGGTCGGCATCATTGCTCGGTTAGCCTGGGTTGCATGGAGGCGGTTTGCTGCGCGTATACCCCCGTTTGCTTTCGTTATCGAATTTGTAGATACAGAGCGAATGACATGTGTCATTGAATATGCCAACGTATGATGAACTACTCTTGCGTATATTAGACGGTAGAACCAGTTCGGGTTTCCGTTGAAATAATGTAGTAGTTTCACAGTGTTCCAAACGACTCGATCGGGGCGGATGATCTCCCGGCGGCTGAGTTGGCTTAAGCGCTCGGCTAAGCGTCCGGGCAAGCGAAAGTCCAACGTCAACTGTCGGCGACCGCAACCTGGCTCCTTCTCCTGCTCTTATCTCCAGCCCAGCCGTTCACCACCGCCATTTGGCCCATTTTGCACCCTGCCTCGTGCTGCTACCCGATCCGCAAATCCATAGTCTGAGGTTCTGAGTCGATTTTCACCATGTGGCTCATTAACTGGTGTAGGTAGTCTCCTGTTTTGCCATCCGCCGACTTGGCCCCGATCAGGTGGTCTGCAGACCTGCCCTGCACGCTCTTGGATCCATTGGATCCTCATCGTTTCTCTTCTGTTCACAGTGTCTCTCGTATGCCAATTTACTGATTTATCTTTTCCGAATAGTCTACGATCTCCTGGCCTCCCTTGGCCTGCTCAACAAGCACGCCAAGCTCCTGTTCCTCGGTCTCGATAATGCCGGAAAGACGACCCTCCTGCACATGCTGAAGGTATGTGAGCTTCCTTTAGTCGCAGGCAAGCTCTGCTTTGATGGCAACAATGGTGGATATGGTATCGCCTGGGATCGACTCCGATCGCAAGGGAATGCCACCACGGCAGGGATAGAGCCGCGAGAGATGTGGACGATAAGCTAACATCTGTGTTTGATAATAGAACGACCGGGTTGCCATCCTCCAGCCCACTGCTCACCCGAGTACGTATCACCCGCACGAACATGCCAGCGAGGGACTATTCGACAGCGACCGAGGAGAATCGATTTTCATGAACATGGGCTAACCGCACTCCTTGAATACAGCATCCGAAGAACTCGCCATCGGCAACAACCGCTTCACGACCTTCGACCTGGGTGGTCACCAGCAGGGTGAGTAACACACCTCGTAGCCCCGTGGTATAGATCGAAACAAGAAAACTAAATGTAGCAATTCTTGTTAAATAGCTCGTCGTCTGTGGAAGGACTACTTCCCCGAAGTTAGCGGTATCGTCTTCCTCGTTGACGCCAAGGACCACGAGCGTTTCCCCGAGTCCAAGGCCGAGCTCGACGCTCTCCTTGCCATGGAGGAGCTGGCTAAGGTTCCTTTCCTGATCCTCGGAAACAAGATCGACCACCCGGATGCTGTTAGCGAGGATGAGCTGCGCCACCAGCTTGGATTGTACCAGACCACGGGTAAGGGCAAGGTTCCTCTCGAGGGAATCCGGCCCATTGAGGTGTTCATGTGCAGTGTTGTCATGAGACAGGGTGAGTGGGATTTTTCATATCCAAACCAATGTCGACCAGGAGCTAATCGTTCTGTGCCTTGTAGGATACGGTGAAGGTATCAGATGGCTGTCTCAATACGTCTAAGTCAGCTAGCTCGCTTGCTAGCCAGCTGTTGACTTTATTGTTGCGATATATCCCGACTACTCTATTTTTGTTCTCCTATCCCTCTACTCCCGACGATCTCCCTCTTAAACGCAATCCTCTCATCTTCCTCCGAACCCTCCTTGGAGGGTGTAGGAATTCCATATATCCCAATCCAATCCAATCCAATGCAGTTCAATGAGATGAACTCCACTCCGTCCAATCAGACAGGCCATCACAACTGCCTGGAAGAAAGTACTCGCTAGGCATAATAGTCCCATGACCCATCTACAATATATCTCGATTGTTCAACCATTTAAATGGTCATGTCACCTACACTGATTCATACTATGATGTTGTGTGCTTTTTTTTTCGGAGTTTGATCTTTTGACGATGTTTCGATCAGTTCTTGGTGCTTTATCACGCTGTCCCTTTCATCTCGTTGTAGCCACCTTTCCTCTTGTTCTCTCTGCGTTCGCCTTCCAAGACCAAACAATCAACCAACAAAGCAAATAAAAAAAACAAAGACATATCCTTCCCCCTGACTTTCTCCCTTTTTCTTCACCTATACTGTAACAATCTAGTTCAGTCACCCCCTTTCACCGCTTGCTTGCTTCTGTTCTCTAGATACGACCGAGTACGCAGAAACGAGAATTCCAAATATACAAAACCCCTAGAATACATTCATCCATCCATCTCACCACAGGCAGTAGTAGTGTATGAAGAGTTACTACTATTCGGACATGTTTCCTACTACTTCAGTCATGAGTCCCAATCCACTACTACTATTTCTGGCAAATCCACATACTACACACAAGTACTCAGTACATCTGATAGTAAAGACAGATGGCTGACTAGATAGTAGATAATCGATAGAAAGGAGTCCCGAGTTCCATACGAAGAAACGAAAAGTCTAATTACTAACTTAGTTAACAATTACTATGCATATAGTCAGCCTACTAATACTTTACTAATTAATTTTACCATTCATCCCGGGTTCCCGACTGGTAGGAGAATCTAGGGAAAAAAATACGGAGAAATAGAGACCAAGGTTAGATAGATAGATAGACCGGATAGGATAGGATAGTTGGTACAAATAATACACACGCACACACGTATACACACACGATGTCACACGAGACGAATACAATACCCCGGCGAGAGAGAAAAAAACAAGACGTCATTCAGGCACAACGATAACCCCTTTCCCGATCTGTACATTCCCATACATCCTTCCATTCCATTCCAGTTTGATTTGGTTTGTATCCTTCTCCCCCGCTTTTCCGCTCATTGAGGTCCACTTCCGTGATAGGTAGGTAGTAGTTTGCTGCGTAGTTTGAATGTTGGGTTGGCGGATTGTCGTTTGTTTGTCGATTGCATTGATTTCCATTGACAAGCTAGCTGAATGCAATTTCACGGATCGGTGTCTGCTGGGTAGGGTAGGGGTATAGACAGTGTGGCTAGATGGGCGAAGGGAAAAAGGAAGAGGACGGGGAGGAGGATCTTGGTTTTGGACGCTCGAAAGAAACGGGCGTGTCGTTGCTTATTTGGTTGGCATTACACTCACAGGAAGATTTTGAATAAAAAACGCACTTGGAAAACACCAGATGCAGCCCGTCGCTTCCCCTTCCTGTCAAATGAATTCGGACAACACAAGTTGGACAATGGGAAGAAAAAGAAAAGGAAAAGGAGTAAAAAAAAAAGGGAAGTTGAAGAATGAAGATCAACAAGAATGAGAAAACACCAACCCCTACTTGGAGCAGAAACTACCTTCCATATAGAAATGAAACACATTCAGCGGGAAATCAATGACTGGGGGAGTCGCTGGAGTCTGGTATGCGCGGAGGGAAAAATTGAGACGTTCTGCGTGTCGTGAGGTTCTCGGGCGGCTGGGGTGTACTGCTGCTGCCGATCGTCTAATGTATGGCCATCGAATGTCGTTGGGATTTGGGTCTCTCGTTGTAGTGTGACATTGTGTGGGAGTTATGACGTTTTTATCTCCGCCCGAACCTGCTGCACATGGAAAAGCTCGTATGATTCCTTACTTCTTCTTTTGCTTTCGCGGAGGAGTGATGGGCCTGCCTGAGCTCATGCCCCCGTAAACGTACTTTTGTTTCTTTTCTGCTGGCTTCAAGATCTATTGCGAGAAAAAATACCCGTTAGTTCCAAAACCAATCCCTTCACTAAAGTACAAAGTAGTTTGGTTGGGACCTACCTGGAAGGAACAAAGTAGGCTCTCGTCGACGCTCATCATCGCACCAGCGTTGTCGAACTCGCCACAGTAGTTGGGAGCACTGAATAGCGTAACCAGCTGTCTCTTGGAGAAGAACTCATAGCCATCCTCGACGACCTGGTGTGCGCGACATATCAGGTCCATATCATGCTTCTGGAGGAACCGCGACACGACGTCCGGACCAAATGTGAAGGATACACCCCGATCGTTCTCGCTCCAGCCAGTAATGTCCTTATCGGGATCGGACCAGAGCAAGTCGCAAAGAAGACCGCAGTCGGGAATCTATCGTCGTTAGCAGGCGAAGCTCAAGGCTTCAGGGAGCCCGGCAGAGATTTTTAAACGTTCCCAGGACCCTTATGATAACAAACGAAAGGAGTC